CCAGGGAGTCTTCTCTTCTCATGAGGTGGCCAAAGTATTGGAGCCTCAACTTCAGGATCTGTCCTTCCAGTGAGCACTCAGGGCTGATTTCCTTAAGAATGAATAGGTTTGATCTTCTTGCAGTCCATGGGACTCTCAAAGAGTCTCCTCCAACACCATAATTCAAAAGCATCAATTCTTCGGTGATCAGCCTTCTTTATGGTCCAGCTCTCACTTCCATACATCACTACTGGGAAAACCATGGCTTTAACTATATGGACCTTTGTTGGCAAGGTGATGTCTCTGCTTTTTAAGATGCTGTCTAGGTTTGTCATTGCTTTCCTCCCAAGAAGCAGGCGTCTTTTAATTTCGTGACTGCTGTCACCATCTGCAGTGATCATGGAGCCCAAGAAAGTAAAATCTCTCACTGCCTCCATTTCTTCCCCTTCTATTTGCCAGGTGGTGATGGGACCAGTGGCCATGATCTTCGTTTTTTTGATGTTGAGCTTCAGACCATATTTTGCGCTCTCCTCTTTCACCCTCATTAAGAGGTTCTTTAATTCCTTCTCACTTTCTGCCATCAAAGTTGTGTTATCTGCACATCTGAGGTTGTTGATATTTCTTCCGGCAATCTTAATTCCGGCCTGGGATTCATCTAATAATAATAATAATAATAATAATAGTAATAATATCTTTATTGTCATTACCCCCTCTCGGGGACAACGAAATCACTTGACTGCTCCATAAAAACCCTAATTAAAACAATACAGTATAGTACAGCATGGAAGATTAGATGACTTTCAAAGTCCAGGCTTTCCATTCAGGGCCGAGATCGCTCTGGAGAAGAAGCTGTTCTTAAGACGGCTCGTTCTTGTCTTCATCGTCCTGTATCTCCGTCCCGACGGCAGGAGCTCGAAGAGACAGTGACCAGGATGCGATGGATCTTTTACTATGTCCAGTGCCTTCCTATGGCACCTTGTGGCATAAATCTGCTCTAAGGTGGAGAGTGGGCAGCCAACAATGCTCTCTGCTGCCTTAACAACTCTGCACAACCCCATCCTGTCCTGGGTAGTACAGCTTCCGTACCACACACATAAGCCATAAGTGAGCACGCTCTCAATGGCACAGTGATAGAAGGCAAGCAGCAGTTTCTGCGGAAGATGGTTTTTCCTTAGAATTCTCAAAAAGTACAGTCTCTGCTGCGCCTTCTTCACAAGCCCCCTTGTGTTAACACTCCAGGACAGATCCTCTTGTAATTCAATGCCCAAAAATCTGAACGTTGTTACCCTCTCCACACAGACCCCATCAATCAAAAGTGGCTGGACATTGCTCTTCTGTCTCCTGAAGTCCACCACAAGCTCCTTTGTCTTCCTTGTATTTATGAGCAAGATGTTAGCTCTGCACCACTCTGTCAGCCGCTCCACCTCATCTCTATAATCCGTTTCAATCCAGCCTTTCGCATGATGAATTCTGCATATACGTTAAATAAGCAGGGAGACAATATACAGCCTTGTTGTACTCCTTTCCCAATTTTGAATTCACCAAGATGATCAGCCTTATTTAACTAAAATGTGCATATCTTGCCTTTCATCACAAGATCTGAGGGTGGAGACCGATTAAATTAAATGAAAACAACACATCCTTTAAGCAAGCATAAGGATTGATAAAAATGATTGACATTATCGCATACAGCGATCTGTATTTTTAATATTGACACAGCCTCCCTTTCTCTTCCCCTTCTGCAAAGCAGAACACGTCCTCAGTTAACAACTAGAGTCAATTATCCTTCAGAGAGGACTTGAATGATACTTGATATATATATTTTAATGATGAAGCGGAGGGGAAGAATCTCATCACAAATTCAGAAGACCAACATTTTATTGGTAAGTTGGACTGGCACAAATGCAGTACTACTTATAGCCAGCCATTTCAGAGGATTTGCAGAACTGTGCACACCTAGGCTATGTACTAAACTCTGGGTCCTGATTCTATCTAGCCCAAAATAAAAGCTAGAGCACCAGCATATAAAATATGGTGTTGCGCCTTTGATCTGCCTACTTTTAACATTATGGCATCACAGAACTTCCCTGAAGAGGATGAGGGATGCAACAACGCTTATGCAACATGTTTCCCAGTAATGCAATGCCATCTGCTTATATAAAAATGTGGGTGGCCAAATGTGGGTGGCCAAAATTCATACAGATCAGCACTGCTCATAAGTTAAAGAAGCAAAGACACTATTCAATCTCATGATATGTGACTGATGTACAAAGCAATCCTAGACACGACTGTTCAGAAGCAAGTCCCAATGAATTAAAACGAGGCTTATTCTCAGAAAAGTGGGTATAGGACCACAGCCCCTTGTGCATCCAGAAAAAGCAAATGGTCATTTCTGGACTGGAATATGTACTTCTTTAGACTATAAGCAGGGAGGGCTTCAGGTGTCTGGTGCGTTTCCGCATGTAAAAGCTCTCTTCACACAGAAAGCTAGCATGTCAAGGAGAAAGGTTGAGTGTTGGAAATTTTTCACCTGTTACATGAGTTTCGCCCTGGGACTTGGAAACAGAGTCCAGGGCATGGCTCACAGGTAGAGCTACTTCAATAAATTGGTTGCAGTGTGGAAAACAGTGTTTGTGTGCAGTATTTTACTTGCTGCAGATGGCACGGGTCATTCAGTGTATGGGGAGGGACAGTCTCAGCTTCATATATGGCTTCAGTTGCAACAGCCTAGTTTTCCCCCATGTAAGCCTGGCTCCCATTGCTTTCTACTTGTATTTAATTTAATTAAAGAAATTGATATATCACCGCTCAGTAAATATTTCCAAGGCATCTCGCCGACACAAAACTACGATATATATTAAAAAACAAAAACAACAATAAACAAAAGGACAGAATTAAAAATGAAAACAACACAGCAGCATAACCCTACCTATCAAGGCTTGGGGAAATTAATTCATTTCAATTAACTTCCCAGTTACTCCATGATTCTACCATTCAAATACAGAATATAATTGCTGACTCTCTGCTTTCAAGAGTAGCCTGACATACGAAAATAACACAAAGCAAGCAAGCTTGCCCAATCACTCATCATTTTTCCTTATATGAGGAAAAATGTCACCTGCTAAAGTTCCACGTATCAGGCTGCTATTAAAAGCACAGTAACAAGGGTGGTAAAAAGATGGCAACCCCAGGGATGAAAATTGTAACAGGCTAGGGAGCATGAATTTTGATCTTCTTTTAAGTTTCTAGTATTAAGTATGTGAAGACAGACTTGGAAGTGGGTGGGCAACGTCTAGTTTGTTCATTGTACTTAATAATTGGGTTGGGGGAGGGGTTTCTGAAAAGTACCTCAAAGCAACTTGCACACACAAAAATTGCACATAGGTTAAACCCAACCAAAAACTGAAACTGAGCCAACATAGTTATAAACAGGACATTCATCTTTATAAAATGGCAGAACTAACACCCCAATCCACTGAAGGAGGCCACAAATTAATTAAATGTCCAAAGGCCTGACAGAAAAGAAATGTTTTTACCTGATGAGGTTTTTACCTCAGAGAAAGCCCCAGCTGAACGGACCCCTGACTGTTAGGTCCAGTTGTGACCGACTCTGGGGTTGCAGCGCTCATCTCGCTTTATTGGCTGAGGGAGCCGGCGTACAGCTTCCAGGTCATGTGGCCAGGATGACTAAGCCGCTTCTGGCGAACCAGAGCAGCAAAAGGAAACAGTGTTTACCTTCCTGCCGGAGCGGTACCTATTTATCTACTTGCACTTTGATGTGCTTTCAAACTGCTAGGTTGGCAGGAGCAGGGACCGAACGGGAGCTCACCCTATCGCGGGGATACTTCAGAGCAAACAAACATAAGGTTGCACCATTAAGTCTCAAAAGCCGCCATATTAAGAGCCAAGCACATGTCCTAGCAATCAGGGGACACAAGCTGTCCCCACATAACTCTGGGCCACCTCTTGAGTTGCAAACTCAGAATAGGTTATCCAACAGCAGCAAATATATTCGCATGCATATAACCGGCTGTCCCCAATACAGAATTCATGCTGTCTATCTTTCCACATGGCAAGTTCAACAGATACAGCGCGGTTAGCAGTTAACTCCAGAGGGAGATGCTCCCAATAAAGCCATCGAAACGACTGCCGTCCTAACCGCGGAGAGCGACAAACGGGCGGGAACATGTTTGCGCGCCAGAGTTGGGAGCGAGTCCCGTTGGAAATTACCGCTGCTGCAGAATAAAGCCGGGAGACCGTACTGTGTAACATGCCGCTTCAGCCGAAAGAAGCGCGCTTCTTCCGTGGGCAGTATTGTGGTTTTACCAACTGGATCTTTCCGCCTGCGACGCGCCCGTAGAAAAGGCACGAAGGCCCGGCCGAGCCCAGCCTATAAGCGACCTGGCTTTCCGATCGAACAAGATCGCCGGCAGTCCCGGCGCCTCGCTAGGGGGCAGAAAGATGGGGAAGGCAGGGAAGGCGGCCGTGCGCCACGGCGCTCTCCTTAAACGTCTTCCGGGATATCTGGAGTGGCGCCCGGTTTCCTTAGTCATTGCCCAGCAGATAGCAATCGAAAGCGGGCCAGTGATTCAGGCTACTTACTTGCTACCACCCGCCTCCGCCCCCTGGAAATAAATAGGGCGGAAGCGGCAGCGTTTTCCTGCTCGCTTGCAGACTTTCCATTTTGCAGGTAAGTGGAAATGCGGAAAGTTTCCAGAGATTTCCCTTTGTGGGGCGGAAGTAACTGGAAATAATGATAACGATTGTTTCTACGAGTCCAGTTTTGCGAGAGGCGTGACTTGGACCGAGGCAGTGTTTACGAGTATTTTGGAAGGGGGCATTTAGTTGCTCCGTTAGCAACGGAGGATAGTGGCCGATATATGCTTCGGGGCTTTTTAGCAGCATGCCGCAGTTTCATTAAAGCAAACAAACAAAAACAAGGCAGCTTTCCATAATAATAATAATAATAATAATAACAGTTTTAAGGAAGAAGGCACCAAGCATTTCCGTTAGTTGCCTACCTTATGAGCTTGGCAGCAAGTGAGTCGTTTTCAGCAAACAGCTGAAAGTTTGCATAAGAGGCGCTCGCTGAATCCCGGTTGGAATCGGCTGATGACGCCGGAGGCTGTTCCCTGCAGTTATCAAACGAGCCTCAGCAGCTCCGGGGACAGCCGGCGACGCGCCTCCTGGGGATGATCCCGGGGACTGAACCGGTGTATTAGGGATCAGACGGTCCTGAGACTTTCTAATGGTTTCTGGATCCCATGCTTTATGAAGTATCCACAGCACAGCATGTGCCAATAAGTAATCTAATTAGAATTAGCAAAATTAGGATTAGTAAAATTAGTAAAAACTAATCGGTGCAATTAGTACGTAGATCTCTGTTCCTCAGCTGAACACTTCAGCATTATTACATTTCCTCCTCTTTTCTCATTTTCTTTAGCTGCCTTGGCTGAAGACCTTTTGCTCTCTTTGCGATGGGCGGCCAAATCTCTGTGGACAAGTCGGTGCAGGTGGTGATAGTCGGGGGCGGCTTCGGCGGGATTGAAGCTGCCCGCAAGCTCAAGTGTTGGGGAGTCCCCTTCGTTCTGGTGGACATGAGGGACGCTTTCCACCACAATGTCGCTGCTCTCCGGGCTGCCGTACAGAGTGGTGAGCTTCTCCTTCTGGGGACAGCAGCATGTGTGCTTCTTTCTCTAAGATATGGGCAGTTTGTATGAAGGAGATAAGCGGTCAAACCAATTGCATAGATAGGGGCTTATACCATAGAGCTGTTGCTTACTCAGGCCTTAGAAATCACAACTGGTAGAGAGGGCTCTGTGTGATGTCATTTCCCCTGTTCTCCTGGAGAGGAAGGAGCATATAGTACTTCCTGTTCCCCTCTTCCTTCAACCAGCCATGGGGGCAGATGTGCCCTTTGCTTGCTCCAGCTCAGACAGATGCCTGAAGCTGGTTACACTGTAAATATGCCTATTTCCTCTGCATACATATTTTATATTGTTGCCACTGCTATGAACCAATGCAAGATGATCAGTAAGTCAGTCATATTTTTAAATTTAGCTCCCAAGTTGTAGCCTGATTCATTGTTAAGTGGAGCAAGCTGGACTTGCTCAAAGCAAAGTTTTATAGCTTAACGCTTATGCTTTATAAATTTTGCTGCCAAGGATGGGATTTTGAAACTCTGTTCAACCCACATACGTGGGTGCCTGGAGGGATAAATTGCAATTAATATATCCTCTCCTACCCATTAAAACCCATCCCACAAACAGCTCCAGTGTGCTATGAGAATATTTGTAGGTAGGATGGGAGCTCTTGGATCTATGTTCAGAAATTAAGTACTGAGCCTGATAATCAAACACCTCTTTCCAGGTGGCAAAACCAGGCTGAATCCTGCACATAACAGCAACTGTAGCCTCATTCTTTTCCCTACACTTGTTTCTCTCCCTGCCCTTGTCCCCAACAACTTGATGGGTCCTTTCCTGTCAGGGCCATATGCTGGGAAACTACTTTTTTTCTTTTAAATGCCCTGTAAATCTTTAGGCAAATTTTGCTGCGTGGCTTGCTAAGCTGAAAAGTTTCCAGGTAGCACCCTGTGATTCTCCCACTCCAAGTACTTGACATTCCTTCATTTTTGCAGTCCCAGATGGGAGTGATAATGAGGTTTACTGCACCCACAGTGACAATATTGGTTTGAGGAGACAAGAAGTTATATGGACCTGCTCTAACAAGAAAATGTTTCAAAATTAAACCAGTTCAGGATATGGGTTGAAATTCTGTGATTTAGCAACTTGAGAAGCCTGAGGGCACCCTGATCCTTTATCGTCTGTTCCGTTTCTGTGTTGTTGATCCGAAGGATTGGTTGTATTTTCTTTGCTTTTAGAAATTGGTAGTTGTACAGTGATTTATGCCACTTTTTTTTTTACACTGTATACTGCTCTGAATACATTGGTAGAAGAATCAGACAGAAAAAATATAAGTATATCATTACAGCAAAGTTTTGGGAGCCTTAATGTTTGTGGGGCAGAATTATGACTGAGACCTAGTCTACACATGCAGCAGAATGAGGTGGTTAAGTCCTGTAGTGGTATAAAGGACCCTAATTTATTATTTAAGTTTTCTCTTTTTGCGTTGCCTTTTGTAAAAAGTTCACTGTACTTAGAAACTGCAGCAGATCCACGCCTCACATTTAAAACACACCCAACAAAAACCTCCAAGGAAGGCGAGTCCACAACCTCCCGAGGAAGTCCGTTCCATTGTTGAACAGCTTGCACTGTCAGAAAATTCTTCCTGATGCTTAGTCAGAATCTTATTTCTTGTAACTTGAATCTATTGGTTTGGGTCCTGCCCTCCAGAGCAAGAGGAAACAAGCTTGCTCCATCCCCCCTATGTCAGCTCTTTAGATATTTGGAGATAGCTATCATACCTCTTGTCACTCTCCTCTTTTCCAAGAATACAGTTGGGTGTGGCTTAAACACATGGTGTGGACCTGCAGGTGGGTTGGACTGAAGTGTTTTTATTTCTGTTATAGGTTGCTATTTTAACTTGCAGAGGGGTTTTTTGGGGGGTGTACACTCTGAATGTAACATGCATCCCCTGCGGTCTACTCCTATTACTTTGGGCTTCTACCTTCTCATCCTGCCACACATAGACTAGGCCATACACGTATTAAATATTTAACTTCTTTGTAGTCTTGCTCTTTAAGTACCATTAACGGCCTGAAAATTCTATACATCATTTTGCAGGATTTGCCAAGAAAACTTTCATCTCCTTCTCCAAGACCTTCGGAGGCAGTTTCCGGCAGGGTCTGGTAGTTGGAATTGACTTGGAGAAACGGCATGTCCTGTTGAATGATGGTGAAGTGAGTGCATTGAGGCTAAAATCTGTGGTAGCCTGTAGACATGAATTGCAAGAAGGTCCGACTGACCCTCTTTTAACATCTCTTTTTAGCACCTCTGCTATTCCCACCTGATCCTTGCCACAGGGAGTGATGGGCCTTTCCCAGGAAAATTTGACAAACCCATGGACATGCAGTCTGCTATTCAGACCTACGAGGACATGGTTCAAGAGGTGATGTTGCAAATTCCTTTTGGTGGGAAATTGGTCTTTTCACCTTGTGTATGGCTATGTCTAGGGTCTGTACATGGACCTACCTTGGCTCACTAAAGTGCCACTTAAGGCTGACTTCTGGCAAGATGGCAGTTGGGCAAGTCCAAATACTCCCTTTCAATCAGAAACTCAGACATATAAGCTAGGCACCAAATGGCTCCTTAAATCAGGGTTACAGTTGCCAAATCAGAATGCCTAGTTTCCATTTGGCGGCCAGAAGGCTCAAAAGTTGTATTTTTCAAGACAACTTTGGGGTTCCTGAAATTTGCTCTGATGGTGCAAATAAAATATTGCAGATAGAATTCCCCAGGCATGCACCTCCAGATGGTGGAGATGTCGAGCGCCATCCTGTTATAAATTATGAAGAGATGTTAACATAATATCTAAACTCTTTCGTTTCTCCTGGTTTTGAAAGGTTGAAAAATCTCCCCGCATAGTAATTGTGGGGGGTGGTTCTGCTGGTGTTGAAATGGCTGCGGAGGTTAAGACGAAGTATCCCAACAAAGAGGTAGGAGCCACAAGTGACACTACTGCTCACCATTTTATTCCTCTGGTAATTGAAATTTCCCCAGAATAGAAAAGGGTTGCCGTAAGTGTGGACTCTTAAATGTTTGTGTGCGTGATTCTAAATATCTCTATAGTGTTTTACATTTCTTTACCCCTGCCCCCCAACAGACTGCAATTCTGTGCGTGGTTACTTGGGAACAAGTTCCACTGCGTTCATTGGGACTTGCTTCTAGCTAAATATGCATAGGATTACAGTTGAAATTATTTTATTTTTAAAAGTGAATGGGTGCTTGGTGTTTTTTCCTCCTCTATTGCTTTGTCTTTAAATGTATGCTCAACGCTACAGGTTTGGCTAATTCCTCTTTTTTGGTCTTTTTAAGTAGAGAAATTGCAATTTGGGTGTGTTGTTGCCCAGTTCTGCTGTTATGTTGAATTGTAATCCAGGGACTCCATTTTCTTTGGCTTTGTAGTGGATTCTAGCTTGCTATGTCTTCTGTAAGCCAAAGCTTTACTTTTGCGGGGGGCAGGGGAGCGATCTAGATCTAGTTGCCAGCATAGCAGACAAAAATTTGAAAAGCTGCATGATTTTATGGGCTCTCAATGGCCACATTTAGGTGTCATGATATACTAGGTAATCTAATTACCATGCATGAAACCAGTTGCACCCACTTAACCATATTCCCTGGCTTAGTGTAGTGTCTGAAGCAGGAATTGTGGTTTCTTTCACACCAAGCAAACCATGATAAGCTAAGGTCTACTGATTGTGGTTTGAGAGAAACAAACAATGATCCCTGATTCGGATGGAACACTAATCCACCAGCTGTGTTTTATTTTCTCCCTAAAAAGGAATGAAGGGGCTCATGCATGGGAACCCATGCTTTACTACGATTTACCACAATGTGAGAATGCTGCCTTTGTAGTAATCGAAAACCTGGTTAAATTGATACTGCAGACAGGTCATGGGTCTTTGCTGTTAACACTCACAAATTCAACAATGTGGTTTTGTCCCCAGGTCACCCTTATTCACTCAAAAGTTGCACTGGCAGATGCAGAAGTGCTCCCCAGAGTTCGGCAGGAGGTGAAGGAGTCCCTTTTAAAAGAGGGGGTACATCTCTTATTGAGTAGGTGCATAGCTCATTTATTGCATGTAACTGTCTCCTAGGACAGTGTTTCCCAACCGGTGTTCCGCGGCACACGAGTGTGCCGTGAGACATCGGCTGGTGTGCCGCGAGATGCCTGGAGGGAGGCGGGCGAGTCGGGCGGCGAGAGGCGGGGCGGCGGCGGCGAGGAGCCGCTCGGCGCGCAAAGCGAGGGAGGCTGGAGCCAAGAGCAGCGGCGAGCAGGAGGCGCTTGGTGGGAGATTCAGCCGAGCCCGAGCTGCGTGCGCTCCCGAACCTCTGGGCGGAGAAGAGCGTGCGTGTGTCCGGCTTAGCGACGGATCCTCTCACCCGGCGCAGCAGAAGACAACCCTCGGGGCGGAGCTCCTGCCACAGGCCTCCCGCCTTCTTCCCCACGCGGGGCAGAATAAGTGGAAACCGGCGGACGCAGCGGGTTTCTCAGCCGCTGCCCGGGTTGCCCCTCTCTCCTACAGAGCCGCATCCATCCCAGCCCCTCCTGTCATCTCAACCTGCCCGTCTAATTTACATACCATCATATCCTCCTTTCTTATTGATTCACTTAGATTTAGTCTTACATTTCTCGCTTTGTCTCCGTAGACTGCGCGGAGGGAGAGCCAGAGAGAGGCATCGCTCCTGCGCGGCGGGAGAGGGAGCAGCCGGAGCGATGCCCCAAACGAGCTGAATTCCGAGCGAGGGACTGAGGGGGGAGGGAAAAAACTTTCACTTTCGTGCGTCCCTCCCGGCGTGACGCTGCGCGCTGACGTCACGGGGCGGGGCTTTAATGGTGGTGTGCCGCGAGATTTTTTTCAGTAAACAGGTGTGCCGTTGCCCAAAAAAGTTTGGGAAACACTGTCCTAGGAAAGCTGAAAATGATCTTTCCTCTTAAACGTTTCCAGACCAATTAAGGGTTGCTTCAGAAGAGTTTCTTTTTGTACTTTGGTATACATACACTGTGCATCTCAATGAAACTATGCTCATGTAATTTATTTAGCTACCTTTAAAATAATACACAGGAACAATTGGCAAAGAGGATTGAGCCCCTGCTCGTATTTTAGTAGCATAAATGGTTAACATGCATGCACATGTCAAATTAGGACATACAGTGTTTGTATTTTGTACGTTGCTCAAAAAAGTTAGAGTGGTTCATGGGGATTACATACTACGGCAACTTTCATGTAAGTTGGAATACTGTACTCCCATTGGACTCGGGAGAGCGTTGCTTCTGAGTAGACAAGCTTAAGATTATACAGTGGTACCTCGGGTTAAGTACTTAATTCGTTCCGGAGGTCCGTTCTTAACCTGAAACTGTTCTTAAAGCACCACTTTAGCTAATGGGGCCTCCTGCTGCCGCCGTGTCGCCGGAGCACGATTTCTGTTCTCGTCCTGAAGCAAAGTTCTTAACCCGAGGTACTATTTCTGGGTTAGCGGAGTCTGTAGCCTGAAGGGTATGTAACCTGAGGTACCACTGTACTTCATTCCTCTTTTACTTCAGGTTACTTGGTGAGGATATTGTGTATTTATTTTAACTGAAATGTGTTTTTGCTCAGGAGCTGTATACAATGTGAAGTCCTCCCTGGGACCAAGTTCCAACCCAATTTTTATACAGTGGTACCTCAGGTTAAGTACTTAATTTGTTCCAGAAGTCCGTTCTTAACCTGAAACTGTTCTTAACCTGAAGCACCACTTTAGCTAATGGGGCCTCCTGCTGCCGCCGTGCCACCAGAGCCCGATTTCTGTTCTTATCCTGAAGCAAAGTTTTTAACCTGAAGCACTATTTCTGGGTTAGCCGAGTGTGTAACCTGAAGTGTATGTAACCTGAAGCGTATGTAACCCGAGGTACCACTGTAATTAGAAGTTGCTCATATAATAGAGTTCCAAGATTTTCTTTATAACCAGGAAGGGTTAGTAACACATCTTTTTAAAACAAAACCGTATTGGAAGTTTTGAACTGGGCGCTTCGTTACTTTTAAGTTATGGTAAATATAAAACAGGGTTGAGGACTGAATGTAGGTTCTCCAGATCTTTATCTGACCTGTGAGGCAGGCCATGCCATGTGTCCAGTTTAACATGTTCCAGCCTTCCTGAGCACCCTGTCTGAAAAAGTTCCCCCACCCTTGTTCTAAAATTTAAAGTCAACCAACATCCTTTCAAGGAATAAATACCTTAAAGCACAAGAGGATGGGAGCACGATTGTTGCAGTGGTTCAGTGAGGTATGGTGTCCTTGTTTTTGTTTTTTGGCTGCTTACAACAGGTCAGAAAGTTGAAAACCTGCAATCGCTGACTTTAAACCAATTCAAAGAGAACATGATAGTGAAGACAGACAAAGGCACAGAGATTGTTACCGACATGGTGATTCTCTGCACTGGGATAAAAGTCAATTCCGCAGCATACAGCGGTGCATTCAGTAAGTTATTTCCCACCCTGACTTCATGTTTAAGGAAACATAGTTCTTCCAGTCCTCATGTCTCAATTATAAATTGGAATTGTAACTTTGTACTTAGTTTCAGAAGGTAGCTAGCAATATTCAAGACTTGTTTTGTGGCTTGTGGAGAGTTCATGGTTTCCGTAAGACCAAGAAAGAAAGGTTAAACTGAATTACATAGTTCATGGAACTACATACTGATTTAATTCCATCATCCATCATTAGGCGACAAGCTGGCAAGTAATGGTGCTTTGCAAGTGAATGAGTACCTTCAGGTTAAAGGATATGATAACATTTATGCTATTGGCGATTGTGCTGATGTGAACGAGCCAAAAATGGCATACCATGCTGGGCTCCATGCAGATGTTGCAGTGACAAACATTGTCAACAGCCTGACACAGAAGCCTCTGAAAACCTATACACCAGGTAAGTTTTGTTTTGTGCCTTCATGTCTCTCTTACACTTCTTCGACAAATGTGCATTACAAGGGGTAACTGCACCAGAGTTTGAAGCTGCTATTTTAGGGGACTTCCTACAATCTCTTGTAATGCTAGTTCATTCCATACTTTATTGAGCATTTTACTCGGGATTGTTCGGGTGGAGAAATAATAGTTGCTAATTAAATGTGCGAACAAGGCCTCGATAGCTCTTATGAGTGGGGAATATGGACTTTGCATGAAATGTGGTTTAATAAATGACTTAAAGTAAATAATATAGCTTTATAAATCTGTGTCCCCTTCAGGATCACTCACATTCTTGATCTCACTGGGAAGATGTGATGGAGTGGGCCAAATCAGTGACTACTACGTGGGACATCTCTTAGTGACAGTAGTTAAAAGCAGGGATCTTTTCGTCTCACAAAGCTGGAGAAAGATGGGTCAGTGTATGCCATGCTAGATAGAGGCTTGCAAGAAAAGATGCAGGTGTAACAGGACCAGTGCCAAAAAAGAATATATCTTTCAATTAAAGAAGGGTTGGGTATTACTAATTTTAAAAAGCTTAACTTTTGTCATATATGGTTTGTATATCTTATCCAAGGCTATATTTTACATTGGACCTTGGGATCATTTTTACTATCCGGCTCATAAGCTATAATGGATTCTGAAAGTTCTTGAATTAAAAGAAATAGCAACCTACAATCTGTTTTGTGCTGTATTCATTGAACTATGTGTGTCTTGTCTGCTTGAGTTTATCTTTTTTTGGTATATTAAGCTTAAACCTACCTCTTTTAAGCAAACGATTTCCCCTAGAATATATTTATGTTGACTTCTAGCATATCCAAGCCCAAAAGTTTTAGGGCAGTTGGTCCATGCACCTCCCAAAACTGTGTAAGCTATGATGTGGCATAGCTCAAGCTTTAGAACTTATCAGTTCCTAGGACCTCAACACTGCAGTTGTTGTTACTTTACATATTTTTTTGTGTTGAAAGTTGTTTGTTTCTTAAACAATACAGTATGATGACCTCAAAAAGTGAAGTTTTTTGTTTTTAAAAATGTATCTACAAGTTGAGTGTTTTCCTTCTACCCATGGGTCAAGAATGGAACATTAAAACCTTTACGAACAAACCTGGGTGTGTGCAGAATCGTTTTGATTAAAAAATCTAAAATGACAGCAACATGCCTATTTTTCCTTGCCACCAACACATGGTCTATTTCAAAGTAGATAAAAGGTAAATGTAAAATAACATTCCATTATGCACTACTTTTTCCTGTATTCAAAACTTTCACCCATCATAATACAGCTCTTTGTTGTTGTTGATGATGATGATATTTCAAGAACAAACAAAGGTGCCTCATCATATTACTCCCTTTGTTCATGGATGAGAGCAGAATTGGACAGTTTAGTGAAGCTGGTTTTTGTCTTCTTGAGAAGGAATGGAACTAACATTGACTTCAAAATAAACTGTATAACACACTGGGCACTATTCAACTAAAGTTGAGCACTTTATGTACTCCCCTAAAGCTCAACAGCTGAAATCTACGAGACCTACATGTACAGTGGTACCTCATGTTCCGGATGGGATCTGTTCCGGAGGCCCGTCCGTAACGTGAAATGCCCGCAACTCAAAGCACTGCATCTGTGCATGTGGCAAAACCCGGAAGTAACCCGTTTCGACACTTCCGGGTTGCTGCGGGACATAACACGAAAAGATACAACATGTGGTATGACTGTACCTGATTTTTGTGTGTGGGGAAATTGCTTTTTTTAGTACATTTGCATCCCCCCTCCATTTGTCAGATTCTGTGGTGTCTTTTAGTAGCGCAAAACTACAATATAGTCCATTCCACACATCTTTCCCAGTGGCAATGCTGAATGACAGACTAGGATGGAACTGGTCTCATTGCTCCAAGAGACTTCTCTGTCATAAAACTGAAGATGCTTTCCCTTGAGAATAAGTCTTAAGTGAAAAGGTTTTGAGTTTCAAGTTTTTAAAAAGCATGATGCCACATTTTTTATATAAAAACAAATAAGATGAAATATTCTCAGCAATTACAGTTCATTCTGGGGTAAAACAGTAAAGCACCAAGTGAGTTTTCTTTGAAATTACTTTCTCCAACATGGAATGTAGACATAACAAGGTTTTCTAACTACCAGTGGGGAAAGAAAGAGCAAACAATTCATTTTCCCACTCTGTGTTGAATTGTCTTGCTACTCTAAAATGAGATTAATCTTTAAAAGGTCTAAACTAAAATAACTCGAGACATTAAAAGGTAAAGAGACCTGGCAATGTAATTTCTTAGGGATGATATAAAATGGTAGAGGGTGCCTAAAGCATGGTATAATTGCCGATCAAATTCTCCCAAACAAATTCCCCTTCTCCCCCCCCCCAATTAACAAAAGCCCTCCACCCATCACAAAACTTCAAAGCTACTCACATACTCCGTCCTCACAATATTTTAAAAATAAAACCCACTTCTAATTCATTCCTACTCATATTCATGTTGAAAAATAAATTTTCATTTGGCTTCTGTTGCTACTTTGCATCTAGCTTTGCCATCTCTTGCACGTAGATGCCAATGCTCTCACTGTCAAAAAGCACGAAGTAAATGTTCTTCAAGGAAGAAGGGCTGGAGTCATCAAAATGGGAAGAAATGGCTTTGAGTGTCAGCTGGGCTGCAGTCTGTTTTGGAAAGCAATTTCTATATACAGGGGGAAAGAGATCAACATTAAAGTTTGAACATAAGAGCATTAGCCCAAATTATGAGCTAAATGTACTTTACAAATGCTCAACTCATTATTTAAAAGATGTTATTCCAGAAAACTATCAATAAATAATGTTCAACCTTATGATTGCTAAGATTATAGCAGCTAAAAATCAGAAAAAGCGTATCTCCTACTATATTTGAATGGATTGAGAAAATTTGGACCATAGTAACTATGATCAAGCTAATATAAAAGTACATATGCACCAGCCTAACAGACTTATGGAAAAATGGGTATCTGCTGTCCAGGAATATCAGCATATTTATAAAGGATGGATAATCTTTGGGAAGAAGAGGAATGATAACAGACAAGGGCTCATAGGGACATGAAGCTTGGAAAGAGTGCAGTGGATCAAGATCAAGATGTAGCTGAATCAACAACAGTAGTTTCAAGATACAGATAGTAGAGCTTACTTGGTCATGGAAATAAAGGGAAGGGAATTATGGGAAGAGAAGCTGGCTGATAGTGCTTCTCAAAGCACAATGGCAGTCATAATGAAATTCAAAAAGATATTATACCACACAATGTAAGTGATGAATGGCTACTGGGCAGAGGAGACACTGTTGGAGAGAAGTATCTTAACATTTCACCTAGCATACCTAAATCCTTGGACAGCACTGAAAAAGGCCACAGCTATTGAAATATAAAGCCAGTCACAGAAAGCTCTTTAGTAGTTGCATGAAATACTAGAAGTTCAGAAAGCGATGCTTTCCTTGACACAGAGATGCAATGACTTGAAAAAGTTGAACATTATGCAGTCATTAAAGGTGCAGGACCTTTGGCAGGAAAAAAAATATATGGCAAGCCTTCATCTCACACTTACAAATTTGTTTTGTGACTAATTTGACAAGATGTTGAAACATTTATAACTAAGTGGTGGGGCTTTACAGAGAAAACCACATACCTGCCACTGGGGAAAGGTGGGAAAGCCACAGATTTCAGCTTCTTGTCTTCAGCAGCAGTTAAACAATTCTTTACAGTCTCCTCCAGCTGCTCTTCACATTTGTCTGAACCCCACTGTGGGATGTGACAGTGAATGACAAACTTTGCTGCGAGACCAGTAGACTGGCTGAGAGCAGCTGGGGGGGAAAAGGGAGAAAAAAGCAAATATGTTAGGCGTTAAAAACACCCTGTCAGTTTAATCAGGTCTATAATTTTTGGCTACGGAAACCAATAATTTTTGGCTACAGAAGCCAAAAATTGTTGTTGCCAGTCCCCATCCCTCTGTCTGGCTTTTCCTCAGGAAGAACCAGCGGGATGGGGGCAAGCTTGCTTGCATACCACTGCTTGAAGGTGCCTTTGCCATCCTCCACCCAGTGAGGGAAGGGTCATCATGTGGTGTAACCCACAGCCCCCCTCCTGACTCTGGAGGGTACAAAAATCACTGTGCAACTACTAAGCTCTGCAGCTTCAGAATTAGATTTAAGGCTTAACATCTCTCGCACTCCACAGAGGGCAGCTCCACACTTGCTACAGTGAGTGTGGCAAATGAAACTGTTAAGCCTGCTATTCATTCATACTTCCAAACCAAAATAACATTCCTTATAAAAATATAAGGTAGTCTTTATTCTGTTGCAATACAAGATACCTGTGGGATGGAATACCACAGACACTGAAATAACTCATGCATTTTTCGAAAAGTTATTCCAAAGACAAACAACAGCAAGAAAAAACACTGAATATTTGTAAGGAGAAAATACTAAATGATTAATAAAAAAAAGTTCTGCAATAAACAAAAGAGGTTACCTTCTGTGACTTCCAGAGGTCCTTGTGTTTTACGGAGTTCCTTTATGGTTTCTAAGAACTCTTTACCTCCAGACTTTTCCAGTGCCTTACCTGGGGGGGGGGGGGGCAAAAAAGCAAGACACATTTCTATTTAAATACTAGTGGATTTTTCAAATAAAAATATAGAATATGAAGTAAGTCAGCTATCAGTTTTGAGCCTACAGCCCTACAGTCAAAGATTCATTTATCAATCCAAATAAAATGATTTCCCCTCCTCCCAGTGCCTCAACTTTCCATTTAAAATGTAGATAAATATTGTGCTGGCTGTCTCAAGTTTATTATAGTTTTATCGCACTATGGTTTTTATTTTTTCTATTTGTAAGACACCAAGATAATTCATTTTATGAGGTGTCTAAAAGACAATAAACAAACAAAACTCTTAAAACACTAGCAGAAGCCTAAGTACATAGCAAATGCAGCCAACTTTAGGATGGTGTAATTAAAAAGCTAACATAGTATTGCATCAACTTATTGTGTTATGAGATACATAGGCATTTGAAATCTTGAAACAAGACATTTGAATTATATCACTGTTAAAAATAAAACAATTGCTACAAAGATGGAAACTGCTGTACAAATAAGGGTTTTTGTTACACATAACTCAGACTTCACCAACCTAGAGACCTCCAAAGGTTTGGACTACAACTGCTTTGAGTGCCAGTCAGCTCAGCCACACTGGCTGGGGCTGATGGAAGTTGTAGCCCAAAGCAGATAAAAGTTTTGAGTTCTGATGTTAAGGTTAGACTTCAACAGTCCTCCTGGAAAAGAGTTACAATTACAATTCAAAGGTTCAAATATCCCCATCTCCTTAAAAAAAAAAAGAGTCTTAGAGACTTACCTACTTCTTCTTTGAGGTCTATTTCACTAGTAGTCGGGTGCACAATGCCTTCTACTTTCATAGAACCAATATGGCTGATGTCACTCTGCGTCAGAGAGAGCTGCAAGATGCCAATGAAACAGGAGAAAGAATTCACAAGAATATAAAGAAGCTGGCTGGATTGGACTAAAGGACTATAAGTACAGAATCATGTTTCAAACATGCCAAATAGTTGTCTTCAAGAAACCTGCAATCGGATTGCATGAAATCAAAATCCGTCTCCTACTCTATGACCCCAGCAGATTGTATCCAGAGATACTTTTTTGAGATGAGGAAACCAGAACCAAACATAGGATTCAAAAAGTGACCATATCATAGATTCATATAAAGGCATCAGGATACTGACAAGCTCTATTTTCAGGTCCTTTCCTAACATTCCCAGCAAAGAAATTGCCTTTATGCTGCTAACCAAGTTTATGCTTTTAGTGAGCTGCTAACCATGACTTTAATATATTTCCTATGTAGTCTTAGCCTGTTCACATCCCGTGTGTGTGTGTGTGTGTGTGTGTGTGTGTTAGTGTGCGCGCACGCTGCTATGCACTTTGCATTTATTTACTGATGCTGTGAAATTGCCTGAATACCAAACTACTAAAACAGAAAGCAGATTGTACTTCATTTTCTTATTGCTACCAAGCTGCTATCAAATTGCAAGACTCTCACTGTCAAACTAGGGCTACCAGCAGCTCACTTTTCAGACTTCAAACAGTGCCTTTAAATACTGGATGACCACATGCTCTTTTCATTAGAAACCCCTGCTATCTTTTAAATGCCTATCTTTATAATCAAGTAATGCATTAACCTGGCCCAAATCCAGCTGCACATATGCACAGCAGTAATTGGGCTTCTGTGTGCATAGCCTGTATCAGATAACTGGTGATAACCCTGATCACCCATTCAGGGGAAGGAGGTAATGGGAGAGAGGGTACAAAATCCAGTCCCCTAACCAACAAAAGGTTAGAATAACTGCCAGTTTTCTGACTGCAGCGCAAGCATCTGGATGCAGGGAGGAATTATGCAAGCAATTACTCATTCACCTATGGAAACATGCAAATAACCCTGCTTTCATGCCCCCAGCTGATCAGGGCACTTGATTTCTGTGTTTACTATATGCATATGTATCTATAGTTACAGAGATTCACCTGAAATAAACTGGACTAAGGGCACATAACTTCCCCTCTAATAGGTTCATTGTTTTCAGCTTGCACAAGAAATACCTAACATTTTTGGATTTCAGTTTTACTAAAGCTGCATCTTCCTATCATTAAATTTATATACTGTATACTGCCCTTCATTGGAAGTTCTCAGGGTGGTTCACATCACAGAGAAAGAACAAATAGTGAGAACAAAAGCAAAACAAAACAATACCCCCCCCCCGTGCCCCATCCCACAAACACATTTAAGAGCCCACAGAATATTAATCAGTCTGGTCAAGAGAACATTTTCACCTGGCACGTAAGGATATTTAATGAGGGCATGCAGTGAGCGAACCTCGCTGGGGAGAGCATTTCACAAACAGGGAGCCACTGCAGAAAAGGCCTATTCTTGTGTTGCCACCCTCCGGACCTCTTGAGGCACATGAAGCAGGGCTCCAGATAGTGATCACAGAATCCGGGTTGGTTTATATGGGGAGAGGTATTGCAGCACAGTGCATGAAGTAGCAGCACAGCGTTCAGAGATGTTAAGATTATTGCAGTGCAAACTAATGCAGTCCCAGACCCCTGGAATTTGTGCCTTATAAATAACCCATACCTATTTCATGCAACACTTTCTCACAGAGTCTCTCTCTCTCTCTGTGTGTGTGTGTGTGTGTGTGTGAGAGAGAGAGAGAGAGAGGGGGGGGGAGAGAGAATATTTGTTGCTGTGAATGAGGAGAGGGGTGAGACCTCAGTAAGAATAATGATTGAATAGCAGGGGCATGGCCTGTTTTAAACAGGAGAAAGCTTAAACATGTAGCTCCTAGAGTGAAGATCTGCAGAGTGGCTACTTCATCATGATTTTTTTTCTTAAAAGAAGGAATTAAAGGTAAAGGTAAAGGTACCCCTGCCCATACGGGCCAGTCTTGACAGACTCTAGGGTTGTGCGCCCATCTCACTCTATAGGCCGGGGGCCAGCGCTGTCCGCAGACACTTCCGGGTCACGTGGCCAGCGTGACAAGCTGCATCTGGCGAGCCAGCGCAGCACACGGAACGCCGTTTACCTTCCCGCTGGTAAGCGGTCCCTATTTATCTACTTGCACCCAGGGGTGCTTTCGAACTGCTAGGTTGGCAGGCGCTGTGACCGAGCAACGGGAGCGCACCCCGCCACGGGATTCGAACCGCCAACCTTTCGATCGGCAAGTCCTAGGCGCTGAGGCTTTAACCCACAGCGCCACCCGCGTCCCGCTAAAAGAAGGAATTGCTTCATAAAAATACTTCCTGGATCTTGAAGAAACCCTGACTAAAATATATGCAAAGCGAGAGACAACGGAGCAAATTTTGGTGGGGATAGTGTGGACATAATTTTATTGTACTGTTCTCTAACTTGGTACCTTCTGTCCTGGAAGAAGACTCTTGGAGGAGAGTATAGTGAACCCATCACCAGGTCCATCATCAGCTGCTGAATTTGATGCTCCTTCTTTTTCATTCTCCTTCTGTTTGTTCTATTGGGGGCAGGGAAAAGAAACATTAAGAAGAAGAAAACCTAACAGAGTAGGTGGGGAAATGTACTGTCAGAGAAACCCCCCCCCCCATATTCACAACTAGTTTCCTCTGACGTGGTAACTTTTTTGTTTTCCACATGAGGGGCTAGTTCACATAAGCATCTTACTGTGTAAGAACAAAACAGAAGAGCCATTGTGTAAGGATATTAACACCTTATAGGTAAAGGTGTGACTTGGCTCTCAAATGGACAATGTGAAGATCAATGCTAGTATTAAACATAAATATATTTTGCCTTGCAGAGTTGGGTTTACTTTAATCTGTGCTATCTTGGTCAGGTCAGGTGTCCATTTGCAGCTCTGATAGATTTTGAAAAACTGTTAACATATCCATGTGTGGCTCATCTATAGTTTTTCTATCTCCTGGCATATGTTGGAAGTGGAGAAAACAAATCAGCTCTTTAAATCTATGTTAAAAACAAAAAACACCAAGACTGTGGTCTTAAGCATAACTACTTGGAAATAAACTCTGTTGAAGTCACCCAAAGGTTCACTTTCTCAGACGGAAGGAGCTTCCTTTGGAGGAAGGAAACCTTTGGATATAATTCAATGAGACTAATTTCCAAATTATTTTTCCCCAAAAAATGGTGAAGTCTTTCCCCTCTTTATACTATTAAGTATTAAGGATAGCATATGTAAGGGTTCCCTCCTCTTATACATTACAACCCTATATGGCAGCCAAACTCTTGAAAAGCGTGAGTTACTCCTTTAAAATAACTTACAGAGAAAGTTATCTTACAAGAAGTTCTAGTTTGCTCTTGCACAGTATATATTGGGGCTATTAATAATGAGCACCCTCTGAAATGAACCTGACCACAAAGAAAGGCATTATAATGAGACAATGAGACCAGTCCTAAGAGGGATGGCATAGCCTGTTTTCCAAATAGAGCTGCTTGGTCCAAGTTTTGCTTACCTTTTTGGGTGCCCGGGCTTTTGCAGCCTTTGTTTTCTTTCCAGTCTTCTTGGTCCCCAAATATTTCCTCCCTCTCTTCTCTGGAGAAGGTGAAAGGATAGTATCAGATTTGCTTTTGGTGCCTCGTTTTTTGGCAAGAAGCTCTGGATGAATCCTGGGCAGGACACCTCCACTTGCAATGGTCACTCCTTTTAGCAACTGCAGAAAGAAGCAGTGTACAGAGACAGGACATACCTGAATACAAGTTCTTTTGAGGGTACTCATTCACTTTGATAGATTTGCTTGTTGTTTTTACAAACAATTCACTGTACAAAATGGAAAAACTCCAAATATGCATCTCTGCTTTCATGCTTAAAAGAATAAAAATGTGATCAAATAAGCAAAATAAAAATAATAAATTCAGTTATATTTCCTACATTTAATACAAAAAGGAATACACAATTTATAAATCAGATTGCTGATACTGAAGGCCCATGAGCTTTGGTGACAATATACTCGTTTATGCTGTTATCACATTCTCCAATATTTCATGGATGAGAACTGAGCCACACTTTTTGTGCATGTCCAAGTATTTCTGGAGTGGAGTCTGCAACCTCAGCAGCATGCCTGGCTACATAATGCTGCGGCCAACACAATTCAGACTCAATCTGCCAAAAGTAGAAACTGGGAGCTAAGCAGAAGCCTTAAGTTGATAAAACTAGTGAGGCAACCCACAAGCTATCCAGCAAGTAAAAACAACACTACTATATTGCATTTAAACCACAGAACACTGGTCCACTTTAACAGTTGAGGAACACTGAGGCACAGTAGTAAATGCCCAGCCCAAGATAAGTGAATGAATTTATAGTAAGAATTCTAGAAAAATAAAACATTAAGCAACTGTAGCCTCCCTGCCCCCGGTTTGCAGTGTGGTGGCCTAGTTCCCACAGAGATTAAACTACTAGCACTTCTCTCTATAATAGTTAAGTAGCCCTCTCCATTGCTGCAAACTTCACCCAGAGAGTGTACCATTTCATCCCACTTCTCATGTTCCTTCCCCAATCTGGCAAAACCAACCCTTGCTTCCCTTCCTATTCTCCCCAATTTCCTCCAATGTAAATTATGCCAAGACCTCGCTAGGGCAGCTCAGGAGTCTACTTTCAATGCTGGGCCAGAGTTCTGGGAATAAAGGCATCTCTGAGATTGTGAAGAGTACGAGCCCCTCATCACTGAACTACTGCAGACTTTTGCCCTCCCACAAATTTAACACTCAGGAGTGGGCTGCCTCTGAACACATGCATAAACACTGAACCATTATCAATCCTTTCTGCAATGCCGATGCCCATTGTCTCCTCCCACTCCTTTCATTCCTTAACTTTCTCTCTCACACTCTCCCATCCCTTTTAACAATCTACCACAGTGGTTCTCAAAGGGTGTGGCTGGACATCATAGCAAGTGTGCCAGAAACATCCAAGAATAAAACATTTAAACATTTCAGTGCAGTATAGTATATCCAGCCGACTGAGGAGTTATGGAGAAGTTTATTTACTGTTATGTTACATTTTGGTTGGGTCTTATAAAGGTATGTTTTATTGCAGGCTTCCTCAAACTTGGCCCTCCAGATGTTTTTGGCCTACAACTCCCATGATCCCTAGCTAGCAGGACCAGTGGTCAGGGATGATGGGAATTGTAGTCTCAAAACATCTGGAGGGCCGAGGTTGAGGAAGCCTGTTCTATTGGGTACGTCATAATTTTGGTAGTACCATAGTTTATGGATGTCAAAGATACAGTCATACCTCAGGTTGAAGTAGCTTCGGGATGAATATTTTCAGGTTGCACTCCGAGGCGACCCGGAAGTAACAAAGCGCGTTACTTTCGGGTTTCGTCGCTCACGCATGCGCAGACGCTCAAAATGACGTCACCCGCATGCACGGAAGCGGTGAAATGTGACCCGCGCACACACAGTCGCGTCTTACGTTTACTTCAGGATGCGAACGGGGCTCCGGAACAGATCCCATTCGTATCAAGTAGCACACCTCAATCTGATAGGCTACTCTTTGTGACACCTGTCTTGAGCTTCAGCTTTCATCCACATGAATCATGCAAAAAGGAGGGGAGAGAAGAGGGAGGAATGCCCCCCAGCCTCTAAATCAATCTGATTCATTGAAATATTTGCACACTGCTCTGTATAGATTTCAGAGTGGTGTAAAACCATGGCAGTAATGGTTGAAACAAAGCAATTGGAAAGCAACAGCACAAACCTCCAGCAGTTAAACTTGGACTAAGTTCAATGGAGTTTACTCCCAGGTATGTAGGTATGGGATTGAAGTTTAGGTGATTGCATTTTGTGGCATTATAACAGTATAGCTGTTAGTATACCCTTTCTTAAACATTTCTCTGCTGGGGCAGCATGTCTAACTACTGAATACTAGTTAATAAAAATGTACTATTCAAATCAGAAGCACATGACTGTAGAGTTGCCCCATGTAGAGCAGGTTGATAAGAATGCTTTAAATTGACTCCAAACACTTCCATGCTTAATGTTTAGTTTTTCACTTTCTCTCCCCCCCCCCCCGCCCCTTGAAACCTTTAAACAAAGAACAGCAAACTTATTCATGAAGAATAACTGCAAGCCATGCAACACCTTGTTTGGCAAATTCAGAAAAAAACTGTAAGAAACCATGAGATCTTGGTTTTTCAACATTTTCCCCCCCTAGTAGTGTTGAACTACAGCACTACAACAGTAATTAACAGTTATCCAATGCAATTATCTTCTGTAAATTGTTTGTAAAGCATACCTGATTCAGCTCCTCATCATTAGCAACTGCCAGAAGGATGTGTCTTGGAGCAATTCTTCCCTTTTTGTTGTCCCTTGCAGCATTACCAGCCAATTCCAATATTTCTGCTACAAATACATTGGGATACATGTCAGTAACAAGATACATCTGCTCCTGGGACTCACTATATAAATAATTTACACATTTAGGCGACCTGTGAACCACCTCACAGTTTCATTTCCTAGATCTGTAAAATTCTAGGTCCTTCCTTGAAATGGAAAAAATCCTGGGATGTGTATATTTAAATACCTTTGCTTTTAATGATTTACTGAATTTACTAAATGGGGGAGGAGCAGAGCAGCACATTCCGAGCGTGGCCAGCTTGCAGTGCAGGGGGATGGCTTCCAATCTTTCTTTTCACTATACCAGTTCCAGGCTGCTAGCATCCTGCTCCTAAAGGCACCATTTCAGAGCTTTCTTCCTGCTCCCACTAGCAGGAGAACTGGCAAGAGCTTTCTGCCCACCTGGGCCTTCCAGCACAGTGGAACCCTCTCCACTGGCAAAGAGGCAAACAGTGTGCCATCCTGGCCCCTCCAGCCATAATCGAGGGATTAGGATTGCACTATTATTTGACGATTTCTATTTATATCCTGCTTTTCAATTATATAGTGCCCAAAGCTTCTTACAAAAAAGAAAAGCTTTCCCACTTGGGATAAAGCATGCATGATCAAATGTCCACTATTCCCACTGCTCTGTTAAAAGCTTGAACTCAATAACATCAAACAAGCAAATGATTTCTTTACCATTATACAGCCTCATTTCCAGAAGTGTTGTGCAAGCACTTGGCCTTGCCACTTCATTCATTTAATTAAAACATGTTCTTACCTGCTAGATATTCTATGACAGCTGCCATGTAGACAGGAGCTCCCACTCCTATCCGGAATTTGTATGTTCCTTTCTTTAAGTATCGCATCATTCTGCCCACTGGAAAAATAACGCCTGCTCTGCTAGAGCGAGACATTTTGGTCATTTTTTTCTTTCCACCTCGGGCCGACATGTTGTCGCTCTGTGTTGTTCAGTCTTCTAGCAGATTATTCTTATTTGCTTGTCCTAATATAAAACATACAAAGGGTGAAACAAGGATTGATATTGGGTGTGATATAATAGGAGCTGGATTTTTAAAAAAATGTTGGGGAGCAAGATTTAATGCTGTGTACACACTATACCTGGCTACGCTATACGTTCAGAACACATTCCCCTCCAAAGAATTATGGGCCTTGTAGTTTGCCCCCAACAGAATTAGAATTCCCAGCAACCCTTATCAAACTGCAAAACATAAATGATCTATAGTAATGTAATTGGTATGGAAGCAATACTTTCAGTATTGTACCAAGTAGCCCACAACATGAACAACTAACATGGCACAGCTGCCAACACACATGATACATCTGAAACAAAGTTTTCATAGCCAGTTTCTTCGTTTGATGTTCATGTGGGTGTCAGTGCTTAGGCAGCAAGACCTTTATCACACACACATATGATGTTATGAAGAGGTGTGAAGGAATCCCATGTCGCAGAAGTACAGTACAAACATAAATTGAGAGAGGAAAAAACCCTGTGTGAGACACACCTCAAAAACAGGGTGAAGACTGTGACCACAAAACACTGATTTGCCCGGGGGATCTGGAGAACTATGTGGGGAAATGGAATAGAGTATCCTGGAGGAAGGATACTGACTGGAACAGTGAGCAAGAGCACTCCGCGCTGCAACAATGGATATATGTCCCATTGGTCTGATTCAATTTCTCCTATTACAACCAAACCTGTTCATGTAATAGCCTCTCATATTATCCTAGGCTGTTCCAATGCAAACTAAAAATAGGCTTCTATACTTTTAAAAATTGTGTAAAGTGAAAATAGCTTTGTCATGAAGGAGTGAGCATAACTGTACCTGTTGAAATTGTCTTTGCTACACAACTATGAAAAATATGGAAGCTGTATCCTCCATTGCATCGGAATACACTACATTTTGATTCCATATGGCCACAAAGGCATGTATATCTTATATGTAATAAGTAATATATAAGTTATTTCCATTTTTTATTTGACCTGATCTGTGGCTTTTAACCTGGAAGCCTCATACACAGATGAAACTTGTCCTAGCATAGAGATAAATGGATCTCAGGGTTGTGATCTAACTATGGAGATGTACCTGACTTACACACATCTGGTAAAATAGCCTGTATTTGCTCAGAAACTAGGCCACACCCCCACACCCGATTCTGTACATAATGCCCACTGTGTGCTTGGCACTTTACAAAGTGAAAGAGGCACACAGGAGACAACAAAGGAAGGGGAGGAAAATGGAGCAGTGATAAAAAGGGCAAGTAACTGCAATTATTTCAGTTACGTGTACTTAGGCTTAGTTAAATGCATCATTATACTGTTATTTGTTTGTGCTGTGTAGCTTTTGTGTGCCTATGTGAAGGGAAATAGGATGGCAACCTTTTCCCCTGGCAAAGGCTCTCTGCCTTCAATGAAGGCAACCCATTTATGTGGGGGTTACGTCCCAAGTCATTATGTGCAGGCAGTGGACTGCATGTAAGCTCATTCCACCCTCTTCTGGTACCAAACCTGTCAAGTGTGTGCAGGGTCGTATGTGCATCAAATGTGCACAAAATAGGATTTGCCCGTACCAAATTATATGCTGAAATTCAAACAGCTGCAGCATTCTCAGAATGAGGATAAAACAATAAAGCAAACTGCACCTGTTTAATGCAATTCCTGTCAGACTTGTAGTTCTTTAAGATACAGAAACATAGGAAAAGTGAAAACCCCAGAAGGTCTGTGGATAGATTCCTGATGTTAGCATAAACAATATTTTGCATTTGTGTAGAAAGCTGCATGTCTACTTGTATTTCTGAGATAGGGCGACCTAATTCATGTGTTATCTAGGTGATGTGAGCCCTGTTCAGAAATGCTCTCCATGCATTCAGGGAATCAGGGGAGAGGAGGGCGTGGAGCCCACTGGTCCCACCTCCAGTTTGCCTACTGACTTCTCATCCATTGCCTTCATGCATTCAGTGTAAAGGTTGTGGGCAAGGCCAGCAGACATGCCAATACTACTTCTCCTTCTCACTTGTTTCCTAAGCACATAAAGGGCACTTCTGATTTTTCTTTTCTTAAAAAAAAAATGCATTTAAGACCATTTCTATACTGCTCAATATACAAAATATTTCTAAGCAGTGCACTGGAAAAACACACAAATATTACCTAAATATGTAAAACCACAAATACAAATTACAAAAACAAGAATGAAAAGTTAAGAAATAGAGCATTATAAGTGGCTGCAGCACTTCTGCTCGCAGGGGGAGATATCCATGATTTAATGTTCCCCATACAGAAAAGTATATACACTAGACTAGATGATAGGGAGAAGGGAATCATCAGACTACCAATTCAGTGGGTACGGTAAAGGTAAAGGGAGCCCTGACCATTAGGCCCAGTCGTGGCCGACTCTGGGGTTGCGGCACTCATCTCGCTTTACAGGCCAAGGGAGCCGGCGTACAGCTTCCGGGTCATGTGGCCAGCATGACTAAGCCGCTTTTGGCGAACCAGAGCAGTACACGGAAACGCCATTTACCTTCCCGTCGGAGCGGTACCTAATTATCTACTTGCACTTTGGCGTGCTTTCGAACTGCTATGTTGGCAGGAGCAGGGACCAAGCAACTGGAGCTCACCCCGTTGCGGGGATTTGAACCGCCAACCTTCTGATCGGCAAGCCCTAGGCTCTGTGGTTTAACCCACAGCGCTACCTGTGTCCCAATTCAGTGGGCACTGGGCCTAAATGATAGGGAGATCACATCGCTCAAATTATGTGGCAACTTCATTATTTCCATTGAATATTCTGGCATGATGCAGAATATATTTATCTAAAACATTTACATTCCTGTCAACAAGCGGGGTTTCAAACCATGATATGTGTTCTTTTTTTATTATGGCAGTAGTGATCGATTGAGGGGCTGCGTGGGAGAGCATAGGCGCCGACTCCATGGGGCTTGAGGGGGCCCGAGCCCCCTCAAAAATTCGTTTGGGGGGGCTCCGCCCCCCCAATAATCTCCGGCGCCCCTCCAGCAGAGCGCCATCGCCGCCCCTCCCCCAGCCCAAAATGCACAGGGAGGGGCGGGCTGCATGCCTCCTGCCCTCCCTCCCGAGCAAAAGCTCCACCCAATTTCCTTTGGAGCTGATTAATAGGCGCAGCACGCTCTCCCCTATTCGCTCACGAGGAGGCGGCGCCACTTTATTTGCATATTCATGAGCTTATTTATTATTCATGAGCTTTCCCGGGCCCCCCAATATTTTTTATAAGTCCGCGTCCCTGTGGGAGAGTAAGATAAAATGTAGAAAGAGGTAGACAACCATTTGGAAAAACAAAACAAGAAACCTCAAGACCTCGCAATTCACACACACAGCGCTTCATAAATAGAGACACGCACTGCGCATGCTCAGCGGCCGTTTCCTCCATCCATAACATTCCCTCTCAGAAGAGGGAGGTGTGACATTGCTCGTCCTCATATAAGAACGCCCCACTCTTTAAAGGGGCTGGCCTTTAAATTCAATCAGGAACCTTTCTGTTTCTTTCAAATTCAAACCGCCAAAGCATTAAAACTTATTTATGTAGCGAGCGAGAACGTGGAGGGAGATCTTGCTAATACAGAGTCGGGGGCGGGGCGGGGCGCGCGCGCACTGAGGGACCCGCCCCGCCTAACGTTCTTTAGGGCACGCGCTCATAGGTCGGACGGTTGAAAGACGCGGGATGGCAGTTTTTTCTCAAAGGGGGTGTGTGGGTGGGCGTGAGGGGGCCAGCGTTTAAAGAGGCAGGATTGAGAGCGTGCGCTTATGCCCGAGCCGCCAGTGAGGCGCAGGGAACTCTGGGAAACCAACGCCGTTCCCTTTCCCGCGCAATTCCCGTCCTCCTAGCCTCGGGCGGGTGGGGGAGGCGTCTACCTCCGGGCTCGGTCGTCAAATTCCCGCCTCTCTCCTCGTTCTGCTTGTGGCCCGAGATGAGCGGGGGGGGGGGAGTGGTTGGGATGCCGTTAACCGGCTCTCGCTGAAAGGGCGCCCCGGAAAGGGAAGCGCCGGGGAAGTGACCTCTCCTCACCTCACTCCCCCTTGGGACAGCCGTGCGGTGGGGAGGGAGAGAGGGAATCGCGACCCCCGAGAGAAATGGGGGGGGGTAGGGAGAAACAGCGCAGAGGGCGGCGCCCCCCCTTCACGCCACTCGGCGGCATTTTCTTGACCTCTGAGGAGGACAAAACGGGAGCGGGAAAAGCGCCGCAGCCTCAGCGGGAAGAGATTCTCATCTCTCGCGCTGAGGTGCCGACACTCCCGCTTTTTTCTGTTTCAACGGCTCGCTCTGCCGCCTTTTCTCTCTTCCCCTCGCGTTGCTCCCTACCGGGGATGACGCGCCTCTCCCCGCATCGCCTTCATGGGGGGGGGGGGAGGCTGCGGCTGCTTTCGGGGGCCGCTTCCCCTCCCGCGGCGCCGCTTTGGGTGAGGGGCGGGGGCGGCCAGTGGCGGCGACAGGCCTCCTTCCCCACCCTCCCCTGCGGGCCCCAACGGCTTGTCCTCCGGGGGTGCATTAACCGAGCAGCCTTTCCCCCCGCCCCGAGCCTTCCCGGTCACCTGCCCGCCTGCTGCCGCCTCCGCTCCGGCGCCGCCGCAATGCCCGCGTCGCGCTTCCTCCTTTCCCTTCCGTCGCTTTTATTGTATGGTTTCAATGGCGGCAGCTCTGGAGGCCGGTGGTAGGGAGGGGAAGGGGGGTCCTTCTCCACATACCACCTCTAGGAGGAGCCACGGCAGCGCGGTCCTCCGAGCGCCCCCGCCGCCAGCCCTGGCGTCGACGGCGCTCTCCTGGTGCCTCAGGGAAGAGCCGCCAAGGGGGCCGGGTCGCCGAAAGGGAGCAGCGATGCTGGCAGCTGTAGCAGCAGTGGGGCTTTTTAGCCTTGCTCTTCGTTTGGATCGGCTGCGGGTCAGTTTTGGAGCCATCGGGACACCCTCTCGAAATAACCCACTAACCCTCTTCCTACCTCTGAAGGTTCCCAGCGCCTCCCGCTCCCGAACGCTTCGCGATTTCTTCCAATTCTTGCTTCGCAGCGGTGACTTTAACCTAAAAGAAAGCTCTCTGCCAAGGAATACCTGCCCAAACAGAAAGGGGCGGGGCTCTTTGGGAAAATACTGTGCAGTGGTGCTTCTTTGGACCCGGTGTTACAACACCGCTGTACTCTTTCGCAAGCTGCTTCAGATCGCTGTTTGGCGAGGATGTTGCAGAGCGCGCTTGAGATCCAAGGAAGCATCAGTTAGGAATCTTGTGTTCCTAGATGCCCCTCTTCATCTTCGATGCCGCACAAAAAGTACGAGTCTTGTGTGTTAAAAGCTGCCACCGCAGCGTAGGCTTTTCGCCCATAATTATACACTGAAAGGGTGGCACATCATTTCCCCACTTTTCATTACCACTGTTTAGCGCAATAAGGGTCGAACAGCAACTTGTTTGGAGTTGCGTTTTTTTAAAACTGTTGAGGTGGCATCATCTGTTCTTAAACATTTCAGGCAGATTGCTTCCTGTAATAAATTAATGTGAGTTTATTGTGTGCAAAGAAAGGGAAGGACCATGCCTCTGGTAAAATATGCAGTTTGCCCCAGCAGAAAAATATGTGGAAAGTAAGTCCTGCTTTGTTTCCTGAGGCTTCCAGTAAGATGTTTATAGAATGCTTCAACTACATAAAAAAGTATCTGGAGAATTGGGTTCATCTCCCTATAGGACTCTACTCAGACTTTGAGATATTATTGAAAGGCCTTACTCCCATGTCTTGCCACCTTCACAGGCATGTTAAGTGGACCTTTTTAGTGACTGCTCTCAAATTGTGGAACTCATTGCCACAGAGGGCTAGGTTGGCTCTTTCCTTTTGTGGACAGGCAAAAACTTGATTCAGAAACCTTTGGCCACTAACTGGCTGTTGCAGCAGGGCCTTCTGAAGGCGTGTGATCTACTTGTGCTTTTAAATGGTTTAGAAGTCTTTCAGGGCTGTTTTTAATAGGGTTACTTATTTGTTTTTTAATAATTATACCGATTGTGCATGTTTTAGCTGTATTTAGCTGTGAGCTGTCTTGGGTCCTCTACTGGGAGAAAGGTGGGAGAAAAAATAAGTAAATATGAATAACATAACTACTAAATGCATAACTAATAAGATAGAAATAACATTTCATCACTAATACATCAAAATCCTTTTAAATATTATTTACTATCACAAATGCAACTACTTTTTGTCACAATTTTATAAGTCCTAAATAAAAAAAGTCCTAATAGTGAGATACAGCAGGAATCTTGATCACAAGACAATTATATCTTTTGAAGAATTATATCTATCTGAAGAAGTGTGCATGCACACGAAAGCTCATACCGATAACAAACTTAGTTGGTCTCTAAGGTGCTACTGGAAGGAATTTTGTTTCGACTACGGCAGACCAACACGGCTACCTACCTATAACTATATCTTTTGGTGTCTGGCAATGATTTCTGCACTTGTGCATGAATCACACGGGTTGTGATTCGGCACTTCTGCAGATGCGCAAAGCGCGATTTAGCACTTCTGCACATGCGCAAAACCAGGAAGTAACTCGTTTTGGTACTTCCGGGTTTCGGCGGGTCCGTAACCCAAAAAAAACGCAACCTGAAGCGTCTGTAACCCAAGGTATGACTGTATAGCATTTTAACCTTTTTATTACTCCCAGTGGTTTAAAATATATCACTTTCATTGTGAGGAGAGATTATTGGAAATACTGTATGGTCTTTGTTTATAAATATAAAGGTTGAGTAGAGACTGCTAAGCAGTTTCAAAGTTTTCAGTGAAAACTGAAGCACGGTAAAAAAAAGTTAAAACAATCTTAATAGCAGACACACACAATTAATATACAGACAAGGTTTTGTAAGAGAATGCACACTTTATTTTTAAATCGGCTGCATGAAATAATAAATCGTAAACATTTGCCATTTTAAAAAGATAAATATTTACATCATATACAATAAACCAACAGTACAGAATTGCATAAAACTTACGTTTTCCAAATAATAACCTTACTACAGAAATAATACAAGATAAGTAAATGTTAGCACAATGAATGTTTGTAGTTTTCCTGGAGTAGGATCTAATTGTTGACCCACAGTGCATGATAAAGAATGGAGAACTAGTTAGGGCATTTGAGCATATATCCTCGATGTTGATTATAATCTACTTTGCCTAAGAAAACTATTCTTATACTTGAGGCTGTCCGCATATTGCTGTTTACTTCAGCTCAGTGTGCTCCCAGCACTGGCGGTTTGAAACCATGGACCCATGGTGCTAGCCACAATCCCTATTTATCCTCCAGCTGCTTGGGAATTACTGGTGTTTGATGTGTTTCCCCTCAAACCAGCTTACATCTGACTTGAAAACATAAGCAGCAGTTAATCTGAGGTGTGTTCATTTCAGGTAGCCATTGTCTGGGCCAGCCTAGGACGTTTTTGCCGCACGAGACAAAATAGAAAGTGCTGCTGCTTCCTCTGCAGCGCCCCCTGCCACCACTTTTCAGCAGCCACAGCCACCTGAGGCAACTGGAGGTGGTCTGGAAAAGGCCCAGCGTGCTGAAGGTGGTGGTGGGAAGTAAAAGAAAGCCAGAGAGGAACAGGCTGTGAGCAGAGGAGGAGGCGGCCGACAAGCACAGGAAGCGGTGAGCGACATGCTCCTCAGAGGCTGGATCTGCCACATGAGTTGACTGCTTCATCAGTCCTCATGGGCGGGCTGGCCCATGTGCAGATGAAAGTTTCATTGAATTGGAATGGGTGGGGAGTAGCAGGTAATGCACAATGGTTGAAGACATCCCTGCTCCCTCTCCTGTATGTACAGCAACATAAAAATGTGATCTGGAAATGTTGCGAAGAAAACCATGTCACTGCTTTTCAAGCCTGATTTAGTATATTTTTACATAAAAAGTGAACAATTTTTTTTGCTGCTACTTTATAAAGATCTCAGCATCATCTCCTTACATTTTGTTACAGTATAATGATGAGGTGTATGCTTGATTCCATTTGTCCAAAAAGTAATTTTGTTGGGAATGTTGAAAATAAAACTGCACTTATCCATTGATTTCAGTAGTTATACTCTGTGTATGACTTGTTGGATATAACCCTAAACGTTTAAATCAGTATTCAGCAGAAGCTTGAAATACTTTTTTTTAAAGTGGGCACAAACTTTGGCTGCAGTTAATTACAAAATAGCTTATACACATACTATTTAAACAGAATTATTTAGGTTAATGCTCCAATTTTGTACCCTGTTATCCAGGATACACTTCTGAGTAGAATTGTATTGGGTTGTACTTTAAAGCTACATATAATTTGATGGGTTTGCATCTCTGATAAATAAAGGCTTACCTGAAGAAACAGGTAAAAAACAATAGTAACTGCTTAGGTAGATAATCCAATTTAAATGGATAAATACCTTTAGTTATCTGTTTGAAGTAAAAAGAGTTTGAAGTTGCTTTCTCACAAAGCTTATTAAATATTACCCTACAATATTTAGTTGGCATGCCAAGCAGTGATTTAACAAACTGAAAATTTCATCGCAACCTATGTAGATACAAAGATGTATATCAGTTGAAATCAGTTGAAGCCTATGTAGGAGAATGTAGAAACAATGCCCCAACAATGCAATATATACCAGTTTAATAAAATTTTAAATATTTGTACATCAAATAAAACCAGATAAAAAGCATATTTTGTCATGTAAATTGACAAAACCAGAAACAACAACAAATTGTTTCTGCAAATCAGTTTCCTGCAAAAACTGGCTCCATAATGAAAGTCTTTTTTTAAAAAAACAAACCAAATATTAATTCAAAAGATTAGCTACTCATATAATTTTTTTTAAAAAATCTGATAGCTTAAATATCTAGAATGAAATGATGACTTTAAAGCTATTACAAGAGTCCCATTGATTATTGTGAGGTAGGATACCACAAAAAAAATCTTAAATGGCAGGTTTCTGTCTGCCCTGATTTTAATATCTTTACCTACTATTTATGAAGGTTCCTAGAATTTATTTATAATCTACCTTAACTTGGATTTGGAAATAATTCCTATAGGGTCTGTCCTAAATTAACACTTTGAATTCATGACACTAGTTTTTTTGTTGTTGGTAAATGCACAATGAAGGCAAATAAAACTAATTTGTCATCTTTCAATAAGTCACATGAGTAAGATATGATGGGTCCTTGGAAATATTTCCATGGGTCTTTACTCACAGGAAATTCTTCAAAAAAATCAAATTCCTTTGCATGCAAAACATGATATTTGGACATGCATCTTTAGACATTGTGGTGCTGGATCCTATAATTAACTGAAGGGGAAGAAAAATTGCTGCTAGCATTCCAAAAATGCTTGTACAAGAGTGTACAGAGCTATTGTAAATAGGCTTTTCTAGGAGCTCTCATGCTCATACAAAAGTTTGCATAGCTGCTAGAACATATTTAGAATTAATTTCACTTTTGATATCTTTTTTGCTGTTTGGCATGCACTGATTTCTAGTTTTGGAAGAACATGTAGAATGAAGACTAGAAATTGTTGATTACATATATTGGAGAACATTTGGTAGATACATTGAATAGGAGTTTAAATATATTTTATGAAAATATGTTTGTTGCATGAGGAGGATGTGCACTCATTTGCAAGCGTCACTAGAATTAGTGGCACTGATTGAAAGGATATGAAAGATGTAGAAGTAAGGTGTTGAAGTGTATTGGGATGCGGAGACATACGGAATTTTCTCTAAATGGAAGTTGGCACTCACCAGGAGCAATGTATTAACAGGAAAAGGTAGCTAATTGATTTACCATCAGACCCTTATACTTCCCATTACTGTCTGAAATCTCAAAATAATATAGTAACTAGTCAAAAATAATAGCAACAATAAAACCTAAGATTAATGCATGTAAAAATTATAATTCCTTCTCCATACATCATTTATAAAGCAAAGCTGGTATTTAGCTATTTAGATATAAAACTATTGAGAGCTAACTTAAATATGCAAGCAACCCAAATGCCCAAAGATTATACAGACTGCATAATGAACTTAGCGTTTAAGTGCTCAATTAATTCATAAATGCATTGGGAATCATGCAAGATCCATTTTGTCCAGCATTCTGTTTTCAGTAGAGGAAGCTTACAAGGAGAGTGTGAAGGTGATGGCAGTTCTCTCTTGCTCATTCCTCAACCTCTTCATGTCCAGAGGTATACTGTGTCTCTGAGCAAGGAGTTGTTTACTTAGGACAACTTGGATATTGAAAGTTAAAGCACAGGAAACAATCGCTTCAAACAGAACAGACATGTTGAGTCTGTTTTCGTTTAGAGAGACTACCTGTCATCAAAAGAGACCATTTCTTTGCCCTTCCTGGTCCCTACATTTTGTGTAAATTGTTACTATTATTGAAAGAGACCATTTTGATCCCACAATCCCGCTCTAGTGGTGCATAATTATACATAACTAATGTGCCAGAATGATGGGGGTGCAGAGTTAGATGCACATTCACTGGAATGTGAATCCCTGTCCTCTTCCTGGTGTTATTAGCCAAACATAACTGAGTTGCTAGAGCTTGATTGGGGGCCTGTATTTAGGGAGTCCACAGTTGTTTGGTCCCCAGGGTAGTCTGTGGAAAAAAGAAAACTTCCGAGCTAACATCTGCCCATCAGCAAAAAAGCACCAATTAGATAGTGTATACTTGGAAGGCAAGAAAACATTATCCCTAACAACAAATGATTTAGGAACTTGCAATTTTCTTGCTTTCCATTTCAAAATACAGCTACAGAATATATAACAAAATAAAAAAGGAAATGTAATATTAAAATATGAATATACTAAAGTACAAAGGCACACCGCCCTGCAGTTGGACACATTCTTACCTCAACAAAACAAGAACTTCTGCAACAAACCTGATATGCAAAAATAGCAGTCCCTGTTAATACTTACATTGAACAAGTCTTATATCAAAAATGTTTTGAAGTAACATTCAATTTCTTCTTGTTCTTTATGAGCACACACTCTCCCTGATCTGAAGAACATTCAGTCCAATCCAAAATTTTGCAGGTGCATACATAAAGAATTCGTAAGTGCAGAGGGCTTTCTCCTCATTGCTGGACAGTCCTCTGTATGTATCCCCATTGTCCATATGGAACCTCCTCCAACATCGCAGTGAACACCTTTGCTGACCAGATTGTATATGTGGAGGTTGGGATGGCAACAATCCTTGAAACCTAGCAGGACATTAAATTATGGGTACACTGCAACACAGATCCATGCTTATGCCGCATTGATTTCAATGGCATTGCTTCATAATAGTGCACTTAACTGTGCCCAGTGTGGTATAATTATAAGAACTTAAGCGCAAGTCTCAAGAACAACTACCCTGTATCACTTCTGACCTGCCCATTTCTGGTTTTTCTGCAGATAAAGCTGTGGCAGAAATCATCTAGTGATGAAATAGTACCCAGTGGCAATTAAGGTTTCCAGTAACCAGTTTATACTGTTTGTTCTCAGTATTGTGAAATCCTTCTATTTTCTTACTGAATAGTTCAGGCTCTGCACTAAACTGATTTATAAGCAATCAATGAAACATAATGGTTTAGATCCCAGATTGCTGTTATATTCAGAAGTGAGGGATTTTAATCTGCAGGCCCCCATAGCATATCCCCAAAGTATCCCAGTCCCTATTAACAGACTTTCAGGGGACTAGAGGGAAGGTGGGGGAAGCCTCATTCCATGAATTCTGTCCTGGTGAAAGAGGCATCCAACAATCAAAGCAATCATGTCTTTTTCCTTTAGAATTTATGGGTTGTTGCTATTTGAGTGTTTACTGACAGTTCTCATCTAGAGCTTTGTGGGCATTCCAATGTGAATATGCTATTTCTGCATGAATCCATTTTCAGCAATGTAGGATGCAGATCTGCATGTGAAAACAGATGTATACACAGAATTGCCTCCTGTGAAAGGGATAAGGGAGCCCAAATGTATGCAAAAGTGTTGCATGCAAGGAGCTGCTGGGGCAGTTTAACTGCGCTAGAGCCCTGGGGGAGCATTCAGAAAAGGAAAGAAACCAAGTAAATTACAGATGAACTAAATGCGTTTTTGGCACAAGTCTTCACAATAGAAGACATCCCAGAGATACCTACACTTAAAACAAATTAACAATAATACACATGGACTACAGGAATCAGTAGAAGTTTTAAACCTAGTTGACAAAATAGTAAGTTACTGGGACTACATTGCATCCACTTGAAACTTCTTAAATAACTCAGATGATATTACAAAACTATCAAAATTCAAAAGGGGCGAAGTTGTCATTAAAATTGTCAGCACATTGGAAAGCTATATTCCCCCCTCCCAATCTTTTGTCCCATAAACTTGTACAGTCTGTTAAAGTGGTACCCTTATGTTTTTAGCACTGGGGTAGTTCCACTGAAAAGGGAACCTAGAGAAATTGAACAGAGTTTTATCATGGCAGCAAATACTTCATGACAAATATGTTTCTAGTATGAAAAATGTATGAAAATGAGTAGAACTAAAATTATGTAAAAAGGAAATCAAACATTTATCAAATTTAAAATTAACTTCTAGTACACCAAAAGGATAATAACTTTCTTGCAGAAAAATAAATGGTAGCTTTTGAAGAGAAGCCATGAAAAGGTTAAGGATGGAATCATCACGTGAGTAAATGAATGTTTGTCACTGGGCAACCAGGAAAGATGGCAAAGTGTTGCTGTATCTTCACTGAGCTGCTTTTCAGAATCAATATTCAAGTTTATTGCTTAGAAATATGAGAAAAATAGCCCCTCTTCTGAAAAAAGCAGCAACCACAGAAAGTTGTCTTACGTCCTAATGTTCTTCACATCAGCTGCTGCATGACATGTCAAGATTTTTGGATGAAGGCTCCTATTATCATAACAGACTGAATTGAATGAAAAATGATGAAACAGAAGCCAGTTTCTCTCACATCTGGCACTGGTGCCGACCTCTGGAAGGAGAGAGCAAAAACCACTGGGGTGTCCATCTTCTGTAGCCTCACCAGGTCCACTGTTCAGGAACAAAACTCTGGTGCGCGTGGCTCAAGAATACTTCCGTGCTCCTTGGAGGCAACTCATTCAATAGCTTCAGCAAACCTTCAAGCAGGATGTTCTTCTGTCACCACTGTAGGCCTTCCACAAATATCTCCACTCTCTTACTTGTTTCATTATTTGGCTATCAGCCAAGGAGTTTGACCCTTTAAGTGACAGATATATTATTTCATATAGAAATGTCCTTTCAGATATTAGTAAAAGTGCTGCTCTCATGTACTTAAAACTATGCAAAATCTCAAATCTAATTTTATCTGTGTTCCACTGGGCTCCACTTAAACATAAACGTTTATAATCCTTAGCAGCAAGTATTTTTCACTTGGCTATTTTGGGTTTTGCACCTGTGCCATCCCTTTTATGAAAATGATGGGAATCTATCACACCTCCCTGAAATAATGTGAGTGGACTGCAGCTAGTATGTTGCACAATCCTTTGCTCTACTCAGAATAGTGACATTGTAAACCAGGAACAGTCTAGTTTCCTGTTGTGCCCTGATAGTGAACTAAATCTGAGTTGGGTTTCATAACGATTCATTTGGGGTGCATCATGGAGATGCAGTGCACATTTTGAATTGTCAGCTGCAGAGTTGGGGCAGATATACACCATATATTTAAAGACCATCCAAATTTAAAGCACATAACTCGCCCAAAAAATCCCAGGATCTGTAGTTTCCCCCTTCACAGTGCTACAGTTCTGTCTTTTTTAAACTACAGTTCCCAGGATTCTTTGGAGAAAGTAATGTTCTTTCAATGTGTGTTGGGTATGCTTTAAATGTATGTTGCGGATCTGTCATTAGTGTGGATATTGGTGGTAGTCATGATGGGGAATTTGCATGGTGCATGAACTGAGTGACATCTTTTAAAATACTGGTCTGCGTCTATAGTATACATAACTAGTACTGCTTCCAAGACTAGAGAAATACATAGCAGTAATCTACACAAGGCTAAGCCTTCCCTTGTAGTACTATGTTCTCCATACTAAAGTTCAAGAAAATGCTGAGAAGCCAGAAGAGATTTAGAAGGATATGAGAAGAATGACGAGTCACATGGGGAAATGAGAAAATAATTGGAAATGTTCAGCTGAGGCACACACACCACATGACCTACCAAGCCAAAGCATATCCTGCTGTGGGTTTGTCCTGGTTTCAGTGGATTGACCAGAGAGCTGCTCTTTCCTCTGTGTGAAGTGGTCAGCATATATTTAGTTAAGAATCTATCATATGTTAATAATGTCAAGGGAAACTGAACTGAGGGTTCAAATAGATGTGACCTTGAGATCCTTATCATGGATTGCCTGTCTGGGCCTCTTGGGTTCATGTGTTTTAATTGATAGTGGCCACAATTAATTATTTTAGTCTCCTGCATTACCTTTAGTTTGGCACTGAAGTGAGGACAAGAAGCAACATGTGTTAAAACCAGAAGAAAACAGCCATTGTTTGGGTTGTGAGATCTTGCAGGGTGCAGGGGCAAACAGGGAAATGCTGAATAAATGCATCTTAGTGCAATAACATTTAATGCTCCTTAGAATGAAATATTTGAAGAGCAGCAGTGCATGGGAAGAGAGGCAGCAGCTTTTAAAAGATGTCCAAGAACTGAAAAGGGTTATTGTGAATGCTAGAAGTTTCTACTGAGTTCAGTGGGACCAACTTCCTTATTGTAAGGGTGTACAAGATTGTGCACTTAGTTGTGTATCGGAAGCCTGCTGTTTCCACCAATGACTTCCTCATTGAAATGTTAACCTTTGCTTTAACTGATTCTAGAAGATCAGTGCTTTATGTATGTGCATGTTTTGTTATCCAATTCTCTCCTACAAATTTAGTTATTTCATCAGTGGTGCCCTCTGCTGGCAATAGGGTTAAACACAGGTGGTCCCTGTTTCTCACTTTGTTGGCTTAAGTTTTCCCATGAAATACCATTATATATATATATATGATTTATTTTACAAATGTTAATTTCATTTCATTTTAATAATGAAAGTCCATAGTATTTTAAATTGTTCTTGCATTCATTGTCAAATGGCTTTGTTGGTCTTCCTATGTAAATAGAGTGATTCTTCCTGGCACCTTAATGCAATAACTTATTTAGCTGTATCACTTAGTATGAGTGCACAAATATCATGCAAATATTGCAGCTGTATTCCACAATGCAAGTAGCATAGTATCAATATACATATAACGATACAAATGACTGACAATCAGATAAAAAGGGGAAAAAGTAGCATTTTCTGTACAAAAATATGCAGCTCTTTATAATTTGAAAAATGCATTATCTTTTGGCACTTCCAAAAAGAACACTGTATAAAAATAAATATTCTATGCACAAACACACATACACACACAGGCCAGTCCATGGTTAGAATCTTCACTGCAAAAGAAAAATATAAAACTATGTTAATATCACACATAATAATTTTGAAAGGGATTTTCTGTTGAGAAGAAGTGGTATGAAGGTATATGTGAGTATGATCCAAGGGAAATAATCTAAGCATGTAATCAAAGCTAAGCATGTTGAAGTCCTATTGATGTAAAAGAGAGATTTTGCATGTTTCATCAGTATGAAAATGTCTAGCTTTGTTGACAGGCATTTTTCTTAGGAACAAGTCCTGGGGAAATCACCTGTTCATTTTGCATTCTTCAGTAATTGACTAGGATAAATTTGCAACCCATTTGGTCCTATTCCCTCTATATTCACAGTCTGCAGTTTGGAGTTCAAAATGCTTCACTGGAATTCCACTTTAATCAGTGGCAGTCTTATGATCTGCAGAGCTTTTAAGCTTTCTGCTTTGCTTGCTAGGCAAGGCCCACTCAGCATGCTAGCTCTGGAAGGTTAGGGATGCTCACGACATCTCGCAGGAACTTGGACAGCCCTGTGAGATCTTGCAAGAGCATCCCAGCACTGGTGTGCTGAGAGGGCATTGCCCACACAAGAAAGGCAGAGAACTTAAAAGCTCTTTTTGCACTGGGAAAACCTGGCACAAAAAAGCTGCTAAGCTCTCTGCCTTGCTTGCATTTAACTTGTGGAATTTCAACCAGCTGGCCTTCAACCTCTTAGGGTTGAAACTACACAAGTTAAATGCATGTAAGATGTAATCATACTGTACGAGACATCTTGTGAGAGGTTAATCACAGCATGAACTTTATGGAGAGATACTTTATTACAATGGATGCACCAGGGCATCTTAATGCTGTATTCAGCCATATAGCATACTTTTGAATGCATAAAGGTTCACAAATACTTTTACACAGAGAGTCCAATAGATATGTAACCTCTGTACAAATTACAGACTCTGTTATCAAGTGGTTTAAAACCTAATTTTAAAAGTTTTGGATGTTTAATTATGAAAGTCTCTGTTTGAATAACAGAAGTGAGTTGTTAAATAAGTCTAACATTCTCATGAATGTCGAATTCTGACTTCTAAGGACCAAACTAGATATGTCATCAAACACATCATTAGTAAGCAGGTATGTGGATTAAAAGAAAAAGAATAGCTGACTTGGGGTGATTTTTGTCAGGACCGAAGTACATGGTGATAGAAGGTTTAACTCCTTCCTCTATCATGCCCCCCCAAAGATAATCCCTTCCAGCTGTTCTTGACCCCAGAAGGAAAGTTCTCTTTGCAGCACTCCCCTCCTGTGCCTGCTCTGCATTAAAAGAGAGACAGCATACAGAGATGTTTGCTAATGATGTGTTTAGCGTCATATCTACTTAGGCTCTCAAAATATTGGCATACAGTTTATAATTTTAGGCTTTTGATATGATTATATTATGTATACCCCACTCTGGGCGGCTTATAGCATGGTGAATTGCTAATGTGTTTGGTTTGGTCTGAGTTATAAAAGATACATTACCCATGTATTCATCTTATTTTCATATATTTGAACAATAACATAGTACCTATAATATAGACTTTTTTAATTGGGACAGAAGTGTGCTATGGCCAACCCTTCATGCTTTTCTGTTATAGTTACACCATGCAGAAGCAGCACATATCACAATCATGCCATTACCTTATTCCAGCATCCTTGAACTGGCAAGCCATCTTCCCCCTATAACAAAGAATGATTTAAGGAGTTCAAGACAGCAAAAGACTAAAATAAATCAGGAGAGGAAATAAATAATATAGCTGCAGAAAATATTCAAAAATTTAAAATCTGTTTAGATGAGATATCCCAATGTAATACACCTTGCTTAGCCATAGATTGAATGAACATGCTTGGTACAAGAGGGCTGCCTCTGCATATAATAGAAGGCCCACATGTTCCAGATCAGAATCTTGCAACCAAATTCATGTTGGGCCCGTCTATACAATCACTTTACTGTCCAATAAGTGTGGAATCCAGATCCATTAAAACCTATGAAAGTTTTGTCACTGACTTCTATGGTTCATAAATTACTTTCTAAATGTACAGCTACTACTGACTGGTTTAGCCTCCAGAAGCCTCTCCTCTCGGTAGGCAGTGGTAGGGACATAGCATTTTCCCAGTCCTCAAACTACAGTGTTTTGATGTTTTGTTTAGTGCTTTGCAGGCTGTGTGTGCACCTATTATTTAAAATATCTGTAAGCACAAATAGAATAATTTTCTAAGGCTATGCTCACCAAGCCATGATTATGTGAGGGGAGCCAGTTTAAAGGAAAGTCCCAGTGTGTCCCCTAATACTGTCAAGTGTGTGCAGCAAGCTGTATTCCTGTCACCCAGATTTCTAATTGGATTACCCATTAGTCATTCCAGTATTTTAACGTGTGTGTTTGATATATATATACATATACATTTATACATACACACAAACCTATTAAAACAAAGAGCTGGTCAGACTTGTGTATTGATCAAACTTCAGGCAGAATTATGACTGGTTTGTTCCTCTGACAACTAATATGCTTTCTAAATAGAGATTTCTCATGAGAAATAATACCTTTTAAAAAAATATAGTGGCAAGAAGTATGATAAATTAATGATCATTTGACACTGAAATAACATGTTTTCTAAATCTATTATCCTTAATTCAGACACTCTCCTGACAGTACATCTTTCCACTGGTACATACAACTGCAAAATGCAATAACTGAAGATCCATTAACAATGAATGAAGAAGTTCCCATTGGTACAATGGTCCCATTGGCAGGAATGAATTGTATAATGCATGTAAAATCCAAAGTTAGGGAACAGGAGTTACAATTGAGGGGATCAACAGAAGGATGTGGTCATAACAGTGTGTTTGTTTTGCAGAGGCTGGGAGGCAGAAGGAAGCATATTTATTAGTAAAGAGCAGAAATTAGGCATATCACACTTGAAAAGCATGGACTTCATACATGCTCTTAGAATACAGAGCAGTCCAGGAACTATGGCAGCAGAGTGACAAGTTAAAAAGTAAGGGTTTTTTTCATGCTTGAAGCAGAAAGCATATTTTAACATTGGGTTTCTTGCTTTGTTATAAGAATATGGCATCAGTTTGACTTTTCACAAGATTTTGTGTGTGTTTGTATCCATGTACTGTATCAGAGTAGGAGTGTGTGTGCTTGTGTGTGTAACCAGTAATGAATGTGGTATATTCCACTGGGGGGGGGGGAAGCAACACGGAAAAGACCCATTATTGTGTGGCTAACTTTCTGTACCTTCCTTGGCTGGGGCATACAGAGAAGAGCCTCTGATGAAGACTACAGGGTATGGGCTGGTTCATCTGGAGAGGCGATTCTCTTTAAATGGCAAAAACAGCACTTTGAACTGAGCCTGGAAATTATTTGGTAGCTGGTGCATTTGGGCCAGAATCAGTGTAACATATTCAGACCTTATGATCCCAGTCAATAACCTGTCTCCTGAAATCTTCAAGGAACAGATTACAATTGAAGAAATTACAAATTCAGAATTAAAAAACGAAAGAAATATGCATAGTCTTTTGCCATGATACATGGGAAACCTGTAATTCTGAAATAGAGGATATGAAATAGGTGTGTTGCAGGACAGAAGTGGGAAGGCAGGGTGACGTGGCGAATAGCAAGATCTGTGGAAGGCTCACAGTTTATATATGTGAATTAGATGCTCTTTTATGTGGTGTGAGATATTTGCAAGATCATGAAAGTTAAAGAAGAAGTAAAGCAGATATGAGCAAGCAACTTTATGTTCCTTAAACCAGCATATTTATCCTCATATATTGCAGGAAAATGGTAGTAGCAACTGGTCTCACTCCAAAAGCTGTTATGGGTGTCAATGGACATCAAGCATTTGGGAGAAAGGAAGGGGATATGGAAAGGGTGTTGCAATAAAGGAAGGAAGGAAAAGCAAACTGAAACATGCAGGAAAGGGAAGGTAACACCATACCAATGGGCAAGGGGCATCCAGCCCGTCCAGCCCTGGTAACCCCGGCTCACCCTTCTCGCCTTTAAAACCTCGAAGTCCCTGTTCATGAAATCAACCACTAGAATTACTTTAGTCAGTGCAGATAATCTCCATTTTAAGGGTGGAGAAACTCAGTAGAACAATGATGTACTCAAAGGCACTCAGGTTATAGTCCCAGTGTTTTTATGTACAATGGCATACAATGATAGCTTTATAAAAAAAATAGTATTCTGAAATAATCAGAAGCTACTCGTTTTATATGGAGAAGATTAGAGAATGCTGTAGAGCTAGACAAGGGGGGAGAAGATCCAAATTTTGGGGAAAGACTTCCCAGGAAGCTGATACTTAAAAGCAACTTGGTGGCAGGCATGCTTTAGCTGGTTGGATGGCTTTGCTACAGAATTCACAGAGTTAAGGAAGTAGCTGAAATGGAATACTTTGGGTTTTTGTCACATTTTTTTGTTAGCTTCACTTTAAAATATCTTTAGAAAATCTGACTGAAGTACTGTTAATTTGATATGATTAAGAAAACAGAATAAAATCTTGTCATGTTCTCTGGCCAGATACAGATACAAGCTATTATAACCCAGATAAAGTAAACCAATTAAATATGGCTTCAAAAGTTAGCACTAGAACATTTCCTTAAAAATATATATATCTTATTTTGAGACATAGGAGGTAAGGAATTCTGAAGCTCTCCACATAGCTGCACGTGTTTCAAATTATCTTTCAGGTATCATCAAAAAGACGTTTGTTAAAAGTACAATTGGAGTAATTTGCCCATATGTAAGTGGCTCAATGTCAAGAACTTTCTCCTTTTTCTTTGGACTAGATCAGTCTGTTTTCCACTGGGTGTCATAAACTGAGTACCCTGCAACACAATCAGCTGCAACATCTTTCTGATACAACATTTGCTCATCTCCAAAGTGGGCGAAGGAAGAAGGCACTTTTAGATTTCACTTTCACTCAGGCCCCTTTCACACATACACATTCACTTGATGATTGTAATGTAAAGTGATGACCCTTTAAAAACAAACCCCTGTAGATGAGATCACACAGTTTTCACATTGCCTCATAACACATTTCATTTGAGATAGTTAATTCAGCAGCAGGTCATCAAGTGAATGAGTGAACACACAGGTATGAATTGGCCTTGAGTCTATGGAAGAAGCTGTAACAGTGAATCTAGAAGTTTTTAAGTGGTATTGCTTTTTCAACTGGGCCAGTTTTACATGGCCAGGGCTTGCTCTAGCTTCCTTTTTCACTTCAGTAGGCATGGCAGAGCTCCCCTCTTTTTTTTTTTAAGAAATCAATTCAAGACGTTACTGCATTGTGGTGTCATTGCCTCTTGTCCTTCTTTCTTCCCCAGTGGCTTAAAATATAAAACAATGTGCCTTATAAAACACAACATACCAATGGGCAGGGTGCATCTAATCCAGGTGCTCCTTGGTCTCCCTTATCCCCTTTAGGCCCCCTAGAGCCTTTCTTGCCCCTTTCCCCCTGTGAATAATAGTTTATTAAAAAAAGATACATAAAAGATTTAGGATTATCCATTTCAAGTCAGTGTCTCATAAACAAAAACAAAATACTGTAATGTAAAAACAATATTTCAAAAGCTTGATTTTCTTTTTCATTTAACATTCTTCGTGGGGGGGTTTTGGCTGGCTTTGGCATTTTATGTTTAAATGTATGTGTATTTTGTATTATTAAAACCTCAAATTTAAACAATAGCAAGGTGTTTGTCTTCCATTTTCATGCAGTGGCTCTGCTTTATACATATAGTTATATAGATATTTCTTTTCCTGGCAGTGTTTGTATTGTTTTGTCATGGCCTTTGGCTAGTACAATAAAGCTTATTTTGATTGATTGATTGATTGATTGATTGATTGATTAAATAATCACAGTGTTCCTCCTGAAATGTTTTAGAATAATTAGCATTAGGAACAACGACTCCTCACATTTGCTCAGAGGTAATCCCATTGAGCTCAGTGGGGAATTCTGATCCACAATATCCAAGCGGACAATAAAAGTAAAATGAGTGGTGGGGATCATTACACTTCTTTTCCAATGACTAACTTTGAAAAACAACATAATCTAGCTGAAGTTCTGTATTATTTTTTAAAATAAACCTAGGAAGACACACTTCTGTTTAAAAATCATGTATTAATCAGCTGGCTCCACCATGTTTTTTTATTTAACAGGAGAGGCAACATTGGCAAATTCTTGTAAAAATGCTCTGTTCTACTTAAGTTCTTAAAATAGACCCTCAAAGGGATAAAAATGGAAACCATCGGCCTCATGCTACCTCTCTGAACAATGGTGCAAAGTCACCTTGAATGAATAATGCCAACATCAAGCCAAGGACCAATAGTCAGAAAGACAACAAAATTATGAAATCTTTCCAAGCCAATTTACAAAAATCAGCAACATACAAAAGAGGGAAACATTTTGATAAGTGCTTGTGGATGTAGGATGTAAGTGGGATTGCTGCAGAGGGAGTTTCATTTAGTAACTGGTATAAGGATTAGGTGGCGCAAGGAGACGACATAAAACCAGGCAGAGTGGGTATATTTTTTTAAGGGAAATAAATGGGTTTGGTGTTTGTTTGTTTTTAATAAAACAAAAATAAACTGGCAGGAAAAATGGATGGGAAAGGAGAGGTCACCCAGGATCAAACGTTGGCTTAGAGGGAGGATAATCCAGGAGAAAATGCAGACTGGGTTGCGGCAGGAAGAGAAGGAAGGATCCGGGAGAAAAGGCAGAAGAGCAGGAAGGGATAAGGGGGACAAAGGTAGACCTGTAGAAGCAAGGAACACACACACGCAAACCACACAAAGACAGGAGAAGAAGAAAAAACAGTTGAAATAACAAATTCAAGTTTAATGCACAGAATAAGCATTGGCACCTTTTCAGCTGGTTTGTCCAAATGAGCACACTCCATTCCCATGAACTGTTAAAATATTGCACCTCTATTTTCTTGACTGCTCTTTCTGGGAGATATACCCCTATGGCATCACACAAGAGCCAATGGGACTGATTAGCAGAAAAGAAGGACCAAGCTGCATGGGGTGGTGGCAGCATGAGATTCATGGGTCAGAATCAGGCCTGCCACTGGATCCTTATAAAACAGGACTTGGGGTGAGACTTAAAAGCACATTAGGGGCAGGCAGGAGAACCTCCTGTTCTCTGTACTTCTCCCTACCCAAATTATGTCTTCTTAGCTCTTTTTCAGCCAGGAGGACTCCTAGGCTGGAAGTAATCCTGCTAGGATAAAAGCAGCTGGAAAGAAGCAGGTGGGGTGGGAGGGGCAGGGTAAGGGGTCAGCAGTCTCCTGCCCTCTCCTCCTGTGCTTTAAATCAGCCCTTTTCCCGCTTTGTCAACATACAGCACAATGCAACCAATACTGGGTTGTGCTACCATCAAATCTAGTTTGGAAAGATAATTTCCACACCTGCTGCACAGAGTATCCCGTTGCCAAATCATGCTGCATGTTAAATAACAGGCTGCCCTTGACTGTTTTACATCCATAGCACCACACATTTCATACCCGACTCAAGAAATGTTTCCAAAACATCAATTAGTCATAAAGTGTCTGCTAATGATATATGGAAGGACTCTTCATTTCTTAATGACTAAATGGATACTTATGCAGGATTTGTGTGTGCACAGTTGCTGCTCACTCTAACTCGTCCCCCGCCCAATATTGTGATTTCAAAGTATTTGTTGCAGTTTTGCAAAACATACTCCTGCATGGTGCTTTGGATCTTTATTCTCTTTAAGTGGTTTCAGAATTATGAATGGCACTGAGAGTGAAACTGGCCTGACTTTCCCCAGAGCTTTATCACAAGCAATTCAGAAACAAAGCTGTCTCTTCTTAATGACTCTTGTCTAACTGGGCAGAAGGTTCACTCATCATTCTGTGACAGTTCTCATCTGCCAATAAACTTGTTGGGGCAGAAACCCAGCCCGAAGTGGTTTCTGAATTTTCAGTTTTAGTTAACCAAGACTGTTCTAAACATTTTATTCAAATTTAAAACCAACTGAAAAAGTCTCAGGAACTTGCTTGATAGAGTAATCGGAATAATAACTACATTTTATTTATTTTTTAATCAAAAGGAAGTTATAAAAGCAGAGGTGGAATGATTAAGTACTCTACACAACAGCAGCCTTGGAGAAGCCATAAACTAAGAGGTAACGCTCATCATGACTGTGATGTGCTGTGAAGACATCATCTCGTTACTTCATCAAGTATTGTATCACAACTTTATTTTAAAATTTCCCAAGCGTTTCATGAGAATTATTTCAAACTCTGGTTCTATTATTGCTAGCAGCCAATATTACTGCAGGCCCCTACATTCTTGAACAGGTAACATCCTTGAAAAGGATGATAAGTCTTTGGGTTATACTTTATTAGGCAGTTAGATTTTACCTTATCCCTGTTGAAGTCCTCACAAATTTAATCATTCCACCATTCCTTAAAGGCCTTAATAGTGAAAGAGCCATAATTTAAGACTTACCCGGTTTCCTTTTTCACCTGGCGAGCCTTGTGAACCCTATAATATAGGTATGAATGTTTAAAGAAGTTATTCATTTTAAAGCCAGTGTGGTACGCTGCTTAGTGCTTGAATCTCCACTTGGCCATGAAGCTCACTGGGTGACATTTGACCAATCATTGTCTCTCAGCCAAACCTACATCACAGGGTTGCTGGGATAAAATAGGGAGGTGAGGAGAACCACATACATCACCTTAGAGCTACAACCTTGCTCACAAAGTGATTAATCTGATGACTGAGATGGAGAAGATATGAATTGCTATTAGGTCACTGGGCGGGTTGGAGACGTCTTAACCTCTGTATTCATCCCATCCATTTGCCTAAATATTACCCCCGCTGTTCTTACACCAGAATTGGTGAAGCCTTGTGGGGAGTGGCAAAAAAATTGCTTGTAGAATCTGATCCAGCCCCCAAGCTAGGAGTTAGCCACCTTTGAACTAGACAGAAAATTGATCATACTTTTTTTTACTTAGGGAGAAATTTTAAAGCATTTAGCTTTACTCAAGTAACTGCAGCAGAAGGTCTATGTTCTCGTGCAGTAGAATTATTAAAGTGAATTTCATGGGGAAAGTGAGGTGGAGGAAGAAGAAGAAATGCTCTATACTTACAGGAAGTCCTGCTGGTCCTGTTGGTCCTGCTGTTCCGGGGTCTCCTTTATTGCCCTAAAATGAATTTAGGAAGACAGAAGTATGTCCTGATTTCGAAAGTGTATTACAGGCACAGAGAAGGTAGACCAATACTGTATCTTTCATAGTAGCAAGTTACTTCTGAACCTTAGGCAACAGAATTGTATTTTCAGTTTCACATAATTTTTTCTCAAGCTAGTGTGGAATTGGAGAGGAGAGATTTCCACCTCCATCCCCGCAAAAAGGTCCCCAAAGTGTTGGTTAAATTGTATTTTGCTGACTAGCAACAGAATAGTGTTAAATAAACATTCCTTTTACTGTTTATCTCTGAAAAGGTATCATGTTCACATAGCAAAACACATTAGAAGTGAAAAAGAGACAGTGGAAATATCCGTTAGGTAAGGTAAAAAGGTAAATGACCTCTGGACAGTTAAGTCCAGACAAAGGCGACTATGTGGCCAGCATGACTAAACCACTTCTGGCACAATGGAACACTGTGATAGAAGCCAGAGTGCACGGAAGGACTGTTTACTTTCCTGCCACAGTGGTACCTATTTATCTACTTGCACTAGTGTGCTTTTGAACTGCTAGGTTGGCAGGTGCTAGGACAGAGCAACAGGAGCTCACTCCGTTGCAGGGATTCAAACTGCCAATCTTCCAATCTGCAAGCCCAAGAGACTCAGTGGTTTAGACCACAGCACCGCCTGCGTCCCACCATCCATTAGGAAGCATTACTTATAATATCAGAAAAGTAAAATTTGCTGCGTTTAAGATGTATTGGACTTGTAACAGACAGCCGGTATATGGACCTGTTTGCTATAGGTTGCTCACCCTCTCTCCTTTTGGTCCTGCTGGCCCTGGAACTCCAACTGGTCCCGGAGTACCCTGAAATTTTAGGGAGAAATAAGTCCATGAAGCCATTTACTCAACATATTTCAAACTGGATAAGAGCATGGAAAAAAAGAGGAGTTTTTGGTTATTCAGGTATACACTTAAATACTACAGCTTTTAAAGTTGATGACCATCATTATTGTATATACAAAACAGAACCACGTCTGAGCTGAAGAAGTTGAGATGATAAAAAATATCAAAGACATTTCCTGAAACATTAGATGAAATATTTATTCCTTTACAATCATCAACGAAGCTAAAAGCTGTAGCAAAAGGAGGGCAATGCATGTTCATACTTAAAGCCTTTTAAAAGTGGTTGGGTAGAGTAGGGGAAAGTAAAGTTTGCATCACTTTTTACATAGGCAGCTCATCATGCAGGTTGACAGATCACCATGCCACAGGCAGTAATGCAAATGTACAGTAATATAATGGAGAACACGAGAAGGTCTTGTTTATTTTCAAGTCCTTATCTGCCATTTAAATTTAACTTCAGTGGGGCAGAGAATGGTGTGTTTTGGTTTTCGCTCCGGGTGCTTCTAGACAAGACAGAGGTTTTTTTGCACTGTCCACATGATGATGATGTTATCAACATACCCACCCACATATTGTTTTACATTTCTCTTATTGCAGGAAACCCATTAAGTAGCAAATAACATGTTATACATCTGTGGTCACCATAGGCTTGTGGATGTTATTTATTTATTTGATTGATTGATTGATTGATTGATTGAATAGTTTATCACATGTGTGGTGATGTGATAATAGTCCCCATTGCCACAACCCTGCTTCCACTTGCTCCTCACCTGAGCACAACCTATTTTCAGCACACCAGCCTGCCTGGTTCCAACAATCCAAACAATCTAGTTTGGAAAAGCTATTCCCTAAAGATCTCATCACAAGTGGGGGAATACCTTGGAGACTGTAATCACAGTACATAGATCAGAACTTTTCTTTAAAAAGAAACAAACCAAAGATTTTGTGCAAGATCTCTTTATCATAATTTCTATAGAGCTAAATAATGTATTTTTAAAAGCACACACAAACATGGAAACAGATGTTTCCCACCAATCAAGGACCTCCCACTAATGTGGCTGGGAAACAGCAGAATGCATGTGAAAAACAATGTGTGGATGGTTGTGCGCCAACTGTGCACATAGAAAACCTGGATCTTAACTGGTGTGTAATATATAGCCCCCATCTGGAAGTGCCTTCAATAGCATTTCCCCTTTTATAGCTAAGTCCTACCAAAATTTTATTGGGTTTATGAATCAAATAAATCCATGCACAATCTAGCTTATGGATCAGTTCATACACTCAAATTAATCAGTCAATCTGTCTTTCCAGGGAACTCAGGGAGATGTAGCTCTGTGGCTGCACAATTGTAAGTTTAACATAATTATCACATTGATCCCCCTCAGTCCTAGGTATTGCTCTGTAAATTCAAGTAAACATAAAGAAATCTAGTTTTTAAATACGAAACAAGCAGTACAACCTGCTACAACAACTTGGCACTGGAGGTTCCATTGTGATTTCACAGAAATCAAAATTATGGAGTCTGTGACACAATATGAAGACCTAATGGAAATAGCTGCACATTTGCAATCCAAGGAGGTGCTTTGTAAAATGGGTTAGTATAGTTATTCTGTCTTTCAGCATGAAGAGTTGGCCAGCAGAATTCATAGGTGGTTAACTCAATATTGTCAATTCTGAACAAGTCTAGTCAGCATAGTCACAGTGTTACAGCATATCTAGCCATACCTCACAAGCATTCTGACACCTTCACAGTCTCTTGCATTGCCAAAATGATAACCTCTCTATTGCTTTCATTATCACTTATCCCCCAAAAGGTGAAAGCAAGACACACAAATCAAAGCGTCCATATTTATTATAGTTCAGTTTCAGATTTACTACATGAACGTGAGCAAATGAGTCAGGAACTGTTATCAAAGGATTGATGGCTGTGTGAACTGGCTGAAATGACCAAAGCAAACACAGGAAGAGAACTGGAGAGCCTTATTATGGAAGCTGCTGTTAAGCTATTAGCCTCCTGGGACCAACAAACTCGAGAGTATTGTCCATTTTAGATTAGGATGGATCTGAGTAGATCACTGAGCAGATATGAAGGCCCACTTTGACATGTTGCAACACACTGTTCCTAAAATAATGGTTCATCCATATTTTCACTTGCCCTGTATTTTGATCATATTGTGTACCAATTAATTCTCTTGGGTCCAAGACCTTTTCTTCTTGTTCTGCAGCTGTGCCTTGCAAAAATCTGATCTTACCCGCTGAACTGAAGTTTGGTTAAGCAAAATCTCTCTTTGGATTTTCTGTACATCTTATAAGATTTGATTCAACAGGCAAGAATGGGTTTTTGCAAGGAACAGCCACAAGATAATGAGAAAAGCTCTCAGACCTGGGGAAATTAATTGGTACACAATATGACCAAAATACAGGTCAAGCAAAAGTGTGAATGAGCCCCTAAGTCTTATTCCCATGTCTCATGCACATATGACGAGCATCCTAGGCTACAGTGAGATCAGAACAAGAAATTGGTTGCAATGCATTGCTTGAATGTGCTTGAAATAAAAATGCAATAGAGTGCCTTTTGCTCACATAAGACATTTACAAAGCATTACTATGGCTGAGAAAAGTGGAAGGAGATGCTTTAAGCATGGCTTTCCATGGGGAGAGAAAAGAAGACAGCTGACGACTGACAATATGAGAGACAGAAGTACATAACATTAATAATGGGTACATGCAAAAATTTCATTTATAATTTACAATATATTACAAGTAAATAAAACCAGGTTATCTTTAGGGCTAAATTCCCAGACCTGTGGAAATGTGTAATGATGTGAATTACAACTTTATGGTTGTTCGGCATCAAAATGTAGCAGCTGCATTTGTTCTGTCTCGGCTTTTTGGAAAGACAATGATACAGATACGGTTGTGGCAAGACAAAGAAGACAAACCACGGCATTAGGGGATAGGAATGTAGGGTAAGAGAGAAATGGAACTCACCGGTGGGCCAGGCCTGCCGTCTAAACCTGAAGCACCCTGGACAGACAAGGAAGGGTTAACAAAACAAAAGGCGAGGAGGAAGGGAGGGTGAGGAGGAGGGGAAGGGAGAGGTGAGTGAAGCAGTGACTGGAGACAAACATATGCTCACAATAAAACAACAAAACTTGGATCTCAGGGACAGGTGATGGCACTTACAAGGAAACCAACAAAAAACAAGACACTGAATGTAACATGGTCTGATTGCTTTAGGTTGCCGGTGAGAATGCAGCACACCAGCATACTCTACCAGAATAAACAGGCCTAGCTTTGGGAGAGCATTGCTGCTGTCTCTTGCTCTATAGCTGAGGTTGCGATGGTAACAGGAGAGCTGATGGCAATCCTTAGGCCATCAGTGGGAGTTGCTTTGAATCGCAGCACATTTACTGTAGCATCTGATGAAGGCACAGCTCTTTACCTTGGCCTCTATCCCACACCTGTGAGAGATATACCTCACCCTGTATATCCACCCTGTTGTCCTGATTTTAATGCGTTTTAACCGTTTTCAGTAGTGCATTTTTAGATTCAGTAGTGCAACCAACCTTGGGATGTCATTGTGAAGGATAGGTAAGATAATTAGTAGGGATGTGGGGGGAACTGGTTCAGTTTGCATTCCAATGCAACCTTCCCAAAGCTGTACTTAACAAACAGAAACAGAAACATCGCTCTGCTTTAAAATTCATACTTTTCAGAATTTTGTGGTGCAATCAATCAACGAAAAGATTGCATACAAAAATGTGCTGTTAGTAAAAAAAATAAAAATCATTCTATAAGGAGGAAACTGCTTGCTAAAATGCTGATACTAGGCAAAATTGTGCACAAAAATGCATATATCAGGAGAAATGTTCACAAAAATGCACAAAGATTTTCATGTGGACTTTTAATTCCTTTAAAAATAAATAAATTGCAAAATGCAAGTCTGGAAAAATGAGAAATGGACAGGGGGGGAAATTGACAGATCCGTCCATCCGCAAGCTCTAGTCATACATAGACAAGTTACTGATGCTGCATGTTGTGCACATAGGCTGCATTCTCATTCAGGTATTTGAATACTGCTCTGGTCCAAGGGGTCACAAAGAGTCGGACACAACTAAACGACTAAACAACAACAACAACAGCTTATGTCTGTTGTTTCTAACCCAGCAAGTGAAATGTGCAATAAGACTGATTATATTAGCTAGATAGGAGAGACTATTAGAACTGTGAATGATCAAGCACATAAATTTGTTAAGCTGCCAATTTCTGATGGGCTTCTTTTTTTAAAAAACAACAACCCAACAACTTGAAGGAAGAAATTGGTTGGTTGAAATGCAAATTAAACAATGATCATTGGTGATTTATTAGGTTCTTCAAGCAAGAGAGAGAATACAAAGAAAGATGGGCACTGTTTAAATCTAGACAGGCTGACTGAATTAGCAAACACACTTAACACAATACCTGCAGAAGATACACGGCCTCTGAACACAGAATCCATTTAACTATCACAGGAAATTTCTGTCAATGGAATTTCTCTAATCTTTTTTTTAAAAAAATCCAGTCAAGTTAGTTAAATTCTGTATTATGTGTCTTGTCAAGTACTTTCTTTTGGCTTTCCTAAACCTACCATAAATCAATTTCACTGGGTGACCCCCAAGCTCTAGTAACTGAAACAGTTTCGTGTGTTTTTGTAATCTGCTTTCTTGCACAGATACACTCTAAAGGGTATAATGATGAGACCCTGAAAGAGAAAAGTCTCAGCAAGGGAGCCCCAGGGTATGAAGAAATTCTGACCAGTTCCTGTACAACATCTTCTGTACTCTCATCTCTTTGAAAGGTGGTAGCAAGATGCATTTGATATCACCTCTTTCTATACGCATTGGAATTTGGCTATATTTGTTGCAGTATTTGCTCATGTAATGGTGCTGAATCTTCATATGCACGCACCTCATCCTCTGTTAGGGGTACATCAAGAAACTTTAAACTGGCACCAACTTGCAGTAATATTTCTAATGGGATAATGTGCAAGGACAATGGGACATAAGTCTTGGGAAATTAGCCCTCAGTTAATATGGTGATGTATCCATAAGGTTAGTTAACTAAAAACTCTATGAATGCACACTGTTGTTCTTATCCAACAAGGGAGATCCATGTTTGGAGAACAGACTTCCGCTCAAGCAACTAATGTTCAGGCACATTCCAATTTTCTCCTGGACTTCATTGAAGTGACTGGATACAGAGCTTTTGTTACAGATAGGGATGAACGTATACAGCAGGAACCACTAGCCGGTTGTGTCACAGCTAGGATATATAAACCATCGTATAAACGAAAGTAAATGATATAATATTATACGTCAAAGTCAGCCTTTAAGATCTATTAATAGGAAGCAATGTTCTGCTATGTACATTTATTAGCAAATGTAGTATTGTTGACTTGGGTATTTCTTTCTCCAGACTTGTTTAAACTCTCTGTATTAAGTTCAAAAGTTTAGATTTCTTAAAAATAATAATATTCCACCTATAAATTGTTCCTGCAAAAATTGCCATGTTTGTTATGTCTTGCATTCTGTTGGCAACATTTCTGAACTCTCCGAGTGAGTTTCCACTTTCTTAGTTTTTAAAATCGTTTACTGCTTCTGCCCTGCTTTGAAAATTATGTTAAAATCATGTCATTACAGCAACCTATTTAAACAAAGACCAGCAAACCATCAGCCAAACAATCACACAGCTGAAGTCTAGAGAACTATAAAGATAGTTCAGGTTAGTTTCTGAATAACAAGACCTGTCCCTATCCATTTGGTTTTGATGTATGAATGCCATGGAAATCCACTAAAATAGAGATGCTGCCCTTATGGCCCAAAGCCCAGATACAGATATCAGAATTCTCCTTTTTGATCTGCCAGCTGATCCAGCTCATGCTTATCTTACCAAGTTGCCATCCATTTTGCATTGCTTCACTATCACCAATTGATGACTTGCACAGGTGGTAGGGAAGGCAAAGCACATGCAATCTTGGGAATATCAGTGAGGTTGTATAAACAGGGCAGCTGCATAATGAGATATGGCATTGGTCCATCTCTACTAGACAATAGTCTCTAGCTTCCAACTTCTGCCACAGGCAGCTGGACATTGCCAAAATGAGGACCATGCGGCCTGGTTGCCAGTTTTCTATGCAGTCTTTTGTGGTGTTGATCCCAGAATGTGAGCAGTAAGCCAGAAAGTCCCCAATTCAAATTTCATTTCAGCTAGCTGACATCAATACTCCCGTAAAAAAGTAGCTGTCCCTGCCCTAAGTGTCCACAATAACATTCCCTTGAACTTCATAACTGTAGGATCTGCATAAATAAATGACCAGGGAGTTTGTAGCCCCCTCCTTTCTGGACTAGGTTTGCAGGTTGCCTATGGAAAAGAGTGCCCTATGGTGGGTGGGCGCACCAAGCTACAGGTGTCCTATGGATTGAGCAACAGCATGCCTTATTGCAATCCGGAAACTGGAACCATGGCTTGGGATGAAATCTTCAAAGCACACATTTGCCATTAGCAAACTGCAGTGCAGGAAGACAAAAAGGGTATGTGTGGTATGTATGGACTGTGTCAATTAGTCCATATTTAAGAGAGGAAATGGGTTATCTGGTGAGGAGCATTATACTCTAAAAACAGAACCCTAATAGAAACAGGGAATGCTGGCTTTGTTTGAGAAGAGAACCCTGCCAGACCTAGGCTTAGCAGTTCAGCCTGGTCTTCCCTGATCTAATGTCCTTCACGTTTTGGACTGTAGCTCTCATTAGCCCCAACCAGCAGCCTTGTTTATAGAATAGTTTATAGAATCTACAAACTATTTATGTTTCTTGCTTGAATGTATTGGCACTTGAAGATTATTATGAGCATAAGAAATACATGTGGCAAGAGCCCAGAAGTAAAATTTCTCTTGTTGGTATCACCCAAGCAAGCAAAATCCAGGGGACCTTGAGTCAGTGACCAGAATTCTCAAACTCAAGACATCTTTGCAGCTTCGTGGACTTCACAGCATGGCATCGTGTTTTGCAGCTTCTCATTCCATGTGTCATTTTACCAAATTATGCTTCTTATTTTAGTATTTGGTGAAAGCTTGGGTTAAAGATGGCCTGTGAAGTTCTCCTTGCTTTCTAGATACTTACGGGCAATCCCAGAGGACCTCGGTCTCCTTTTTCTCCCTGGGCACCCTTTTCGCCTTTCATTCCAGAAATGCCTGCTTCCCCCTAAAGGAAAGATGTATCAGGAGAAAGCCTAACACTTCCTTGGAATGTTTCTAAACAGATATTGATTACATAGCAAAGGCACCCAGTAGCATCCAAGACATAGCAATGACTAAAGAACATTTTGCAGCCAATTTCACTCTCACACTAGACAATGCCAAGTTGCTCCACTGGTTTCAAAGGAGATATTTAAAGTGTTCAATAGTGAAAGTGACAGGATAATCAGTCTCTGTAGTCGATGCTAGAGTTTATGCAAATTGAGAAGTTCTGAGCTCCCATAGATGAAGAGTAAATATTTGTAAGATATCCTGATTTTTCAGTGCAAATCACACAGGAAGGGAAGGGCAAATACATGTATTAGAGTCAAATTTCCACATAAGAAAAAGAAAACAGCTTTGGAGCCATTTTGAGTAAAGAAGGTGTGGGAGGAGGGACCCATAAACCCTTTTATCATGTGTTGTTTGCCTATTTCAAATTGCTCACCTAAGTGGCCTTTTTGCACAGAACAAAAAAAAAACAGAAACAAACATGTGTTTGGGCTTTACATACATGAACTGACACATAATGGTATAAGAAGCATGGGTTTATTTCAGCCTGAAATAAGAGTTTCTGCTTTAAAACCTGACACTATTTGAATGTGGGGAGATGGGGTATATTAGTTCCACTGGCATGTTTGGAAAAACTCTAAACTGTCCCAAGCCAATAATTTGACCTTCAGAGCAGCTTCTTATACACTTTCTCTAAAAGGGCCTTATTTAATCCAATGTGATGGTCCTTCATTCTTACCTTAGGTCCTCGACCACCTTGAAGACCCTGTATTTGGAACAAACAAGAATAAAAATTAGGGTGGGTTAAATTTCAGAAGTCCAGTAGCAAACAGTTCCTATATTACTCATTCTTTTGCACCTTCTGCTTTCTTGTTAATGATATAAATTACAGCAACTAACAGAGCAAATGCTCCAGTGCTGTTTTTATCTGTTCCCACCATTTCCTGCTTATAGATAATAGTTATATACTGTGCCAGTAGTGATGTACCAAGTCTTTCTTGTTGATTGATACATCGGTTTGAAAGGATTGGATTAACAGTAAGGCATCAGTATATATAAAATAAAATGGGGATTTTTAGATGTCTATTATCGATTGCTACAGCAGTGTCATTAATTGTACCCATCCTTTTGTCCTTAAACAGGATCAGCAAACAGACATTACATAGCATATCCTTGCATATGGTGGGTGACAGTAGTGGACAGCAGCATAGGGCAGTGACACACACCTGATCTCTGGTCACCTGTGTCACTGCTATATACTGGGATGGAAAAGGGAAAAGACAGAGTGGCAGTGAGGTGCAAATGCACTGTTGGGAGTGCAAACAGGCTCTGTTGGTGTATTTGCACCATGCCAACTTCCCTAGCTATCCATCCAGCAATGTGGGCAACTGGAGGTCAGGTGAGCATGACTGCCCCACCCCTGCCAACTGCTACAGGTGTGGGAAAGGCCTTTCTTTGCAGAAGCAGTTATGAGCAGCCCTCTTCTGCCACTCTGCTTTAAAACTGCAGCACCCCGACACTGCTTTTTCATTAGGAATACAGTGGTACCTCTGGTTACAGACACTTCAGGTTACAGACACTTCAGGTTACAGACTCCGCTAACCCAGAAATAGTACCTCGGGTTAAGAACTTTGCTTCAGGATAAGAACAGAAATTGCGCCACAGCGGCATCGGGAGGCCCCATTAGCTAAAGTGGTGCTTCAGCTTAAGAACAGTTTCAGGTTAAGAACGGACCTCCAGAACGAATTAAGTTCTTAACCTGAGGTACCACTGTAGAATAGCATCTATTGAATTAGTCTGCAGATCATATTGCGACAAAAACAAACATTCTTCACTGGGATGTGTTGGTCTAGGTACGGTGCCCTGGCTCAGTTCGTACAGCAAACAGCAGGTAAAACCGCAGGACCAGAATATGCTGTGCTGCCAGCACTGCAGTTTTGTTGATTTCATCTACCCAGAAATTGCTCCTTATTGCTATATTTTAACTGCAATGGTGTTCAATCATATATATATATATATATATATATATGCCTATATATCTTATATGTTGTATTGTTTCCATTTTGTTTCTATTTTAAATTTGTCCACAAACTGTCTCAAGCTCAAGATAAAATAAAAATGGCTTGAACAACTATAATAATTAAGTTACTTGCTTGCTCACACCGTGCATTGCAGTTAACATTGACTATTGGCAGCCTTGCAGAACAGAGTTGTGTATGAAGTTTCAGTGAAATGCTGCCATATATGTAGTTGACAGATAGGACTTACTGGTGTTCCTGGTGGGCCTTGGGGCCCTGGGGGCCCTGGTACCTAAAACCCCAAACAGAAAAAGAAAGGTCAGTGCCACAGTAAACAGCTTGCATAAGAGCACATTATGTAACCTTCAGAATGGTGGGCTCATGAGAGAAGTGAATGGCTATGGAATAAATGAAAAGAGCAGGTGGGTACCATTTATGTTTCTGAAGTCTATCCTTCTGGGTGTCTTTTCTTCTCAACTAAGCACTGCATTAGAGGTGGGGTTGGCTGGAGAAGTGCTTGGGGAGCGGGGATGCAGAAAACCATGCTGTGAGTAGGGAAGGCTGCTGTGGTCCTCACCCAGAAATCCCCTTTGCTGTTAAAAATGGTCCCTGCCCTTACTCTGTGAGTACTTAGAGGTCAGCCACAGATCAGTTGCCATCATGTCAAGGCAGCCCCCTTTTTCAGTAGAATACTTTGGAGTAGGCAGTTTAAAGTTCGCAACCCATGAAACCCTGAAGGATACTTTGACTACACCAATGATCCTCCCAGTAAGCTTCAGCTTCTGTTTTAAGAGGATAAATTGTGGAATGACAACTTACTGAATCTCCAGTGTCTCCTTTTGCACCAGGTTCTCCTTTCTCTCCCTGCAAATGCAGCAAGTATAGCATAAACCCAAGCACTGGTATGATTTTTATTTCTTTACAGTATTAAGAGCTTTCAGATGGCTTAACATTCAGATGAAGACATCCATTAGAGAAGAAGAACTGCAGTCATCATTTTGCACCCCTCCCAAAATTTATGACAGTGTGCCTGAATTAGCTGTGCTACCTATCTTGATCTTTGTCAAAATAGCTGGGCACCATTCTAACAAATTTAGATAATGTCTTAAGCTGGCAAAGTATGTTCAGAAAGGAAATATAATGGTCAAACTCTTAAAAAACACACATTCCATATTTCTAGAAATTGTGCCCTCCCTGCACGCAACTGATTAGAACCTAATCAGATGCTTCCACTTTCCCACCTCTTTGTTCAAACATAATCGATTTCAAAAGCAGGTGGTTCTGACAAGCCTTTTTCTCAATCAAGCAGCACTATGGTGGTATAGCATAATGACTTAAGGTGAGAACTGTGGTAGTGGTAGTTCCTGCTTTAAATCTCACCTCCTTCACAAACATACTGCGGAGCCTCAGGGGAGCAACCATTAGCTCAGCTTCAGCTGAGAAAGAATTCAAGGCAGTGTTTTGTAGTGCTTGACTCTCCCCACAGAAGTGGGTTTTTTGGGGGGATGATCTAATTCTTTGGATAGCTTACTGTTAATCCTGGAAGTCCGATTGGACCTGTTAGGCCTAGAGGTCCTGGAATCCCCTGATCACCTTTTTCTCCAGCTAAGCCATCAAGACCCTACAGAAGAAGAAAAAATATTTATTTTTACATACTATACAATGCAATAGAAAAACATGACCGCACTGCTGGCATTATCAGAGTGGAAATGTATTGAGACCCAAGTACTAAGGGCGCTGAACTCAGTGCTAGCAAGCAGCTATAGACAACACCCTTTGTGGTCCTTACTGGCAGAACTCTCTCTAATGTGTTTCTTGACACATCCTTAGTCAGCAACCTACTAGGCAAAGGTCCTGGGAATGCAGTGCAGATGGACTGATTCAGTAGAAGCAGTGGCAGATGTAATATAATAAAGAGTGTAATTGAAGAACGTTTATAACCCAGAGTATCTTTCAAATGAGCTCTAAGTGGCTAACAGGAAAATCAGTAAAACAATACACAACAAATTATAAGCAATAAATCTTGCTGTTCATTTGTTGTTTTTATTGTTGTGTCTTATATGGATTGGCCTTGTAGGCCACCTTGAGGGCATTTGTCCAAAGGTGCACAAATAAATAAATGGGAGGATTTCACCCCATTATGACACCCCATTTATATGTGTGTGACCCTGAAGTTCATAGAATCATAGAATTGTAGACTTGGAAGGAACCATGAGGGTAATCCAGTCTGACCCTCTGCAATGAAGGAATCTTTTGACCAATATGGGGCTTGAACCCATGACCCTGAGATTAAGAGTTTCATGCTTGTGTGTGAGAGAGAGTGGGGGGGGGGAGCTGTATGAAAATGTGTGTCTGCACAGGATGGAGGGGATATATGTAAGTCCACCCCTCTGTTCCTTCCACACCACTGCAAATTACTGTGAATTTCTTCTTAAAAAAACACACACATTAAAACACATTTAAAGTTCTCAGTCTTTCACCATCTTAGTCCTATAGAAAGCTATGCTAAACAGAGAGGCAAGATAAACGTGTGTAGGATTTGGATTTCTGCATGCAAAAATCACATTGAGTTCATTGAGAAGAACATTTGTGTATTTAACTTGTGAAGAAAGAGGTAAACCCATCAGGAGGGAAGATAAGGCAGCATCTTGCCTTATGACAATTCAGTCAGGTGTTGAAGTCTCCAGGCCCAGTTTGGTAAAACGTACAATCTGGAAGTTCTGATATTGTATGGCTAATGGCAGGTATGTATTCAACAGCTGCCATAGATCAGGCCAAGCACTTGGCAAATGGAGCCACCAAAAGCATTCTTGTTTTATGGAAACAGTTTAAATCAAGTTCATCATCAGTGCCTTTTATAGTAATTCCAGTTTTAGAGAGCAGATAATCTCACCTTCAGTCATTTGAAACTGTGACCCATCTATTTTCGTGCTTGAAAGGCCAGCCAAATTAATACACTCCCATTACCTAGCCCTTACCTTTTCTCCATCATGTCCGGGAGGACCAGGCAGGCCAATTTCACCCTAAGATGCAGAAATCAATGGAGATTTAAAAAATAAATAATTGTGAAGGGCTATTTCACCTCTTTGTGTGTTAAGCATGGGAAGTGACAAAAAACAACTCTGCAGGTAGAGGAATCATAGGTAATTATAGCAAACTTCACTCTCCAGGTGCATGGCAAAATCCAGGCAAAAGAGAGTGGTATCAGCAGGCTTGGTGGGGGAGTTCCAAGGGTTGCATAATAATAATAAAAACCTTTAGATACAAACCTTAAGGTGCGGGAAAACACCAAACAACCCAATGAGGATTGAGCATAGTCAGTGGCTACAGAACGTTGTGAGACTGCAACCTGGAAATCTACACTGCACATTGAAATTCCCTAATGCAGGGAGCATGAAGGAGCCATGACCACTCTCGCTTGTTCCACTCTTTTCTGGCACCTGTATTTCTTGCAGTAGATCTCTGCTTATTACGACAAGTGGAGAACAGGAGGGAGGTTGGGAGGAGGGCAACGCTAAGAGGGGAACTTGTGGGGAAGCCTGGGTTGTCTTCTGTTTGGACTGGGATATTTCCAGCCAACAACCTGGCAGTCCTATTCACTTGACAATAGCAGTGCCCTAGAACTCCCACACCACAGAGGGATTCTCACAAGAGCCAAGTTTGGGAAAGAGGTTTTCCAAGATGGGAATATCAGGGGAAGAAATGCAGCCTGTTCCCCAGCTGTGCTGATGCCTGTGTACATACTACTTTCCCTCAAGAATTCTGGGTGCTGTAGTTTACCCCTAAATTCTTTGAGGGGGTAAATGTGCTTTGAATGTATTTCATAGTGTGTATGCACCTAGCGTCCCACTATACACACTTAGTGGTGTTTAACTAACAGAGGCAATTGAAACCTTATGGGCCTTAAAGTGTTTTTGTTTTGTTTTTCTAGATCATGCCCTAGTCATTTTTAAGGAATCTCAGATTGTGACTCTTACCTTCTGTCCAGGTAGTCCTGGAGGACCTGCGACACCAGGTAGTCCAGGAGGTCCCTGATGAAAGAAAAACTCATGCTTACAAAATAACTTGCTTTCTTCCTTTAAAAATGAAAACATTGCAAAAGTAGATACTTCTTAATGCTAAGAACTCTTTGACAGTGAACCAGGCTGCCTTGGGCAGTGGTGGGCTCTTCCTTTGCTTGTGGTACTTAAGCAGAGGCTGATGGACAGCCATCTGTCAGGGATGCTGCAGCAGCATCTTGCTTTGCTGATCCTGCACACTGGTTGGACCAGATGACCTCCTAGGCATCTTCCACCAGTTGCTGATTCTACCCCTTTTATGTAACAGAACTTTGCTTATAAACCCCAGTGCATATAGGAGGAAAGGTGACTCACCATAAGAGCCAAGGTTCGTATCTCCTGGAAAAAACCAAAAAATATATATTAAAGCTTCTTCTTGAAGAAGCAACTCTCTTCCTTTCACCTCCAAACTAATGCTTAAACAATTAACCGCACGTTGAATGAATGTAATGTAGGTTTTATTTCCATTCTGGATTTTCAAAATAGTTTTTACACTGTAATTTTTCTTTAGGGAGAACAGCAGCTTTACAGCATCTTCATAATATGGGCGAGACTCAACTCAGCAAATGTGAAGGGACTTCCTCTTCCCCTCCCCTCCTTGCAGAGGGTCTCCCAGCCCTCTGAATCAGATGAAGAGGGGCATCAGTGGGAACAGGGAATTCTGTTTACAGAAGTGGAACTCAGTGCACAAGTAGGGCACCACAACTGGATATACCACCCTATATGTTTACGAATGTCCAAGTTGATCAGCCATTACAGATGCATAGAAGAAAGCATCCAAGTTGGCATTCCTAATCTGAAACAAGCACTACTTGAGTACCTTGAAAATCAAAACCATTTCTCCCCAAACAAGCAATTTCCATACAGCTCTCCCTGTACATATACTATAGACCTGGTTCCTACAGCCCTTCAAGTGGTCATTTTATAGTTCAATGCTTTAGACAGCCATACTACTGATTAGTGTACACTGCTCCCACCCATCATCAATCATCAGGCTGCATTGAACCCATCAATTTACTTGCCTATTTCTGCTGCACAGAAATAGCTTGAACTCCCATGTTAAAGACCAGAAAAGAATAGGTTAATATGAGGTACAAAATGGAATTTATTAAGCAGACAAGAAATCTTCATTAGGGGGAAAAACCCATTTCAGAGAGTTAAGCTCTTATTCAAAATATAAGTATTGCAAGAAGTTCTTTACTGTTTCCTACTGCCTAATGGGTCTATAAACATCTGTTGTAGCTAGGTAACAAATCTGAAACATCTGCAGTATTAATCTGGCAGGTGGGGAACTATCTTATTACTACTGCTATGTCTGTACAACTCTTGCAAAAAGTGATCTGCTGGCAGGAGCTATTCAGGCATATTATATAATATTGCATTTTGAATTAATGTTCTCTTTGTCCTAGCTGACAGCCTATTGGTAGGGTATAAAAGAGATCATGGAGTGCAGAAGTTAGAATACTGAGAGACATGCTGAATAGCACCGCAGTGTACAGTCTGAAGGCAAATGAGACTAACATCTTGCTGGAGCTAAGCAGACCTCCTCAGGTATTAGATGTGAGAAACGGACAATGTCTTGTCCCTCCTTCGACTCAGATATTCTGTGGTCTTGGAGATTCAGACAGTCTTTGATCATCTCCATATCTTGCATTCAGAGCTGTAGGTCTAGCATATTTTTAGAAAAGGACCAAGATCCATAGCTTCCTAAACATTCCTTGTGATGTCCGTAAGCTTAGGGCCAAAAAAAACCTGTGATGCTAAACGCATCACTACAAATTAAACCAATCTTTTAAAAACTAAATAAGCAAGTGTTGGTTCCCTATCACTGACATTAGCTCCACAGGCCCAAGAGAATAACCCTTTCTATCCCATCATGGTTTCAAAGAGAATTATCTCCACATAGTAATGGAAGTTTTGCTCCTGGGGTTAACAGCAACTGCGGGGGTGATTTTAATTGGAATCATGGCAGGGGAATAAAGAGTTATAAAAAACTCTCTCTATGAGCCACAGTTCTGATTTTGTTCAGGGCCTCTCATGCCTGCTATTTAAAAAGATTCACAAAACTCGTAGTGACCTGTTTAGCATCTTGTATAGTTTGGCTTGAAATTTACCAACAGTGTTAAGGTATGGATATCAGCTCCGAACATCAAAAGAAAATCCAAAATAAGCTAGACCTACTAATACAGTATGGTGTTTAGTGCCACATGTAGTTTGGCTCTTAGTGGACATCTGGATGGTTTTATACTGAAGCCCGCTTCACAGTAAAGTCTAAATGTCACTCAAAAATCTTAGTATTGGTTCACGGTGGCTGCATTATCTTTTTTCAAGGCATAATGTTTTGGCATGCCATAATAGGCCCTTCAGCTTTGTCCAGTGAGTTGGAGTTTGCTAACAACCCCCAAAGTAGGACTTCTGTTCATGCAGTGGTTGGGATTCTTTATGCATATTCCAGAGGAATGTCACACTTTTGCTGATCTACTTTAGGTAAAAGATGCTGTTTAGCAAGCAGTGGAACAAGGAGATTGGAAACTAATTCTACCATCTTCAATAGGTGACTTCACCAGAATCCCCTGCACATTCTAAAATCTGAGTAGTCCTAAACATGAATGATCTCCACATCATGATCCAGTGCTGCTCAATCACTGGCTGTGATTACAATAATCTGTATATATAAATATAACACCCAAGTCTCCATTCTATAACTTCTACAGAGGTAGCAATAATAATAATAATTTATTATTTATACCCCGCCCATCTGGCTGAGTTTCCCCAGCCACTCTGGGCAGCTCCCAGTCAAGTATTAAAAATAATACAGCAATTAACTGTATGACAGGGGTGCCCAAACTTTTTTCAAAGAGGACCAGATTTGATGAAGTAAACATGCATGAGGGCCAACCAAAGCTGGTGAGCTTTGTATAGAATTGAAGTTGCTGAGCTTTTTTTAGGATTTTACCCCAGGACATATACTGCCATGGGGGCCAGATTAAATCGACCAGCGGATTGGATTAGGCCTCCGAAACAGGCTTTGGACATGCCTGCTGTATGAGATGATCACTTGTTGCAGCTAAATCAGCATGAAACAACCTGTTACTCTTCAAAAAAACACCACCATAAAACAAACAAATAGCAACACATGGTACACTCCTGTGTTGTATGTGTCAGCTTAGTTTATTACCTGTAAAGCTTCATTGATATTGCCATTGTAATCTACCATTTCATTCTTTCCTGGTTCACCCTTGGGACCCTGAAAAATAGTACATGGGTGGTTAGAAACCAGAGTTTCCATCTAGATTAGAGATACTTCAGTGCTTGAAAGTATCTCTAAGTATTCAAGTATCTTGAATAGAAAGCCCCAAAGAAGAGGACATGCTTCACAGAAAAACTGCATAGTGCAGTTATAAGTGCACATATAGTCAGATTCTAACCCACTCTGGAAAAGTCTTCAGTAAGCATATCTTACTCTACTTTATTTGCATAAAGATGTTATTAAGCTATGGTTCATTTGGCCAAGGACAGGTGGTGCTGCAAACTACAGTGGGTTGACAGCTTGCCAAAAAGACACAAACCACCCCTTAGTGGAAGAGGGCAAGGTGGAGGGAAGAAGTGGCCCAGGTGGGCAGGTGAGCCACAGATGAACATTCAGTACAGACTGGTGCAGCTCCCCAGCAATTGCTCCCTAGTCCTGTTTTGCTGCCACTGTCACCTGCCACTCCCCTCCACCTTACCCTCTTCAAGGGCCGCTCCTGCAGTGTAGGGAGCTGTAAGGAAAAGGGGCTTTGTTGAACTGTAAGGAGTCAGGGGCTTTTTCTTGTGTGGTGGGGAATATAAGAGGGTTGGCAAAGTCTCCAGGGATTGGGAAGTAGGTGGAGCTGGTGGGCAACCCAAGCACAGATGCAACCCACAGTATGTATAGAAAAGAGCAAGGAGAATTTACTCACCTTTGGTCCTGGAGGTCCAGGTAAACCAGGGGGTCCAGGTTCCCCTTTACCTCCTCCAAGTGCATTGTCAGAATCTCCCTTATCTCCCTAGATATACAAATAAACAACAGTGGTCAAGTGATTGTAATGCCTGTATTTCTATAACAAGGCTTTTTCTGAACGAGTGAAAGGGAGGAAGTGATAAATGAGAAGGTATTGCTGCTAATACCCCTTAGTCAGTTGAGTGCTGACATTACATATACTAATTGTGAAACCAGTTAGCAAAACCAGCACTGTCCACACAGGAGGAGAAACCTGCCTCTGAGATTTGGCCCACTTTTCCAACCCCTTAATGTGGTTGGCCCCCTTGGAACTCCATGCCAATACAGTGGTACCTCGGTTTACGAACTTAATCCGTTCTGGAAGTCCATTCTTAAACCAAAACCATTCTTAAACCGAGGTGCACTTTCCCTAATGAGGCCTCCTGCCGCCAGTGCCCTTCCACCGTTCGGCTTCCGTTTTTACACCGAGGTAAAGTTTGCAAACCGGGACACTACTTCCGGTTTTGCAGAGTTCGTAAACCGAATAGTTTGTAAACAGGGCTGTTCTTAAACTGAGGTACCACTGTAGAAGTTTGCTTTTAGGCATCTTCTGGAAAAAACAACCACTGAATTATTCAAACAGGTCTTTCAGTTCTGAAATCCTTTGCCAACCAGCTATCGCTGATGTGTTGACATTTTTACTATAATAGTGTGTTCTCAGTCTGTATACCGCCTTGCGGATATTTCATATGAAAGTGCGGCCTATAAACGTTTTTAAAAAACAAATGTACAAAGATCTGACCAGTGAAATATTTTTCTCCAGTCAGATTATTTGCTGTTTTTATGGAAGCATAAAGATGCATACTTGGAGGTGCCCTGTTCCCTGAATGTTTCTGTGCAAGCAAATAAAGAAAATATACCTGTTACCACATCCCCTTCCCAGGTAACAGAACAAACCTTTTGTCCTACGGTTCCAGGAGGTCCCGGATCACCAGGTTTTCCTTTCTCGCCCTGTTGGTAAAATATACACATGGTTGGATACCTGCTGCAATTATTGGTTTAATGGGCACTAGGATCAGCTGAATGGCGGTAAATCTATCTATGGACACAACATTGCAAGTATGTCTACAGCTTTATTCCTGTTCCTTTGCTAGTTTTCCTTCTGAAGAACCATCGTTTGCCTTTTGATTCTATATCACAGCATGGCCATGTGTCCATTTTTTATATATATATATACACCCACACACCCACATATATATGGGTTGGTTTTCTTTTTTAAAAAAGTTCTGGCTACAAGAAGTTTCTGTCTTTCAAAGAACATGGTTTAAAATGAAACAATCTCTCAAAACTAATCACTTTCTAATGAACTTTCCCGTTTTGAAAGGCTGCATTTCACAAACATCTTGTGAAGAAACCATCTTCACAGGACAATCATTTATCTTATGGTTTGATATTGGGGGCCAGGAACTGGCAGGTGTGTCAGAGGTACCAGGATCAAGGTGATGCAATCCTGTTTATGTCCAAGATCATCTACAGTGCCCATATGGATGGCTTATACCCTTGTGTTATGCCCAAGTACCTAAGCTCGATAAAACAAACAATATCGTGTTCCCACTTCAGTTATCTAACACAGAAACACCATTATCATCCCTAGTGTTATGAGTGCCGGCGTGGTTGCTCGAGAGCAAACAGGCAAGACTTCCCATTGGTCTTAAGGCTTTATTATCTGTCCAAAACGTTCACAATGCAGATTGACTCAATTCCATGTCTGCTCACTCGCTAGCAGAATCTGGGAGTGGGCGGTCCTTAAACTTTCCCCAGCAGAGTAGTCTTTCGACCCCCACCCTACGCCTCCCCTCTCTGCGTGTAAACCGACTGCGCAAAGAGGGCGTGGGCAGAGAGGGACCTGCCCCCCCCGCTTTGTTCATGCTCGGTGCTGTGTTTCTCCCTTGCATACTCTGAGCCCTGCACCCCTTTCCCACTGGAGGCGTGGCTTTCCTCCTCCGTGAAGGAAGTGCTGCTTCTCACAATCTTTGGAGGCTCCCTGTAACCCAATTGCCCTTCCACCTCTTGCCTCTGAGCTGATGGCAGTTCCCTGACACCTAGTTTCAGGAAAGTTCTGGCCACCTGTTGAAACCCAAGTTTAGCACACTTCCTCTTGTCCCACTTTGAGCTAACAAGCAATTCAGGCTTTTTCCAGATAGATGTTTGCTCAACTTAGAGCTAAAGAGCAAGTTTTCCCTGGAAAAGAAGCGGGGAAACCACTTGAACCATACGCCACACCGTGGGGGGCGGCACTTACTGTGGGGCCTGCAGTGCGCCCAAGCCACGCATTTCTCCTGGGAGTGACATGGTGGCTGATGCATCTGCAGGCTAAGCACTCCTGAAATGGCAGTGTGGAGCTTGCAGCCACCTGCTGCCTCCCCCCTCAGCCGCTCTACAGATGAGGGAGAAGCGGCGGCCTGCCCCGGCTAAACTCCACCCAGTGGGTGGCTTCCCTTGCCCCTGGGTGCAGGCACGCATGCCGCCCCAGGTGCCCTAGTGGCTAACTACATCGCTGATGCTTCAGCTATAAGGAGAGATCACTCCATAGTACAAAAGGGTCTGTGGGCTGAATGGCCAAACATTTTGAGTTGTGCCTTTGCATTACATAAAAGCAGCATTCAGTTGCAAACAAATTCATTTTGATCTTTTTATGAGCCACCTTTGGCTTACGCCCCAAAGGCAGTGTGCAATTAAAAGAACAAACAAAAACAACACAAAAATTCACCATCAAAAACAATGTAAAACACAGAAACAGCAGCATCCATCCCCAAAAAACCAAACCAGACATCCAACTGCAATTTAAATCAGCTATTCAACACACCGAAATGCATGGGAAAATAAGGAAAGGAAATTGCTGCTAAAAACACTTTATAATGAGTGGTGGGGTAGCTAGTCCAATAAAGACATTGTAAATACAAGGTCAGATGGTTGTGGGATCCAAACAAAGGCCTTGAGGGAAGAGCTTGCATTTTGGGTAGAATCAAGTGGGAGAGAGTAGTCCTTTAAGTAACAGACCCCAAGTTATCCAGGCAATAGCCAGCACTTACAAATGTGCCTAGAAAGGAACCAGCAACTATTATAGTTATTTAAGAACTGGTGAGATGCAGTCTCTATAGCTAATACACTGTAGCTGCTGTGTTTTGTACTAATGGAAGTTTCCAATATATCATACAGAGTGCATTTCACAAGTCCACACTAAATGTTACCAGAGCACCAATAATTGTGGCTGGACAATCTAGCAGGGGTTGCAGCCGATCTACCAGTTCCAGTGACAGTGCTTCATCAATCAGCAGCACCAGACTGTGAACTCCAGAGACCGTAACCCCATCCTTAGGGAAATGCAACCCAGTCTGTTCTAATTATCTGAGCTGGCCAGAATGCATTTTTGCTCAAGAAATGTCTGGATTTCAAAATAGGAAACATGATTTAAATCATATTGATCACACTGATTTATAATAGCACCAGCTGTACGGAAGGCTATCTTGAGACCATTTATTCTGAATCCATTCCATGTACCCCAGTGAGAGCCCGTTTTTGTAAATTTCTGCTTGACGGCTGGATCACATGGGTATGAACCATATGAGCGACACATTGCTTAATGGGAAGGGCATCACTAATATTGCATGTGCAAGCATGATGTATAAAGCAGGTCTGAGAGTTAACAAGGGCAGTTCTTTTTATGGCAATAGGCCTTTGGAAGGAAGGGAAACAGAAGGGGGGGCACAGAGATTGAGGAAGAATGAGCCAAGTGGTAGGGCAGAATGAAGTACTGAGAGCTGTGTGGAGCAAACCTGATTATCTGACCACTGAAAGCTCTGTCTGACTTTCCTTTCCAACTGTTTTCTACAACCAAGACAGCCTTCAAAGTTAAATCACAACAGCTGAGATTCTCAGGAGGCCAACTTCTGTTCTAGATATAACTGCTTTCTGTGTCTGCATGGTACGCATATGCAGTGGTCCAAATGGACATCGCAATAACACTTTTGAGTACAGATGGAAATTGTTTACTCAGAGGGCCATTTTCATGTACTATCTGGATCTGCAGTGAAGAAGTTGAGCTCACTTATATTTCAAAGTGCACACAAGGCATTAAATGGAGTGCTTCATTTGCAAATTAAGTTGGGAAATGTGAAGAGTTAATAAGCTGCAGCCAGAGCTAATACTAATCAGTTGCATGGATTTTGCTATCTTCAAAGTCAGCAGCAATTGCATCCTCTTATAAACCGGCATCCCAGCATACATCCAAATCGTTCTGTCCTCCCATCACAATACTTATCCTGTTTGTTATTCCAAGGGTGAAAGCAGACACAATATATAAACATATCTCTTTCAGAAGACTGCTAATGTTTGAGTATTCTGAACAGGGGTGCTTCAAATTCTGGGTTTAGTTTTGGGCATACACAGCACACTCCACACTTGTAAGAAATAGGATAAAAGCATTCTTTGGCAAGCATGAAAATGCAGCTCAAAGCAACCTGGTCAAGGTTTGGGGGAAGGACAAGACAAATAAGCAAACCAAGCTCAAGCATTTGACAATGTCCTACCCTCTGCCCCCTTTTCCCTGGCAAACCTGGGGGGCCCATCTTCCCTGCAACTCCACGGTCTCCCTTTATTTGGAGGATGGGTAAGAAAAGGGAGGCAGAGAATTATGTCTGTTACGCTTGACTGGTAGTCTCCAAGCACAACATAGCTAAACCCTAAAACACCTAAAAGAAATAGCAAACTTGCTAAAACTTCTACTTTTGTTGCTGATAGCAACAACAACATCAGTAGAATTTATATAGAGTTTTAAAGTGGTGAAAAGACTTCACACACCTAATCTCAGTAATCTACACAACAACCCAGTAAAGTAGGTCATTATTGAAGCCCTTCTATTGAAGCTTGGGGAGGAGATCTAGAGCTAAGATATAGTAGCTCCATAGATAGATAGATAGATAGATAGATAGATAGATAGATAGATAGATAGATACTTCTACAGACCCTGGTGAAATTTCACTTGTCTCCTGCTGGAAAATAGGGAACATCTCTACTGACCAAAGTATTCACATACTCACATCCTGATTATAACACCAGATCTCCTTAAGAGACTTAAAATAAAACATAGACAAAGCAGACTAAGAACAGACATTTCTTTAAGTGCAATACCTTTGCTCCTGGAATCCCTGGCTCACCCTGCATTAGGAAAAGATGGAAAAACAAACTGAGAGAAGAAGAGAGGAGAGGGGTGATTCTTTTACTTCCAACACTAACAGGCAGAGTAGGTGACCATTCTTTGAAGAAGACCTCATGCCAAAGCCCCACTTTAGCTTTATTTCAATTTGCATTTACATCTGTCTAATAGGTTTCACTAGGTCTCACACAGCTGTGTACTGATGTAAAATTCACTCATGCAACTTTCTATCCAGCTTTAAACGGACCAAAAGTATTTTATTTCAAGACTCAAAAATTGAATCTGCAGAAATACAGATGGGCAAGAGTTGTTAATATTCAAGTTTGAGGGTGGAACTAATGAAGAAAACATTGAGTTCTGATGTTTTCCTTCTAATGCAAATGTCAGTCAGGGCTATTTTCTGGGGAGAATCAGTAGATGGGAAAGGATTTGAAGTCTTCCCTCGCTTGCAGATTTTGCCCTGCAAATATTGTCCTAAGGAGGCAACTTGGAAAAAGAGAACCATGACTATGCAGATAGGAGCAATGTTGATTTGGGCCACCAGAGCCATAGTGCCCTTCTTTACATTCCCCCATAGAAGTGAATGGAGCACAATAACGTGTTGCTCTTGGAGAAACTCTGGTAATGACATTGGGGGCTCAACCACACTTCCCTTCATCCCATGATTTCTTGGTCCAAGAGGTTTTTCTTCTGTCCCACCACTTTCCCTGAGAAAACCTGTGGTTTACTGCTGAATTGGAACCAACGTCAATCTGCAGAAAACCCAAATGCCATTTGTTCTGATTCAACAAAAAACCCCAGATTTTCCTAGAGAAAGTGGCAGGACAAGAAAAAAACTTCTCAGACCCGTGTCTAGAAGTGTGGATGAGCTCTGGGTGGCCCAGCCCTCGTCAACAGAATTCCCAGGGAGGAGGAAGTCCCATTTGCTTCAGTGCAGAGTACAAATATAACATTCCTCTGCACATATCCTACCTTTTAAAAGGAATTTTGGTAGTGCTATAAAATTACTCTGATAAGGCAGGTGCCTAGGACTCAGGTATACAGCTGCAAATAAAACATGTGCTGTAAAGTGCATTATACAAATGTGGCATTAGATGGCAATGGTGAGCTATGGCAAATTCAATATTCTTTTCGAAACTTTTTTTTAAAAAGCATTTCACAGCGTTTTTTATATGTGTTTAGATTCCACACTAGTCTGCGAGAAAAGTTATATTATGATCATTTAAAAGAAATTACTCTGGTCTGTGTTTCTGTTTGCAACAGTGTTATAATGTCTCTGTAACACCAGCATCTCATGTGGGCTGTGGTACTATATTTTTGTACACCACTCTAAGCACTGGTTTGCTGGCACATCAAAGCTGCTTTAGGTCTTTTTTTAAAAAAAAACAACGCCGGTGGATAGTGCATGATATGAGAATCTGCCATTGTGGCTATTTAATTAATCTGATGGATGCACATTATGAACTTCCTTTGACCAGACATTATCTTAAACATTTGCACTATTGACTAAGTGTCACTTTTTTTTTTACTATGAAGGAACTTTGTACTCATAGGATCTCTCCAGTGGATTATAATCTCTACTACATTACAAAACACTAGATGTGATGTTTCTGAGTGCAATAATACCCCAAAATTTAGCAGTTGAACTGGCAAAATAGTAAGTAGTCATAAGGCTAATTCTTTTTAAAAAATGCTTTTTATTAAAACAGCTCTAATCTCAGGGTTGTGCTTTGCTTTTCAGTTCTCTGCTCCCCACTATTTGATGCTAAGTTGAGAGCACACCCCTGTTTTCAACTCCTAAGAGAGCTCTACAGCCCCCCTGAGAGGTTAGCACTTGAAAACTAACCTTCATGCCTGCCACCGCAATTCCAGGATCCCCCTGACAGAGAAAAAGGAAAGACAGGGATACTTTGATAGATGGTGAAAAAAAGGTGTTTGCTCAAGAGAGAAAGTTTCAGAAAGTTTCTCTTTTTTTCATGGGGAGGGGGCAAAGCATACCTAAGGTAATGTAAAATAGAAGCCAACAGCCTTGGAAGATTACTAGGGCCAAACTAGATGTGACAGCAGCACAGGGCGTGTTGGGTGCATCTGATTTTTCATAGCAAAGGGAGTGTGTGAATGAATCCCTTACCAAACCCGCTGCTTACTTCCCTCTAGCCTCTCCCCACAAAGACTTTTCTAATGCCAGAGCACAGATAACAAAAGCATCAACACACAAGAGCACAGGAAGCTCCCTGATACTGAGACAGATCACTGGTCCATCCAGCTCAATGTTCCCCAAACTTGGATCTCCAGCTGTTTTTGGACTAACAACTCCCTTTAGCCCTGACTATTGCCCATGCTGGCTGGGACTAGCAGAATCTCATAACTCCCATAGGACTGCAAATTCCCCACCTCTGACCTAAAGGGGCACACTGCTGGGAGATAAGCTGCAGTTAGGAGCAAATTTTCTAAACCTAAATCCACACCTGTGTTCCTCTTTTAGTTCAAAGAGAGAAAGAGAAAGGTGGGGTGGGGAGGGGGAGAGAGGAAGAGGAAGAGAAAGGTCTGCTGCTGTCACCTCTGGCTTGGCCCTCAGGGATTCCTCAATGAGGAATTCAGTATTGGCAGACAAACTTCTCTCAAGCACAGTTTGCCTTCCATTACCTTCTCCTGCAATGTTTGGTTGCAGGGAGTGCTAGGTGCATTGTGGAGCACATCACTGGTCCACATGTGCTTGGCTGGGGCACTGTGTGTGCTGAGAGGCCACCCTAGAAATCACTACAGATTGTTCGGTACCACAAAGGGGTTCCTCAACACATGCAATGGGGTCCTTCCACAGACAAATCAATGTGGAAAGAATTTCCTGAGGGCGGAGGTTTTAAGACTCTTGGGTCTAGACAGGAGTGTTTCACAGTTCCTCTACACTAGCATTATCAATGCATCTTGCTATTGTTTTTAAAGAGAAGCTGTGCTATTGCTTTTAGCAGAAACCAAACCTTGGCTGTTTCATAATCTTAAGGTTTTCACCATCAACTTTATTAAACAATTTATGGTCTCATGGATGCAATTGTGCACATCTAGTATTATTTTATGACTGAGGGAAAATGTGAATATTAGTAATGGGACATTAAGGTGGAGGAATGAAATGAAATGTAGCAAGAATGCTATACAGCCACAGGATCTGTCAGGAGATCTTTGTACTTTGAATGGCAGGAAAACAAATAATTCCTCACATATGCAGGATTTTTTGTATAACATGTGACAAATGAGTGATTGGTTTTGTCCTCATATCTCTACCAGTTACTTAACCTTTGCTTTGCAGTTGGATTCAGGCAAACTGTTGAGGTGGTAAAGGCACCACACAAGAAACAACTGGTTATTTTTACATATGACTTCACACATTATCCAGGAGATTGTCAGCTACAGTATCTGCATTATGTCAGTGCATTTAAAAGAACAGTCCATGTAAAAAAATATTGTCCTTTGATGACTTAGCTATTTTGGCTGTTCATCTGAATCAAACTTGGGTGATTCTTTGTGAAGCCTGAAGCATATATTGAGGCTGATGAAAGGGATACTACAGAAAATGGCCTCCCTATGATAAGGGACCCCAGCTCTGTCTATAATGGCTCCATCAGCATGTAATGCTAAACTATGTCTTAACATTATGAGGACAAGCCACAATGAGCCTAGGACTCTTGCATTCACTTCTCCTCTCCTCTCCTCTTTTGGCATAGCTGCAGGAAGACTAGAATCTTCTGCTTCCATTTTATATTAACCACAGCTGTTCATTCTGTGCAACCCTAAACTGTGGTTAATCATAGCTACAATCTACTCAAACAAGTCAGATTTATAAGTCACAGTCTGAAGCTGACTTGGGCTCTCCCAGTTTGTTTTGGGCCCCACACATCAAGCAGGCCACACGCTGGATTTGATCTTTGGCGTCGGTATAGATGTGATCATGTTTCCTTCGATGAAGGTGCCATGGTCTGATCACTACGCTCTGAAAGCCAGGATTGACGTTCCACCCCCACCCTGCTTAGGTGGCGAGCCGATTTGGGCTCGCCCGCAGAGGCTGATGGACCCTGATAGATTCCGTCAAGCCTTGCGGGACCTTACTCCCCCTGGCGACTCATTGACTGAGCTTGTTGAGGGCTGGAATACCCAGCTCCTGGCAGCCATCAATGAGATCGCACCTAAGCGCCCTCTGCGACCCCACAGAAACCGGGCTCCCTGGTTTACCGAGGAGCTCCGGAAAATGAAGCGGGACCTCAGACGGCTAGAGCGAGTATGGCGGGGTGCCCGTGACGGAGCTTCAAGAACATCTTATAGGGTCTTTATGAAAACCTACGAGATGGCAGTGAAGGCCGCTAAGAAGTCTTACTTCTCGGCCTCCATTGCATCCGCCAGCTCTCGCCCGGCGCAATTATTTAGTATAATTCGGTCTTTAACGTCCCTCGAAGGACAGCCAAATTTAAATAACAATTTGACACACAGCTGTGAGGCATTTGCGAGCTTTTTTGCGGAGAAGGTCCTGTTGCTCCGCCATGACCTCCCTGCCAACTTGGATACAATAAAGGAACTGGAGGCCCCTCGACTGTCCTCGGGTCCAGTATTGGACCACTTTGACCGGATATCCCCAGCCGATGTGGACAGACTCCTCCGAGCTGGAAAGCCCACCACTTGTCCTCTCGACCCGTGCCCGTCCTGGCTGATTAAAGCGTGTCCAGACGAGGTGCGGGCCCCCCTGGGGGATATCATCAACTTGTCCCTTGGCACCGGGACATTCCCAGGGGAACTGAAGGAGGCAGTGGTGCGCCCGCTTTTAAAGAAAACATCATTAGATCCCTTAGATCTATCCAATTACCGCCCGGTTTCGAACCTTCCATTCCTGGGTAAGGTGATTGAGAGAGCGGTTGCGGAACAGCTTGGTAGGTTTCTGGATGAAACATCGGCTCTGGATCCATTCCAGTCCGGCTTCCGCGCTGGTCATGGGACTGAGACGGCTCTGGTCGCCCTAACAGATGATCTCCGCAGGCAGCTGGATCGAGGCGGGTCGGGGCTGCTGATTCTTCTAGACCTGTCAGCAGCCTTCGACATGGTCGATCACGAACTCCTGGACCACCGCCTGGCCGACGTGGGGATCCAGGGCACAGTCCTTCAATGGCTGCGCTCGTTTCTCTCTGGTCGGGGACAGAGGGTGGCGCTTGGGGGGGAATTGTCATCCCGCCACTCCTTGGTGTGTGGAGTGCCCCAGGGTGCGATACTCTCCCCAATGCTTTTTAACATCTTTATGCGCCCCCTTGCCCAGCTTGTCCGGAGTTTTGGGCTGGGCTGCCATCAGTATGCTGATGACACCCAACTCTATCTGTTGATGGATGGCCATCCTGACTCGGCCCCAGACACGCTGATCAGATGCTTGGAAGCTGTGGCTGGATGGTTACGTGGGAGCCGGTTGAAGTTAAATCCCTCGAAGACAGAGGTCCTCTGGCTGGGACGGGACGATATGAGATTGAGGGGGCAACTCCCATCTCTTGCGGGGGTGCAATTAGTGCCAGCACCGTCCGTTAAGAGTTTGGGTGTAATCTTCGATACCTCCCTCTCCATGGAGGCGCAGATTGCAGCTATAACAAAGGCGGCATTTTTTCATCTCCGCCAAGCTAAGCAGTTGGCTCCTTACCTCTCTCGCCCTGACCTAGCCACTGTGATCCACGCGACGGTCACCTCCAGACTGGATTATTGTAACTCGCTCTACGTGGGGCTGCCCTTGAGACTGACCCAGAAACTCCAGCGGGTGCAGAATGCCGCAGCGAGACTCCTTACGGGGTCTTCGCTGCGAGATCACATTCATCCGGTGCTATACCAGCTGCACTGGCTCCCGGTGGAGTACAGGATCAGGTTTAAGGTGCTGGTTTTAACCTTCAAAGCCCTATACGGCCTAGGACCCTCGTACCTACGGGACCGCCTCTCCTGGTATGCCCCACAGAGGAACTTACGGTCTTCAAATAAAAACATCTTGAAGGTCCCAGGCCACAGAGAGGTTAGGCTGGCCTCAACTAGAGCCAGAGCTTTTTCGGTTGCGGCTCCAACCTGGTGGAACGCTCTGTCGCAAGAGACAAGGGCCCTGCAGGACTTGACATCTTTCCGCAGGGCCTGCAAGACAGAGCTGTTCCACCAGGCCTTTGGTCAGGGCGCAGCCTGACTCCCTCCTTTGGCAATCTTTACAAAACTTTAGTTTATGGTTGCCATCAATTTGTATTTTAATTAATTTTTATAATGTTTTTATAATGTTGCATTGTTTTAGTGTTGTTAGCCGCCCTGAGCCCGGCTTCGGCTGGGGAGGGCGGGATATAAATAAAATTTATTATTATTATTATTTTAGCAAACCATATTTAAGAGTATCTGAAGTCTGCCCAGGTCTGAACATCACAACAAGCTGCAGTTAGTCAAATAAGGAAACAAAAACTTATTAACTCCTCTTCATGGTTTTGCCAGAGAAGGAGGGAACAAGCCAAAGGCTCACAGCAACTCAGTTTTGTAACATAAACTGTGGTTTAGCATTACATGTGAACACAGCCAAAGTTGGGAAGTACACCTATAAAGGCTGTTACCTTGTGTCTCCACATATCCTTCCCAACGGCCTCAAGATGGCCATGGATATGCAGAATGTAATGGCTCGATCCACTTGAAATACACTTACAAGTGTTTCAGCAGGAAGAAGGACCAGTCATCATGATGAGGCCACGTTCAGTAGCATTTCTATGGCAAAAATAATGCCCACTGTAGACCACTGTATTTGACTGCTCCCTATTAATGACTGGAAATGATGCTAATGGGGAGCAAGCTCATCAAAGCAGCCAATATGTAACATGTAACACCTGGGCAGGGAAAGAAAGATACTGGAAGCCTTTGGGAAGGATATCAAGTGGTAAGAATTTCCTAGACAAAAATTGCAGTGCAGATGAACCTTGAGATGAGTGCTTATTGGCTAAATAAAGGAGGTGGGCACATTCTACGTATTAGTATCCGTTAGGCTCTTCAATGAGAGCATTTGATTACAAGAGCAAGTGGTCCTAGGGAAAGAAGTGGGAACGGATGGAAATATTTATTGTTAGACATAGAATAATGGGGGTTTGGAGAGTTTAGTGCAATAGATGAACGACAAAGAGACTTGCTTGGAGAAGCAGATCTAAATCATAAACCAAGAAGGGCAAACGGGTTCAAACATTGAAAGGTGTGAAGCAGATGGGGATGGAAGAAGAGGGAGAAGGATCATACCTCTCAACTTTCTGAAACAGAAATCAGGGGCATAGCTAAAAAACACAAGGACAGAAGATGGAAATCAGGGATTCTATGTAATAACAGGTGAAAGAAACATTCAGAAATGCATCAGATGTGAGTAATGTTTAGTAACTATGGGCTAGAGACATGAAGGGGATAAATATATATTGGGAGGGTGGATTTGATTGAAGAGATGGCATGTCAGTCCTTTAACATGTAAATGAATGCAATTCCGGAATCCTTTAAATAAGGGTTATTCTGACCTAAAATATGTGCACTGGAGTTTAATCTGAATCGCAGCTATGAATTTAAAACTAAGCACAAGTGGAATTCTTCTCCACTCCTCTGAAAGCAATAAACATTTGAACCTTGATCCAATGGCAAATCAGTCAAATTTATGCTCTCTGTTTCCATGGTGCAAATGAAGCACAGATTGGTTTAGTGGACCACACAGTCATTGCAGTGGGTATCTTAAGGCACCCATTTCACTTCACTTCTTTCCACAATGGGAAAACTGTTGAGGAACAGGCATGCCATTTGTTCAGCAAAACATTTCTTCCTGGTTCTTCTTCCTTTTGCTAAATCGAACTTTGAGCTTTTTGTATTTTAAGAGTAGGAAATACATGTACAGAATACATGTAAAGAATGTTAAAGGTAATTGGTGTAATCTCTGAGACTCAGGGTCAGTTGAGAGGTATGGGTAAGGGTGGTTGGATAAGTCAGACGCCATTCCTTGCAGAATACCTGAACTCCTTGTTTTCCTGGTAGCCCTGGCATGCCCCTCTCCCCCTGGAATAGGAAAAAAACAAGATAAAGATAATGAAGATGGAAGAGTAAGGGGAAAACATAGGTCCCCATATGACCTTTGTTGGTAACCACTGAAACTGGAGAAAACTGTATTCCATAAGATCTCAAGAAACTCTGGCACTTCAGAGTAGAAGTCAACCATTGCTGTGATAATTTCTTACAATATAATTAGTAAATCCTGAATTTAGTATTAAACATTTGAAGTGTTAAACTAGAGACTGGTTGTGCCAGCAAATAAATAATCAGTGCAGCTCATGGCTTGTGGTGTTAGTTAGTGTTGCAGAGATATTATGCTAATATGCCATAGGCGTAGGGATTGACTTATGACCTTCTCAATGTCACTTCAACTGGCTGATGTTAACTATCTTCCCAGAAAATACAGAACTTCACTGTGCTGACTTTATTACATCTGAAAACAACTTCTCTGCATGGCGGCCAAAACACAGATCAACTCTTTTGCTGTATGGGTAGTGTGTCAAGTTCTCCCCAGCAATGCAAGCGATCATTTACCCTGGCATCATCATATCATGCGTTTTCCTACCACATAATGACTGCAGAGATGGGATGATGTACCATGGACCACATGGAGCAAGTGAGCCAAAATACTATGGGAGCAGAGAGGCAGTACGATTCAGTGATGCTGGAGTTTTGGATGACACTTCCTTGTTGTGTGTAACATATAGACGTGAGTGTCTCTCTGGACTATGGATGGATGATTGTGACAATTTTAGTTGCTCCCAGTTCCTCATTTCCCCAAACTTAACTTCAATTCACCACCTTTCCACATCAGTATTCTATTTTTTTAAAAAGCCTTCTCATGAAAATCTGAGTACATTTACGTGCTAATTTCTCTTAATAAACACATTTCTGTTTACAATTTTTGCAAGCAATTTCAAAAATGCAGAATGCATCTTTGAATGTCATTTTCACTAATATATACAGGCACATCCCCCCTACTTATGTGTGATCAACTCACAAGCGACCGCATATACGCATGACACCAGGAAATAAATAAATAGACAGATAGATTGTTAGATAGATAGATAAAAGGGATCTGAACAGTATATAAACCAAACATATGTGTTCACAAGTGCCAAAAATGGGAGAAAAGTTTGGATGTTCACTAAAGCTAACATGAAACAACGTACTGTAATTTGTTTCTGCTTCTAACAAACCAGCAGAGGGCAGCCCAGGATCTCAATTCAAAGCTTGAGGGTGGGCTGTTGGGGGGGGGGGGAGAGGAAGAGACAAAATGCTGTTCATTTCTTCCCACCAGGACAGTCTCCTGCTGGTTTCCTCTTTAAACTACAAGTTTCATGGAGCTTTGATTTTTCTTAACCATGAAATTGACGCTTCCTTCTCATCACAATCCAATTGGAAAACCTGGATTAAGAAGATCTCCAGATCTCCAGGGTTTAATGCTCCAGGCTGTGCTCACAGACAGGTTGTGAAACTCTTGATGTATAATCCCTTTCACCTTGGAGAATGTGTATGTTTTTTTCAGCTGCCCGGAAAATCAGGAGGCAGCCCCTGGGTAGGGGTGGAGAACATCACTGGGATATGCTAGTTAGCACTGATATTAGTTGCTAATGATTACCCACCTTCCTCTTAATATGCAACTTGCTGTTGGGTAATGACAGACACAACATGTGAATAACTGTGGTGTCTTTGAAAGCAGACTCATTGCAACCTACTATGAAGTCAGTCTAGGCCGCAGCCTAGGGCAGCAGTTTATAAGGGGCTGCCTTTCTGCACAGTAGGTGACGGATGTCAAGTTTTCTTTCCTATTAGTACCTTAGTGAATGTATTTCTTTTGCTCATGAACAGTAAGGAATAAGGGAAGAATGGAGTGTCTGTACTTAAAAAAGAATATGGAGGATATGACCATTAAATTACCTCGATACATGTGCTGGGAAGCCAATTGCATTAGCATATCTTGTTTTGCACCGTCTTGATATTGTATGTGAGTGGGCAGCACATAAATACATTAATAAATCAAATTTGTCTCAGTAAGTTGTAGCGGGTACATTGAAAAGACAAGCTATCCAAATAGACATTTTTAGATGAGTTTACACACACGAAGTAGTGTGTAATTGTAGAGTTAGAAAGGACCCTGAGGATCATCTAATCTAACCCCCTGCAATGCAGGAAAATGCAGCTCTCCCATACGGGGATTGAACCTGCAACCTTGGTGTTATCAGCACAGACTAACCAACTGAGCTAGAACCAGCCCCAAAGACATTTAAATCATACAGCCTGTTATAGTTTGCCTTGTCTTTTGTGGATCTTGGCCAAAGTTGTAATACCTTTTTTAAAAAAAACACAGAGATATATTCAAAATTTATAGGCTCAATATACATTTTAATCAAATAGATAACATATGGGCATGAAATCATGTTAGCCTCTCTTAAAAGGGCCCCGAGCATCAGAAGAAAAGGAAGGAGCATGCCAAACCTCAACATCAGGATCTGCTGATTTTAGAGTGGGTTTGATGTGTCAGCTAACCAGACATTGTGAAGAAACCCCAACCCGTCTCACAAGATACAGAAGGGCAAGAAATCATCAGCCAGTTTGAGTAGTCAAAGAAATGCCTTTGCAAAGAGTCAAATTCCACCAAACTCATAAAGATAGATTTCACCGTGTCTCTCTGTGTGTGCCTAGTGGAGCCAGGACATGGAAGTCTGCTAGTGGTTAATCACAACACAGATGGATATGCTATTAAATAGGCCACAGGTCTGTCTTGGGTCAAGATTTTTATAACAATACATTGTTCTGAGTAACAATTCCCATACCAGATTGACACCATGCCTACCTTCATGCTAGGCTCCCCCTTTTCACCCTGTGCAAGGGAAAACAAAGAGAAGAAAATGGGGGGGGGATAGAAAAAGAGGGGGGAGGACAGGCAGAAATAAGAAATTAGGGAAAATGAGCTGCATTGAGAAATGGATGAGAAATGAAGGGTGGCACACTTGAAAACTATGTAGGTTGTAGATAGACAAAATTTAAGATGGTATGACAGAGCGCACAGTGTACACATACATTTTTTCCTTCTTCTATTGTCTCTGGCTTCACAGGTTTTTCAAGCACTACAAAACCAAGCAACTTTCTTTGACCAGAAACAAGAGCACAGAGTATTGTTTGGGCTAGAACCCAGCCATAGCATCTGTTTTCAATGCCAGGATTCAATTCTAGAACATATGAGATCAGAATATTCCTCTCACCACTAATTAATGGGAGAAAGCCTCTGCAGCAGGAATTAGAAATTCCTGGGCAAAGAGTGGTGTTTTCACCTGCCCTAGCAAAAGTGAGGCGGCGGGGGGGGGGGGAGTGTTTCTACTACCCATCACAATGGGTCACTAAACCTTCAGGTCAAGACTGGGGGAAAATATTTGCCATACATGTGTGCAGAATGTCCTCTGGGTGCAACACCTCTTGTCCATGTATGGGATGTTCATATGAACATCATTGTTGTAACACAGTGAAGTAGCAATCGGTTGAATTTGGGACATGGGAAGTTGCTGGTGCAATGCAAAAGTTACCTTTGGGCCAGAAGGACCAGGAAGGCCAGGGGTGCCAGGTAAGCCAGCCTCACCCACCTCACCCTGGGGAAAAGATACAAGGAAAGACAGGAAGGAATAGGTACAGATAAGGGTCATAAAAAGTCGAGTTTTCTGGCTAAGAAGAAATATTATTAAAGAAGTGATGGACAGTAATCTCAGGATGACACCCTTGCTGTCCTGCCTGGATTAATACAGGAAGGTATTCAAAAAAGCAACAACAACACATACCTCTCCTGTATCAGTGTCAACAGCCACAGCAGGCACTATAATGTTCCAATAGTTTGATTTCACCCCCAAAGGCACACTGCACCATTGTCTCCCGAGACAGACGGATTCCAACCAAACCAAGTCAACACTTTCCCCATGTTTCACCTAACACCTGAGTTCCATGACCCAAGTCACAAGATTTAGAAGCCATCTCTTGGAAACTGCTGGGACTCAACCCTAGCACCAAAATGAACCTACTAGACTTATAACATTCAATATAACTTGCAGCATGATAAATCAAGGAAATCATAATAAAAGGACTCATTGTAAAAATAACAGAAGCGTCACAAACTCCAACAAAGTGGTAAGTAAGATCAGCCATATAAGGCAAGTAGGTAAGAGCTGACCCAAACGTTTCAGTGGACTGTACCATCCCAGAAGATACAAGGGGAATTGCTTCTTCAAAAGTGCTCACATTATCAAAATCTCTCTGTGTGTATGTTCCTGACATCTGTGTGTATGTTCCTGACATTAGCCTCTGACAGTTTGGATCGGGTCTAATCAGATTCAGCCAAGGGTGGAACCACTGAAGGATACCCAGAGTTTGTACATTTTGCATGTGAATGTGGATTCAAACTCATTTTTATTCCAGATAGGTGTCAAATCTTCAGGGGCTTACGGTTTCTCCTGGCAGAAACTGTCGTAAGCAACCAAGAGAGCCTGAAAAATGGGAAACTTCTCCAGTCCCACCCTCTTGTTAACAGATTCTACCCATGGGGCATGACAGAGGTTGTGATGGCTGCAGGGGAAGAAGTCACACTTACTTCAAGCCCCGTCACTCCCAGCCGAAGCTGCTCAAGGTAGGAAATGAGCAAAGTGTGATAACCAGGATATGCTTGTGTCTGTGTGCATGAGTAAGGCAAGGATGGTGTATCTTTGCCAGCTCTTTCCCAGATGGCTCAGATCTACATTAATGCATTTCAAACGCTGCTGTGCTTATTTCATTTTCTAGTCTTATGCTTCTAAAAAACAACAACCATACCTTTCTTCCATGGTACCCCTGAATTCCAGGGTCCCCCTGTAAATGCCAATTGAAATAAAAAGACAAACAAGGATTGAGTTAGGTTGCATTCAGACTGAAACCCCTTTCCCTTTATGAACATGAACGTAAGAAGCTGAGGGGGACATACAGGAGTCCCAAAGAAGAGCTGTGGGGTATTCATGTCCCTTGCAAATTTTTCAGCTCACTTAACTCTAATATTGGACCATTCTAGCCTTTAGGGATCTCTGGGTATTACCTGCCCCTCTTTGGAGGAGTAGAAAAAGTAGTGGCATGCAGTAGCAAGGAGAATTCTATAGTATCAAAAATATTGTCCTGGCTCCTGCCCAACACATTCAGACAGAAGCTCTTCCTTGAAGTTAAGAAAGAGATATTTATTCAGGCAAGTAACAGTGCAGGTTTGGCAGCAGACCCAGTGCTCAGGAGTCAGGATTAAGGAGTTCAGGAGCAGGCAAGAAGTTCAGAATTGGACAGAAGCGATGAATATGCCCCAACAAGTTTCCCTGCCCCTCCTGCCAAGCTTTGTAAAGCAAGGTTTGGGATGCTCACTCACAAGACTCTCTCACCTTGTAAGAATGACAATTTTGCACATACACACACCATCGGTGCAAACTGGTCTGCTCCCTGCCTGGTTCTAAATGACAAGGTTGCACCCTCCTGTTCAGTCACTGATGCCTCCCTGTTCAGCTTCCCCTCTCAGTTGACCAAAGCCCTCCCTAAAAAAGGTCAGAGGGGAGAACGTGCACCCCTGCTCTCTTTTCCAAAGTAACTGAAATCAGGGTGGAAAGGGGAGGTCCCTGTTCCTCGGTTTCTTCTTCTTCCTCCTCTTTCTCCTCCAGAGCCTGCCAACCCAATCTTAATTGTGCTGTGGAGCTCATTACAGATATGCAGGTTTTTAAAGCTAAGTTTCTCTCTGTTCAAAAGGTGTGGAAGAATTATTTTACTTCCTAGCTAGTTCCTGGCATACTTCCCAACCTCTTCTAATTGGAACTTAGTTTGGATTTAAATCAGGTAGGGCCTGATTCAAAACTGGTCTTATGTGGGAATATGAGTATATGAGTAGGAGGAACATGAGCTCTTCAAGCATTACTAATTTTCACACTAATTTTCACATTAACGCAAACAGGTTGTCCTTATTTTCCTATACCTTCCAAAGGTACATACACAGAAGGTTTATTCAGAACTTGTTCCTTTGCTATATATAGATTTGAGCCTGTGCTTCTAAGATGCATTAAACATGACAAGTCAGGGTCATGGATCCTTAAATAAACAAATTAATTAGAAGATCCCTAATACTTTTTTGTGTGTAGGGTTTTCCCTTGTTCATTATCAAGGCATGATAGACTAACTCTCTTGTGATTAAACCATTTTGCAGCATCCTGAGAACACAGTTTATAACCACATTCTGGACTTCACTGCATTTCACATTTCACTCACAAAGTATTTGAAATTTTAGAGGGCAGTTTTTATATCTGGTATTTCTTCTGAGTTGCTTTACTCACCTTTGGTCCAGGAGGTCCTGGCAAGCCCTGCAGATAAAAGCATATGACATCATGAAGTAGTAAAAACCTGAAAATCCCCACAGCACTGGGCAATATGCTAAGGTCTGTACTACATTTACTTCTCCTTATACCATACCACCATATATTTTATCTTTTATTACTTAAATAATGTATGCAGAAATTATACTCTGTAGTAAGTAAATGAATTCTAAGCCCCATATCAAGCATGCACCATGTTGCATTATTTCTCCTTTATAGACCCTGAACTATTCATTTTAATAAATGTCAGCTGACAATTCACAAACATCTTTCCATACACCCAAACTACTAGGCTATGGTCCCAAATCTGAAGAGACAGAGCTTATTGGGATGGCAAAAAAAAAAAAAAGCATTTTAGGCCCATGACTGCAGACAAGCCGCACCATTAAAGCACTGTAAATCACCCCTGATAGAGCTACAATTCTCAACATCCTTAACAAACTACAGTTCCCAGGATTCTTAAGGCAGGGAGGATATCCTTTAAAAGTACTTCAAATGTATGGTGTGTATGCAGCTCAAGACTCTTTCCCTCCCCCTCTTTTTCACAGATAATAAGACTGTTTTGTGCTTATAAGTGCTTATCCTAGGATTAAAGCAAGATGAGTTGAGAAAAATCCGCACTCCCAATTATTTCAAGTTAACCCTCCATCATGCACTCAAATCATTAGGTTGAAGTTCATAGGGTTTTTTTAAAAAAAAATATCCTAGAGTTCAGAGGGGTTTTAAAATCCGAGAACCGAGTAACTGGACTTTTAGCAGACTACATTCAGACGAAGCTGGCAAGAGAATGGTCACTGAATGACCAACTCCCTTCACTGCTTGCCTACCCTTCCCTTAATGCATGCAATTGTATGGCACTGTTGAGCCAGCATTCATTATGTCCCTTGAAGGCACCACGAAATAAATCACGTTCATGCAAGCAAATGCAGCAACCGTAGTAAAGGAAAAGATGAAACGGATACCTTTCCATCCTTGCCAGGCTTCCCTGGTTCTCCTGCTTTTCCCTAAGGCAACACAGAAATGTGTCTTTCAGAGACATCAGCTTGGTAAACCCTTATTTCAACAAGAGTGATTCTGACCTTTTGAAAATGCTTACAGTCCCTGCAGGAATGGTGCTGTTACCAGAACATCAAATAGAATTTGAGGCTTTTAAAAGTTGGGCGTCCTGCTGAGAGTGACATAATTGCAGCCAGAGTGTGACTTCTTCACCCTGGAAGTTCGCACAGGCTGGGGTAGAGGAAATGGAATCCTCATGTAACATGGGAGGATTTGGGGCACCACCATTGCAGAACCACCATGGAGGTAAAAGCCAGATCTTTGGTTCTTCGGAGAACAGGAAGTATGGGAAACAGACACAAGCAATTGAAGAGGTACTTACAGCTGGTCCAGTTGGTCCAGGTTGTCCTGGAGTCCCTGGGAGGCCTGGTGGCCCAGGTGGCCCTGGAGGCCCTTGGATTCCTGCCTGTCCCTGTTCACCCTGAGGTGTATTGAAAACAACGCTAGCATCAGTGCAGCACAATGACCCTGGAGTGTGATCTATAGCAAGCAGAGCCTGAGCAAAGGAAGAAGAGCCAAGCCAAGCAAGTTGCTGTTAGTAAGTACCTGAAGGGGGTTTCCAAAACTTGGGCAAAGGGCAACGTGTGGATGGGCTTTCTGCATGGATTCCTGAATGACTTTAAAGCTCCCGTCAGAAGGAATACAACTCCCAATCAGATCTTAGACTGGGAAAGTGAGCATCAATACTAAAGCCCATCAAACGAGCCCTTGCCATTGTTCTTAAGGCTTCTCCTTCTTCTGCCCTTCCTTACAGATTTACAGACCGGGGGTTTCAGGGATGTCTGAATGACACAAGACAACAGCCCCCTAAAACTACTACTTCTGTTCCATCTCTGTCTCATTTCTGTACTTGCTTCTGCTGCTTCTTGTCCTGTATTCAAAAGACTCCTTAAAAGCTTATGTTTTCTCTCAGGCTTTAAGAATTTTGTTTGCTTGTTTTACTGATGTTGTTTATCATTTATTTTACATTGTACCTCACCCTGGTATCAGTACCGATGAAGGGTGAGCTACAAATCCTTTAAATAAATACAATAAAAAATACAATCTATTTTGGTGCATTATTATTACTATCTCCACTGAATATTGCTCCTTCCTAACAGAATGCAAAATAGAATGTATGAAGTAAGAACCCTGGTTGCATCTGCTTTTTCTCTACCCAACCTTGACTATGTCCTGAATTCCAGCCATCTGTTTCGTTGACTTCCCTGTTTTGTTTTTTTTACACCCAGCCAAAGTGGTTGTGTGAGATAGCCTGCAGCGAACTCTAACAGAACATTAAATCCACACACAATGAAACCACTTGGTGCTTAGCAAAACTTTTAAAAAATTATATAGCTCCAATTAATGGTTAAAAATAGGCATGTGACATCCGATAAGTATGGCGTTTGATCTCTGACTTACTCCCTCCATCCAGTTACATTCCAGATGAATCCTAGAGGGCCATTCCAGGCTAAAAGTATTCATAAGCATACCATAATGCCACAGTAACAAGAGGCTTTGTGTGGGTTGGCATCTCACTATAGAGAACTCTTGCTGAGATGAACCATCTGCACTCATCTACACAAACACACATAATACTGTCCTCAAACAAAGCCAAGGGCACTGCGGCTGTATCCTCTGAAGGATGTTGTAGGCAGCTGAGCCAGTACTTGCCAAATGCCCATGTATAAATCTCCATAGATATACAAGCTAATTCATTCCAGTTCCTTCATTCAAAGTGACATAGCTATCTCTAGAGGAGTTGAAGAGATTGTCAGCAGAGGTTCCCTTACTGTTAGTGCTACAGTCTGTCTGTCTGTCTGGGAAGTCAAAGGGTGTTTGCTGTGGATGCAATCAGGATATTATTTTGTGTGGCAACTGTGTTTAGTAAAGTTACACTGACCTATCAAAACCAACACTTTCCACAGTAAACATATTAAGTGTAGACACTCCCAGAGGAGCCATGACCAGTCTGGTGTCCATGACACAAATCCTCAGGTATCCTCAGGTGCCTGTTTGTCACACTTTGCCAGGCCTTGAGAACGTCTGATCTAGCAAGCTGAAAACAGCCACCCTACAATGTGTTGTGGTGTTCTGGGTGCTTAACAGTCCCCTTGTTTTTAAAGGTCTAGACAGTTTGCTGAGCCTCTGGGTTACCATACACTACATTCTGCTTGATAGGTCCCAGGTTGTGCAAACTTGCCTTAAAATATATGTTTACATGTTTACTGCAGGCGATACCTGCATGACACCAGTGCATAGTCTCGTGGTAAACACAGCCTCAGTATAATGCATGGGGGGCGCTTAGATTCAGTTCTCCTTCAGATATTCTATAGTACTGCAAAGGGAGGTCATTTGCTCTCTCTCCAAGAAAAAGAAGCAATCCTTTTCTTCAAGTATATCCTGTGAAAACCTTGTTCTTCCTCAATAACACTCTTTCTTGCAGCATCTTGTGTGGCCCTGAAATCAGATCATCAGGAGAAGCAGCCAAAATATTTCTGTTCATGCTTAGCTGCTTAAAGTGAGAGCGCAAGCACACAAGTGAACTAAAACCAGCTTGTGGGGTCATTTCTGATGTACAGGCATGTCAAATGGTGGATAAAACTGACTCTCTAAAGAGATCCCTGCTTCTTCTAGTTTTCATGAAACCCTCTTTAAGGAAGAAAGGAAGCTGATTAATCACCAGTCTCTGAATGAAAAGAAAATGCTTAAAACCAGGAAAAGAAGAAGGATACCTGGAAGGTGCGTCTCTTTATGACTGGGGGTGGAGCCAGCCGCACTGAATTGAGAAGAGGCAACAGCTGAAGAAGACCGAGCCAGGAGGTCACAGGGCAAGGGCCAAAGGTCACAAGGCAAAGGAGGTCAGTAGGGCATCAAAAGTCATACAGAACAGCCAATGAAGAAAATGGAAAGGGGGTGGGGAAGGAAAACAATGAAAGGATGTAATGAAAGTAAGTCACAGTTCAGAGACAAGAATGAAGGGCAATGGAAAAGGTATCTGTCATTGGGAACCTTTTGGCAAGCCTCTTGAGCTCTTCTATGTTCCATTTTAATATTTTGAACATAGGCTTTGGTTTTATTCTTCAGGCTTCAAAGTACTCTTTTTTTTATTTTAAATACTTTCTAGTTATATAACATGGAAGAGAAAAGGCTGATTATGCTGTCACCTTCTGCTGTGTATCATTGCAACTAAGCATAGCACTTGCTACCCTCCACACCTGTAGTCTCTAGGCAGAGTACTTCTGCTCTAAATTTGCTTCTTGTTATTTGCACTTCTCTGTTTGCATCGTATTCTTCTCTTTGCTTCACCCAAAGTCTCCATTCCTCACTGGTTGTTTTTGTGCTCTCCTTATTACCAGATATAGTTCATTTCTTGACCATTTTTTTTTTTGGTTGCTAGCTAATTCCATAGCAAATTTGCTAATCACTGCAAAGGCTATTCTGATTACAACAGATATTCTCAGCAAACCATTTTTCATCCCTTAGATAGGCCAAACTGTATTAGAGAAAACTAGTCATTATAGTAAAAGAAGTGTGCCTGCTTTTTTAAAACACCCCCCCCCCCAGTGAAAATGGATATGAAGAAGGCATCTTTTAAATTTCTGAAGGGATGAATGCAGAATAACTTGAAGACTTCATTCCAACAAGGAATCCAGCTCTACATCTTGGCAGAACATTCACTCCCTGCCAAGTCCAACTATAGGAGATTTTTCTCAGAACTCATTCCTTCAGTGTTCCAAACATGAGCTTCACGTGGAGGTCATTTCACTCTTCAGTTTTACCATACCTGACCTCACAAAAGTAATTAGTATGCATGAGATGCATTTCTAAATTCAGCATCTTTCCAAAGTTTACTCCATATCATTCTACCTTGCGTGTGTGAGCGTGTGTATGTCTTGCCTCACAGCTGTCTCTATGCGTGTCCATTTTAAATCCAAAGCCATGTGTTCCATGCTACAGATATCCATTCCACCTCACAAAAATGGCTCAAGGAAAGCAAACATATCTATGCATATCTATGCATATTCTGCCTGCCAAATATTCAATGAACTATTCCAACCGCTGCATATGCTTATCCTCACTCTACAACTAGAATCACTCCTGATTTTCACTAGTATATGTGCAAGAACAATCAGGTCTTGTTACAGCTCAAAAATGCAGATGCCTGTAATTTCTTTTGATGCTGAGAGGTATGCCTGCAGGTCTCCCATGACAGCAACTGTGTACACTTCAGAGAGTACACTTTCTTCCCCTTATTTATGGCTGCTTGCTCTTTAGTGCAGGCCAAGTTCCAGTCTTGTTGCAAAACTGAAATGTCATCACAATATTGCAGCACTGCAACCCAGTCATTCTGGGCAGCTTGTTAAAAATAGAAGATGTGTTGTGGTGGTAAAATTGGAAGAGCAATGGTTGGATTAAGAAGGCCACAATCAACAGCAGATCCAAAGACCACAGAGGGGCTCAGTCTGTGAATCACAGAAAAAGGCACTGCACATTCCCTGTAATTCTTAAGAGGCGACAAAGTCAGCTGAATTTTTGGAAGCTGTAGCCCTCTTCAGGTGTTTTTCTCCATACAATCTCTGTTGTGCAGAAAGAGACACACACAGCAGAGCCACGTGTGCTTCCTCTGCCCCCACCACAACACCACACATCTGCCTGTCCCCGGCATCATCAACATGTTGGGGGAAGATCTAAAGCAGGGTGGGAACTGCCTGACAAACACACAGGCTGCCCTGTGAGTTGGAACCCTGAGTGCTCCTGGAGGCAGCCTCTGCATGCTCAGCAGGCATATCCCCTTCAGACATTCCCCCAATGTATCAACACTGTGGGGACAGTATAGGGTGTGGTGAGGCATGCAGACAAGCACATGCAGCCCCACTAGTTCTCTTTATGTGAGTGAGACAGTACGGAGATAAACACCTGAATAGGATTTTCATATTCCATCTGTTCTGTGTGAGGTGTTAGATTTGAGCAAACATGACACTGAGGAAGATTTGGAATGCCATCCTTAGATCCAGCTGCTTTCTTCTGATGTCTCACCTTTCCTAATAAGAAGCATGGGAGTATCTAGGGCAGGGATGAGGAAACTGTGGCCTGCCAGATGATGCTGATCTCCAAACTCTTATCAGCCCTGGTCAGTCAGGAATGAGGGGAGTTGTAGTCCAGAAACATTAGGAAAGCCACAGGTTGCCTGTTCCGAGCTCATCTGTTAGAGCATGGTGCCGATAATGCTAAGGTTGCAGGTTCAATGCCCATATAGGGCAATTGCATATTCCTGCATTTCAGGGGGGTGGACTAGATGATCCTGAGGGTCCCTTCCAACTCTATGATTCTATGATCTAGGAGTGCCTTTCACATGTCTTATAATCAACTGTGAAATTGCTCAATAGAAGGGACTCCTCTTGAGGCAAGATCTAAAAACACAGACAAGGCAAAATAGTGCTGATCAGTTTAAACCTTCAAAATATCAAGTTGGGTTAAGAATGAAACCCTGGGGAACTGCCGCCAGCCAGGGTAGACAGTGCTGAGCTATATGGAACAGCGGCCTGGCTCAGTATGGCAGCTTCCTATGTTCCTAAATAAATCTTGAGATGACAGTCATTAACGACTATTGGAAGGTGAGCTCAGGATAGTTCAGATGGCATGACTATGATATACAGAATGTTTTTCTTTACATCATTTGCCTTTTCCCACAGTGAAAAACTGAAGTCTGATGGTAGCATATATTTTACACATTTTCCTTTATTGGAGGGGGGGGTAGCGTCCCACAGGTATGTTATTGGATCTTTTGCCACTGAGAACATGCAATATTGGATTCATCTCCTTGGCCTTTTGCAACAGGACCAGTTAAACCCTTTCCCCACAAACCTTCAGTGTAAGGATCTGATTAGAACGCAGGGCTGCAAGTGTGGTGCTTAGGTATTCCTAGGGGGACAGTGGAGACAGAGCAACACAGAGCTGGGTCAATTTGATTCTCTATACCATCAGCAGCAAAATGAATTTCACCAACTCCTAAATCTAGTCCGAAGACAACTTGCAACCCCTGCCCAACCCTGTTGCCTTTTTTACCTGTTTCAGTTACCTCATCTGTCCTCAAGGCTTGCATTGTGCAACGCATACATAACCTCTTGATGCATTCATTTCCTTCGTTGAGAGCACAGTATCAGCTTTCCTAATTTGTTGCTCGACGAACAGGCTAGGGAACTACATAACAGTGGGGCTGGATTCTCAGTCCTTACTTTACTGACAGTGGTAGAGGAGGGGAACCCAGGCCAAAAAATCAGTTCATATGCCACAGACACAATGGTAAGAAACCCATTATTCAGAAATCCCAAGCAAGCTAAAACAAGTATCTGGGCTATTCCTTCCTCTTTTTGGAAAAGAAGATAAGTTTGTTATTATGGAACAAAGAAATTAAATGCCTTCCTTTAAGATCCATGGGGGGGGGACACACCTTACCGTTGATAATTTGCAAAGTATTGCTGCCTTTAAGAGCAACGCTTAACAAAGATGGAAATTGTGACCAGTGCCCTGAGTCCATCCAAGATTTCCAGGCAGCAGGATAGGCCTAATCTTCTTGTCTAGCACCTCTCAAAGTTCAAAAATCATGAATCTGCTTAATGGCTTATTAAAAAAGCATAACATTTTAATGACTTTAAGAAATCATTTGGCTCTGAAGTCTTTAAGAACATTTTTGGTATCATCTTGAGGCCCAGTGTTGTTTTTAAAAAGAAAATGAAAACCTTTAAGTTCCTATAATTTTAATTAGAGTTGGAAGCTAAAATCTCAAACTTCGCTGGCTGCGGCTCAACTCTCAGGTTCCTCACCCCCAGAAACAAAACATAGGCTGCCGGTTAGTATAGAATGTAGCAGAGGAAGGCTCAAGGCATACTCCCGTTGCAAAGCTTTGCCAGAGCTTCTCCACCTTAATCTATTTGCTCATAGGATGTGGATCATTATTATATTTCCTCTTATTATGTAGATCTCCTGTAGCTGAAAGCACCATTTGAGATGGGAAGGTATAATTTCTTAAATAACAATTCTAAATATCCAACAGAGACAGTAAGCCACACTATTTTTTTCTTTGTGATCGTATGGTATGGTCAAGTCCTCTTTACCCCTGATTAGTTTCTCAGTGTTTTAATATTCTGTGGACCCTCCTTTTCATCTTGATCAGCACTGGGAGAACTTGCAAGGGAGTGCAGCTGAACTCAGAGCATTGCTCAGGCAAACTATGCTTCTAACTTAAAAATAAAAAGCCCATAGCAATTGACTGACACTGCTTTTCTAAATAAATATACTTGGCTCTCTGTTGTTGTAATTATATGGGCCAGAACACTCAGCCAATCAGCCAGCCTTTGTTCCCTGCATTCTTCTGCCTCAGATACCTCTAAAAGGGTCATTATCTGCATCCTGTCATCACTCAGGATCCTGGACAAACAGAACATCTATATCTCTCTGGGATAAGGGCCAGATTTTAGGTATATTTATTAGGAGACTTCTCAAATGCTGAATATGAAGTATTTAAACCTATGTCCCTATAATAATTTCAGCCCCAATGTATGCCTTTCTAGCTGAGATTTCTGCATTGCAGGGGGTTGGACTAGATGACCCTCAAGGTCCCTTCCAACTTTACAATTCTATGGTTCTAATGCAGAGAAACTGGGCAGAGCAATCCTAACTGGCAGATCTGCTAGCCAGATGGAGAAATTGGTGAAATGTTTCCCGAAAAACTCTCTGCACTCACTGTATCTGCCAATAAGGCAGTCAGGTAATAAAATATCTATGTGGATGGGGCGGGCGGGGTGAAGAAAGGACTGCAGGAGCCAGTGATGAACTCTAAGAACTCTTAAGTTTTATATTTCCATAAAAGCCATCCAAATAAACAAGGGATAATATGCAAGGGTCACTTTACAAACAAAATAGAAGAGTCTGCTTACCCTGTGTGGATAATCTCCACATTGACCCTGCAAAAGTAGGAGATTAAAAGAAAATAGTTTACATCATGAATGCTGTAACCAAAATAGATTCGTGGAGACAGGTTCATAGCAGGTGCATTGCTGACTTGAATGCATTCATGTCAGTGAGGATAATGCTGATTTAAGCATCCCGTGGACTGGACTTTGTCCATGAATTCAAATGTGCAAAGGTGACATTATTTTCAAAAGCAACTGTGGATATTGAGACTATTGATTCAGGGTACATGAATAGCCTGGAGTTCCAAGTTGTTTCAGCTTCCAGTTTCCTGAAAAACCTGCGTTTTAATGTGAGTTTAAATCCTCTTTAAGAGAGCACACGACTATTTTAGCCTGCCTTGAACACAGGTATTTCTAGAAACTGAAACCCAAACCAACATGGAACTCGTAGGTAGAATGTTAATTCTGCTAAGCTCACCTTTTCTCCTTTTTGTCCAGCAGTTCCCTATAGAAAGTAGAAGACAAATATAGAGTCATGTCGCATATATAATGGTGATAAGGAATGCCAAAAATAAGTGTGAGCAGAAAGTATGTACAAGTAATTACTCACTGGTTGTCCTTTGGGACCAGCTGGGCCCTTTGAGGGGAGGAAAACCCAAGCAGAGGTTATGGTACATCAAGTGAAAAACAAAGTGAACAATATGATGAATATGACAGCACATGATGTAAGCTTCAGATAAAACTTTGGCATTACAGACAGGAAACATAGGCAAGCTGTACCCCCTTTTGCGATTATTCTCACCCAAACCTTTTAATTCCATAATCAGGTATCTTTAGGATCCTCCAAGTAACATATCTTAATCGGGCCTGTTACAGATGTCATCTACTCCATGTGCAGATGTGGGAAATCTTTCTTTCATGGTGATGCTGCGCATCAATTAAATATCCTTATAGCATGTGCAGTCCCCATCAGGAGAGACTATCCACTAGTGACATAATTACCAGGAACATTCAGCAGTGTGGGCAGTGGGATGCAGAGTCTGTAGGAGTAGCATCACCAAAAGTAGGGATGGGGGAGGAATTCAGTTCTGTTTGCATTTAAAGACGACAGATTCACACTTTTCAAAACAATACTGTGTACCGAAATGGATATCCTAAGAAAGTCAGACTTATCCAGATTTTGCACAGCAGTTCTCCAGCCAAACAATGTGTACAAGAATGCACAGACTATGGTAACGTGTGCACATAAATGCATATATTAGTGACAATAAAAAATCAAATATGCATTTTGCTTTGAAAAATGTGCACACTGAGCAAAAATGCATTTAGAATGCACATGAGAAATTTGCACAAAAATGCTAACAAATTTTCTGGAGGACTTAAAAAAATATTCCAATGTAGAAATGTGGAGACTGAACTTAAGAGTGGAAAAGTGAGAAACTGAAAGATACTGAAATTGACAGATTAACCCATTCCTAATACAGGAGGAGTAAAAGCTTTTTCACACATGGGACAAATAAGTCTAAACTGTCCACTGTTTCTTGCAGAGTGGAGGATGGAATATTAGCTACTTCACAGCAGGGCCCCGACCTGTGAATGACAAGTGTGAAATCCACAGTGAGGTGGAGGTCTTATTGTCTTGCCAGCAGGTGGTGGCTCTGGCTCGACACCACTGCACCCCTTAATCTAGTTTGCTAAGGTATGCTGTGACATGTGCACATGTCTGGTGAAATGATCTGGGTGGCTTATAAACAAAAATAACAGGTGCCCAATTAAAAATAAAATCAGCAGCATTAGCCTATTAATTAACTAAAAGAAAGCAACCAAAAAGTAGCAAAACAACAGCAACAACCGACATTCAAAGGACAATAGTGTCCAGCTGCTAGCTGGTTTCCCAAACTTGGTTCTCCAGCTGTGTTGGACTACAACTCCCATCATCCCTAACTAGCAGGACCAAGTGGTCTGGGATGGTGGGAATTGTAGTCCAAAAACAGCTGGAGACCCAAGTTTGGGAAACACTGAGCTAGACTAATAAAAATCAGGCCATGATGTGAGATGTGTGCTAAATGTCTTTTTTACATTCTCTTCAAAGATAAGATAGTGTTGACATGACAAACTTATCTGAAGAGGGACCTGCATACATTTTTTACAGCAACAACAGGGTGTGGCATACCTCTCATTTGCACACTATTCTGTGATATTTTGGCATTCCTCTGATGCCCATTAGGGATACAGTTCTCTGAGGAAAAGTGATGGAGAAGTCAATTGAAGCACAGTCATAGGTTTTAGCCTATTTAAAATCTCTTGTGCTTGGCCTCTTCCTTTCTGGTGTTTGGGATGCACTGAAAATATGCCTGGTGGAGACTTGCTCCACTTGTGACTCAGTGAGCTGAACATAGGCCACCAGAGGCTCAATAAAACTGTCTTTAGTGCCTGCCTGGAGCTTCCCCCCCCAAAAAAAAAGCATTTTGGTTTTCTCAAACACCTGGCTGGCCCACACAACACATGCCTGGTGGGCTGTGTTGACTTAGAGGGTCACAAAATATGTGCATACCGCCCCAAAAACTTAATTTAAAAGAAAACCTCACAATCAATTCATCAGATACAGAAAGCACGGCATGTTTCAGCATCTGCCTGCAACAAATAATGTAGTGAAAATATACTATATTAACAGAGTGACAATTAATTTGAACAGTGGGGTTAAATTGGAATTCTGTAGGCTCTGGGCCAAAGCAAGCAGAAGCTTGCCAGACCACAGGCCTGTAGTATTTGATAGATTGTAGGGTGGGATTATTTCATTAACTCAGAGAGGAAGCAAAGTATACACTATATCCTGTGGTTCGCTCTGCTTTAGACACAGGGTAAAACTCCAGCTTCGTAGAAAATAAAAGCATGACTCGAGCAATCCAGGAATTGAAGCATACACTGAAATGAGATACTTTGTAAAGCAGGGCCAATACACACAGGGTGGCAGCAGAATTAACAAGGTGGATAAAATTTATGGACCAGGAATTTAGTATGTGAAAGTGTGTCCAGTTACAAGCAAGATAGGCTAAATGGCCTGTATCTGGCTATTACTAACTCTGCTTTCCAAGTTATTGACTTGAATAATTTTGTGAAGAGTTGATTTTCAAAACTGTGTGGGTTCCCTGACAAGTATTTCTGGGTTTTTTAAAAAAAGAAATCTGGATAATGAAAACAGGATATCCTAACACAGTTTCTCAGCACTCAGCCCCATTCATCTCAAACAGCACCCCCCCGCCCTATCCTTCTATTAAGTACATGTTAAGTTGGATGGAGGAGGGGTGGAGTGATGTGGAGCTACCACCTGATGGTGAAACAATCAGATGACCCAGTTCACCATGCATTTCAGACTTGCCAGTCACCCAGCAAATCCTCCTGAAGGTTCTAATTATCCCAGTGTAGCTTAAATCTGAAAGGACTTAACAAAGCAGTCACAACAAGGAACAATAAGCACAAAGGCAAATTAAGCCTTGTTGAGCCATGAAGCTAACTAAATTCATGGTGACTGGCATCATGGAAAGGAGAGAGATACCTTGGAGATATTGCGGGTTTGGTTCCAGACCAATAAAAGTGAATATTGCAAGAAAGCGAGTCACACAATATTTTGGTTTCCCAGTACATATAACAGTTATGTTGATACTATACTACCATAGATTCCGGCGTATAAGGCGACTTTTTAACCCCGGAAAAGAGGTTAAAAAGTCGGGGGTCGCCTTATACGCTGGGTATGGGTGGCACAGAGCGGAGCCCACCACCCCCCCCCCACTACTGCTGCAGCGGCTCTGAAGCAGCAGCAGTGGGCGGCGGGCTCAGCTCCGCGCCGGGTGGCTTTCTCCTGGCGTGGAGCTGCCCAGTGTATTAGGCAACTGGGCTTATAAGACAAATCCCCAAATTGCAGCTGCTAATTTAGGGGGTCGTCTAATACGCCCAGTGCCCTAATACGTTGGAATCTATGGTATATTCAATGAAGCCAGTGCCTCCTGGCTGCAGGGTCAGGAGGGGAAAAACCTGGCTCCAGTCCTACCCACTCCTGTGGCTAGAAGAGGGGTGGCAGCAGTTTGCCTATAAAATTTCACTTGATATTAGATGTAGTACTGATTTGCCTTTGGTACAGCTACAGATGCAGCTCGATTCCACAAAAATATGGAATCCAGACAAGGATTTGCAGGCCCAGCTATGAGAAAACCACTGTACCAGGTATATTCACAAGAATCTGGAGTTCTCTTGCAAATTTAGAGCAGGGATGGGGAATATGAGGCCCAGGGGTGTCTATATGGCACTTGCAACTCTTCCTGGGGCCACACATCCTCCTTAGCTGCATCCCTTTCCATCCTTGCTTTGCACCCTTCTTGAGTGTCTCTGTCTGGCTGGAATATGTCCTTGAACTGTTCATGTTTCTTGCTTGGAGAACAGCAAGGGGAGTGTGTGTGTGTGTGTGTGTGTGTGTTGGTATTTGACCCCTGGAAGGTCTCCCAAAAGGGAATGCGGTTCTCAAGTTGTGGAAGATTCTCCACACCTGGTTTAAAGACTTCATTGATGCTATAAAGCCATACCACACATGCACAAAGGATTCCTGTGCAGTGGTGATGTCATACCCTACAAATAAAGTGCAGCCTACCTTGGCGTTGCCAGAACCTGCCATAAGTTTGGTGGTGGAACAAGGGGAGGAATTCAACGTTGCACTCTTCTAATAGATCTGTCAGTGCAAGTATTTCTGCTTGCTGGACAGAACACCCCTCCCCCCTTTATCTTGCATGCATTGCTCTGGGGTTCTCCTGGCCCACTCCCCCACCCCCAGAGCAACAACCTAAATTTTCCCATTGACATCATTCTTTCAAAGAGGAATGTCGAAGATCTAGATATCAATAAGAAGTGACAGTGTTTCCCCAATGCAGAGCTTTCTGAGAGCTACGCCTACAGATTATGCCTTCCGCCGTGTCAAATGGTAGAGACAAACAGATACCAGTTTCACAACAGATTTGCATTTGTAATTTAAAGCAGGTGGAGAATGTAATCCGTTATGCACCGAAATGTCCTTTATACGATAGTCCAAGGGAAAAATTGAGAAATATTTTGTCTAGTTTAACAACCCATCCTGACCAAAAAATTATGTGTTTTCTCTTTGGAGTTGTTTATCCATTTGTTACATATAGAACAACATTGTATGCTTTAGCTGCAAGCAAACATCTAACAGAAAGAACTAGTGTATTAAAGGAGGCCATGCCTTAGGAGTTTTAAGAGTGTATTTAGTTTAATCTTATCTTGAATTCAGTTTTACTCTAATTATGTTAAAATATTTAATATCATTAGAAGGCACTTTAACTTTCTTATTATACAATGCTTTTGTTGTTTAGGGATTGGAATTTTTTTGAGTTTATTTTTAAAGTGGTCAAGGCTAGTACAATAAATTTGTTGATGATGACCCAATAACCTAGTGCTGCTTACAGGGTGGGGTGGGGGGTGGAGGTCTTATTTACAAATTTGCCAGCAGAAATCACTTTCCTGCTATCAATTGCTAGAGTAGGAAGAGAAAAGAATGGGAGATCTATTCTAGGTAGGGCTGCCATATGTTCGGAATTTCCCGGACACACCTGGGATTTGTCCTTCGAAAATGGTGTCCTGGTGGAATTTTCAGAAACTGGTTAAAATGTCCAGGAAAACCCAGGCATATGGCAGCCCATATTGGAAGTGTTGCATTTTTGGTGAATTTCTGAAAAATACAAAACAAAACAAAAAGCTTTAAAACTCAGCAACCTTTGTGTCCAGATTTTCACTTATTGAAATATGGCAATCCTAGTTCCATTTTGAAAGGAGGACCCCACAAACCCGCCCTGCCAGTCTTGCCCTTTTACAAGCTTGAAAGTCTCCAGCCTCAACCCAGCATATTGCACAGAGATAGATTAAAGTCTTATTACCACTTCTCCCTTCTGTCCAGGTTGCCCCTGAAATGGAAAGGAAGACTGCATCAGGGGTGACCATTCTAGTTACTAGGACATTTTGAAGCCTCAGACTTCTGCGATTGTCATTACCGTTTAGTCATGCGTTCTCCTGTTGCTTTCCTACAGCAACGGTTTTCTCATGGTTTGAACATCTAAAGCCCTAAGTGGTTTGGGATCATGTTATCTGAAGGGCTGCCTGCAAGTGGCTGAGCTTGCCAAAGCATTGAAATGAAAGCTGTGACCCTGCTCTCTTAACTGGCTAGCAAGAGCCATTAGGCTGGCAGGTAGCAGGAACAAGGCTTTCTTAAAGGTGGCCCCACAAATTTGGGACTCATTCCTCACAGAGATACATACAGATGGCTTCTTGCAGTAGGGCCCAAATTTCGGGCAGAGCAGCCTTCCTGACACTGGTTCCTACACAGCCCTGACCTTTCAGCCACTGTGCCCCTGCAGCAATGCAAATGTTGGGAGGATGGCTCTACCTCACCACAATGGCCGCTACTGGCCTCATCGCTACTGGTCTTTAAAAGAATTTCGGAAGATATATTTATTCAGGTCTAGTTTTGGCTGAATTGTGATGTGGGTCCATATCTTGTAAGTGTATTTCCCCCCATGTGTCCTGAAAACTGGGTATTAAAGTTTTCAAACACACACATAAAAATAGAAACACTGGTGTATGATAGGTGGATTTTTAAAAATCTCCAACTATATAAGTTACATTTCTGACAAGTCTAATTTCTAAGACGTGTCTTTTGGTAGTCTGCACACCAGCACCACTTCACATATATGGATTTGCCCAGAATTAATGAAACAAATGATTTAGAGATAAACATTTTGAAAGTGTTATTGACAGAAAGCTGCTGACTAGGAGTATGAGCAAGAACAAGAGTCAGGGGAGGGGAAATATTCACTTACTGGTTTGCCGTCTAAACCAATCTGACCCTGAAATTAAGACAAAAGAAAAGAGGCGAGCAGTTGACTTTTTGTGTAATTTTATACAGGTCTACTCAGAAGCAAGCCCCACTGGGTTCAATGGGGCTTTCTCCCAAGAAAGTATGTAGCAATGAAGTCTAAAACAGGCAAATATTCTGTGTTCATAGCCCATATATACAAGACTGAATACCTTACAGGTCTTGGACAGAAAACACAAGGGAGTCTAGTGACTGAAAAAGCATTGCAACAGATCTAGAAATTAGTTCAAATCACAACACATATTTATAGTTTTATGTTACAGTTTTTGCTTTAATGACTCATTTGTAAGGAAAATATAGGAGATCTCTCTACTTGCAATTTTTTTAAAACAATAAATACATTTTTAAAGAAACCAAAGCACTGAATGAAATAGCAATGTCTTTTCTGTGACACAATCCCCAGCCATCCATTTTTAGAACAGATGCGTCAAGAGGCATTTAGTTTAAGGGATGCTGCACTTAGAAATATATCATTCATACATACCAGTATGCATTAGCAGTGCCACTTACCGGAAACCCAGGAAAACCTCTTGTTCCAGGCTGTCCCTGAATAGAATGAAGCGGAAAAAGAGATTAGAAGAAACAGATGAGACAGCAACATGTGTGACTAAATCACTCCATCAGGCCTTGTGATTTCCTACTCTCCATCATTTGCCAGATGAAAATATGTACACTTGTTTTACATGACCTGAGGGATTAGCTCTTGACTGCGGAGAACTAGTACAAAATGAAGCCATTTCTGTGGTGTCTGGAAGCTACCGCAAGTCACTAAATAATATTGGACTCTCTAATCTCAAGTTGCACATTTCTCCACCACTCAGAAAATGCTTATGTTGATGCTCAGCCACCACAAATCTTTAAATGTTTCAGTACCCTTTTAAGTGTAGTCCCCAATACCTTTATTTTCTCCCCAAAATTACAAATCTTAGACCTTTAAACATATTGCTAATGCGGCTTCTGTTCCGTCTGCATTTGCTCCCACACTGTTCTGGGCACAGAGAAAGACTTCCATCCATGTGGTTCAGCTTGACTGAGGATATATTTATAAGCTATGCAAATGATAGGTCTTCTATGGGCTGGGCATTGCTTATGTGTCCTGCAAACACACCATGAGGCCAAACCATGTGGGCAACCTATTCCCGAATCAGTGTGGAAAGAACTGCAGAACCTGGCGCAAACACACCCGGAAGGATGATATGTGCAAATAAGGTCTTGGGCCCAAAGGAAATAAGCAGATGTACAATGGCCAGACACTTGGAATCCCAACTACATGAAGATCGCTCCATGTGACAAAGTGCTGATGTGAAGCTCCTCACCACATGGATTCGACACTTACTATGCTGATTCCACCACATCATTGTAAACCATCAAACAAAGCAAACTGCTGAGCATGCTCAGTCCTCACTGAACTCTTGAGAATTGACTTTGGCTTTTAAAGATTGTCGAGCTTCTGCAAACTTTGGTCTTCCCATAAGAAGGCTGACAAGTCCTTCTTGCTTCTTGGTGGGTCCATTTTGGCTCCAATCCTGTCAGTGCTTACCACCTGAGCTCACTATTAGAAGGAGAGATGGTAAGAGAAACCTGTGCAAGGTTATCTCAAGGAACCTGTTATTCTACTCCCGAACAGATACAATTATAACTGCTGGAGGATATAACACAAATAACCGGTGTTGAGGAAATTAAAAGGAAAGCAGTTCTGTGGAAGAGACTATGTAATTTCCAATTTCCCTTCAATTGTTCTTCAGCTAGAGCCACTCAGGCTGGTTTCACATGAATGATGGGAAATAAAGAGGCCCAGCAGCACTACAGAAGGGTTCCTTTTGAATTCCAGACAGTTTGTCTGAAGTTTCTGAATCAATTACATGTGTGTTATAAATTCAAGCTTGCTCACCAGTCCTTTTGGTGCAGTTTGCAGTGCCTGGGATCACTTTATAGGAATACTTTATATAACCACATCACAGTGCCATAAAATGAGGCATTTAATGGTGGTCAATCAGCTGTGAGATGTATACTGAGCCTCAAAGATGATGGTGGTCTTGATCACTCAAGCCCAGTTGTCTGGCTTTCATATCTCCTCATTCATTTTACCCACAAGGAAAACGTTGAAGCAAATATGGTTGCCAGAACAGTCCTAAGCAAGGGTGGTATGCAATGCCAACAGGAGATGGAGCAACAAATGTGTACATCCTGTGCCTGTTCCCAGAAGTCCATTTCTGGTTGTTCCGTGTATTTCAACTGTACCTAGTTTGCGCTTTCACTGTGTAGCTAATTTTAAGGTTTACTTGCTAAGGGTGCCTGGAAACAATGCTGCCTATTTTTACTTGTCTGATCTGACAATTTTGCAAGTACAGTGGTACCTCGGGTTACATACGCTTCAGGTTTCATACGCTTCAGGTTACAGACTCCACTAACCCAGAAACAGTGCTTCAGGTTAAGAACTTTGCTTCAGGATGAGAACCGTGGCGGCGCGGCAGCAGCAGGAGGCCCCATTAGCTAAAGTGGTGCTTCAGGTTAAGAACAGTTTCAGGTTAAGTACGGACCTCCGGAACGAATTAAGTACTTAACCCGAGGTACCACTGTATATATTTGATTTCGAATTTCTGATAAACATCAGTGCTTGGAGACATGTCACAACTCATGACTGGCTAAAATGTTTCTGACACATGTGTTGAGAGAGAGAGAGAGAGAGAGAGAGAGAGAGAGAAGGTAATGTACATCATATATAAGTGTTCTTTCACTGGACTTGCTCATATTGTTATAAGCATACTCTTCAATAATACAAAACGGTTCATACTTCGGGTGTGTATAGTCCGGAACTTGATTACTAGTGGCTTATACAAGCCACTGCATGAGTATGTGTGCCATGAACAGTTGTTTCATGCGCTGGCTTACTGCTTTTTTGTTTTAATTGATATTGTGGGTTTGTGGGTTTTAAAAAATTGTGATGTGGTTTTACGGCCATGTTTGCAAGCAACACTAAAGTATGGTTTGGCATTACATGCACAAGCATCAGGCTTTCAGACTCCCCCCCACCCACCCAATAATAGCCATGAGGATATTTCAGGCATCTGTTTTCACTTTTAAACTAATTAGAACTAATAGTTTTAAACTATGGTTTGTTAATCAGCCATATCACAAACCCTGGTCTGAACCTGGTTTGTTTGAACTAACCATAGGAGGAACAGGGGAGGGAAAATGTAAGCCCAAATTCATGTACAGCACACCAAATGCTAAACCATTGTTTAGGTCCATTATGTTGTAAATCACTAAGTTCGTTGGCCCACACTAAGAAGGCAGGACACGGATGTAACCGAACAAATAAAAAATAACATCCTATCTTCTCACTCTCTATATAACACATACATCTATTATAAACACTGCAAGTCTCCAGTTTTCTCTCTTCCACAAGGAAACTGACCCTCTAAAACTTCCCCTGGGACTTCCTAATACTCAGGGAAATGGAGACACCCTTCTTTGTCTAATAGACAAAGTTTCTTTGGATCAGATTGTAGAACAATAGCATGTAACTATTCTTTGTAGAACAATAGCATGTAACTATTCTTTGTCTAATAGACAAAGAATAGTTACATGCTATTGTTCTACAATCTGATCCAAAGAAACATTCAGTGCTTAGTTACAAGTTTACTCATGTGTGTAAATTGTTTATATAAGCAATTGCTTACATTTACCTCAATTGTTGAACAAAACAAAATGGGGAAAAGATTATAAACTCTTATAGCAGATTTAAGATTGAGAAGAGTCCAGATAAAGGTGCTGAAAATCTCAAATCAACCTCTTTCCATTTAATACTTAGCACAATCTAAGACAGGCACAGGTAGACCAGGTCTGCAGGATCTAATTGCGTTTGCACTAGAATTGCAAGCTCTACCAACCAAACCCAGGTGCCAAATAGTAGCAGCAGGAGGAGCCAGATGGTAAGCAGTAGCTCATATGCTAGATATAATTACTTACTACATAGGTTATACACTAGGATAACCTGTACAAAAATAGCCTAATTTCTAATAACCGAATTTAGAAAGTGGGGAAGCCTTTTTGTTGTTGCCAGTGGAAGTCTGAAACCCTATTATACACAATAAACTGTAGCAAATCTACAGTCATTTTAGAAGCAAAAGTAGCCCTTGGGGTTTCACAGTTACTCTGTAAGGCAATTGTTTGCAAACTTTTTCTCTTGAGACATTTGCTTGTCTACCATGAAACCTCTGCTCCTTAGAGGAACGTTCCAAGTAGGGATTGTGGGGGAGGCGGGATTCAGTTCACTTCACATGTATAGGCAAATCCTTCAGTTTCACACTTTCCAAACCGGATGAGAATTGAAATACAGTCATCTTTCAAAATTCATACTTAACTGAACTTTGCAAGTCAGTTCTCCAATCAATGTGTACAAAAGATACATTATATTAGGGGAAAGTGTTCATAAAAAAATAATATATTAGTGAGAACGACAACCAAAAGTGCATCATTAGGGGAAACTGCTTGTAAAATATGCACAGTCAAACTGCATACAGAAGTGTGTCTATTAGCAGAAATTCCCACTAAAATACTGAAGAATTTTCAGGGGGATTTTATTTTTTCAGTTCACAAATTGCTGCAGAAATATAGAGAACTGAATTTAAGAATGGAAAAATGAGAAACAGAAAGAACTGAAATTAGCAGATCCTTCTATTTAATTCCAGGGCATTTTGTGGAAATGTCATTCAGTTCATGTGGGGCACTCATTGGATCCTATTGTTTTCCCCACTTTAACAAAACCTAGAATACATCCACCCACCCTGTAACTGGGAACATTCCTGGTATTAGTGGGCAAGCTATTTTTTGGAGAAGTTTGCCTGCCCGTACTGAATGTTTCATTGAAGAATCTTTAATAAGCTTCCATGGAATCCTAGAATTACCAAGTTCATGCTTTGAAAACCATTGCTTTTTGACATACACCTCCCCATTTCATATTACAAAAGGGCTTTCACAAGCCAGAGAATGAAGACCAAAATCGTCTCAGAAATTCCTTGGAGAATTACTATGGCTATAAAGTGCCTTAAATTGCACTTTTTTTAAATGCTGGTGTGACTGGAGTAGACTTGCTTAAAAAATATTAAGCTTTGTGATGTTGCATTTGGTCATATTGGCTTTGGCAGAATATATAAAACCACTTGGAGCCACTGGCTAAGGACCAAGGGGAGATGATCTGCTATAAATTCCATGGCCTGTCCACTCCGTAGCTTTCCGAAACAAGAAGAAAGGAGAGGATCTCACTAATAAATCTCTGCATGTAGATTGTCTCTGAACGTTGATGGACAAGAAAGGGCTGAGAAAAGAATAGTTAGAGGAAAGCCGGAAAGGGTGCAACTTGGCCTCTGATACCTTCCTTGTAAACTGCTACGCTGCTCATTTCGACTCTTTAGGCTGGAGACAATAAAAGGCCAGAGCAAAAGTTCAAGCACTAGAGATTCCAAGAAGCATGGAGCTTTCTCTTCCTCAAATGTTGTTTGTATCAAGTTCTCAAGAATAGAACTCTGGGAACTGCCAAGTCGTGGAACGCGTCTGTTTCTGCCATGCTCAGCACGATGCTTTGCTCAAGCCAGCAAACCCAAGTAATGTTAAGCAGCTGAAAAGCTCTGGATGTGCAACTGCTCACATCATCTCGCCTCCAAAAGACAGTCTGGAAACTATTTGTCATCTCACATCTGTCTAAAGCATGCTGTTATTCCAGAGTACTCCTGCGTTTCTTTGCTATCAAGGTGCTCCTTAGCGCTTATCACCAGGTCACCATAAAACTAAATCATCTTTGCAATTGATTTGGAGAAGGAGATGGAGAAAAAGCATTTTCCCCTGTACTGATGATTATGGCAGGCAACAATTCACTTCAAGCATAATACGTGCCTTATTAAAGCCACAGTCCTGAAATTATTTCCTCTCAAGTAGTTTCACTCTAATAAAGCTTAGGTAAATGCTCTCCAGTGAGGAGTCTCAAGGCAAAATCAACATGCCTTTTCATTTTTGCAAAACTGGCCCTCAAAGATGGGTTGGAAAAGGCAGGTTGCAGGAGTCTTGTGGGCAAATTGCCAGGTTATCAGTGAGAGGGTGTTGTGGACAGTATGATTTCATTTCCTGGTTAGAAGCTGAAAATGCTAGATTCATCATGCACAAAGACAACGTTCTGCTGTGCAATTGCCTCTTTTATATCACTTTAGCCTTCTTAAAACTTTCAGCTCCCAACACTTCTGTGTCTGCACTTTTCTTTCCTGCCTCTCTTATCCTTGAAATGCAAATCCTGGCAGCAAAATTATTTTACTCCCAAAAGAAAGTATGCTAAGGGACAGGATGAATCAGTACTGAACCTACTCTATAATTATACAGATGCAGGTTGCACCATCACTCATAATTCAAAGTTGTAATTTGCCTTCTCCGGCCAAAGCCGCAGCACAATGTGGGCTGCTCATTAATGCAAAACTGAGGGAAAGTATCCATCCCCTTTCACACATTGTGCTTATGATATTCATTACTGTTTGCAGAAGAACACTGTTGAGTCATAAAAAGCCAAGTCATAGCCATTCTGTATAAAATCAACACGAGGAGGAGATTCATGCTCACTAGCCCTGGCCCTGCCTTTCATACATTTCCCTGGCCTTGCGTATGGACTATGCGCACACATGCTGAACACTTTATGTTCTGAATGCGGAATCTGTATCCTGCTGTGGGACACACTTTGAGGCTCAGGGGTGGGGTCATGAAGTGCAATCCTGCTTCCTCTTCCGTGTAATGTTTGTATGCAGAACAGCAGTGTGAAAGGGGCATATTACGTTCTGTTAGCGTGTGGAGCAGTTTTCAGCTTAGTCATGCAATGGAGAAAAATCACAGGTCACAGTCCAACACAGAAATAAATGCACTTAAACCATTGGTTTTAGTAGCCTGAGCATACCTAACTCTGTGCTAAATTGTGGCCACTGAGTATTATGGCAACATATGAACACTTTGGACTAGTAGGCAGTAAAAAGAGAGAAACTTGGCAACTTTATGTTTTCAGTCAGAAATTAAAATGGGCTGAAACACATAAAAATGCAATATAAAACAAATAAGCACCTCAGGGATCCCCCCCCCCAGTTTGTCTCCTGGTTTTACCTACATCTGCAAGCCCAAGCATAAATAATGCAGTCTCCCAAAGATACTAACTTTTAGATATAAATTATATGAAGCTGCCTTGTACTGAGACAGGCCATCTGTCACAGGACTGCCTAATCTGATTGGCAGTGACTATTCAAGGCCTCAGTCACAAATCTCTTCCACCCTAGCTGACATTATTTAACTGAAAGTGACAGGGGTTAGGCCTGGCAACCTCTACCAGTGCATGCCTCTCTCTCTCTTGTAGTCAACTAACAAGACATCCCATTCTGTTTTCACTAAAGTGGACAGTAGTTTTGTGGCAAGACCTCCCTGAGAAATTCTGCTGGTCTTATCAACAAACTTTCTACACCTCTCTGAATTCCACAGATGTTTTGCCTGAGAAGAAACCCAACAAAACCTCTTAGAATTTTACCATAAATAAAATCTTGAAGCACCACCAATTCATTTCTTACAGTGTTGAATGCTGCTAATATGGTTCACCTTGGGTTGGTGAAGAAGAGCCCTCTCTGGGTCCTTTTTAAAGCATTCAGGTGAAGCAATACCTATTGTTTAGTATATGCACATAAAAATCTGGGGCAAAATAGCAACACATGCCTCCTGCCAAGTCAAGGTATAGCAAACCTAAGGGTGTTCAAGTTGTTTTGGCACCCGAGGCAGAAAAATCCCACAAGCACCTTTCTTGGGGAATAAATTTTGCTATTTCATAGAACCTATAAAATCAGGTGCTTGAGGTAAACAATTCACTCCGCCTAGTAATAGGGCTAGCCCTGCTAAAAGCTCTGCAGCAATAATCAAACAAACAATATTTTGACAAAATTCTTTTGTCCCCTGCAACTTGGCTGTTGTCCACCTGCAGAAAGTAGGTGGCCATGGTCCTTCCTTTTGGAGACACTTGTCAGCAGACCTTCAGTCGTGAAGTCAGATGTAGCAAACAGCCTAAGCTAGTAAGTCCTCTGTAGTAGACCAGAAACTTCTGCTGTGAAAGTTCCTTACTTCCTTCAGCTACACTCTCGGTGAAGAGTCTTGCTCCTTGCAAAGTTTTTTTTTGGGGGGTGGGGGAATACCACCACAAATTTTCTGGGAAACGACATCAAATTTCTTTCTATCACATTGCACCAGAAATCAGTGACCAGCTGGTATTATCTGAAGGCAATACTATTTTTATTTTTTTGCTAAAAAACAAGGGTGTATAATATGCTTTCTGTTACTGGCTTTTCCCTTTAGACCAGAAAATATTTCCTTTACTTTTAAACACAGGAGGGAAAACCACTGGTACGGCCAGTTTGAGCTTTTGTGCTGAGACTGATGTACTTTCTAACCAATATATATAGTCTGTAATTTCAATATAAAAACAAATCTGGCCAGGGATGTAAACCACATCATTTAGAGTTACAGGCCCTTTGAGCTGACTAGTGGCATTTTCCCACTCCCTGTATTTTTGGGGCAACTCATCCGTACCCTTTAAAAATTAAAGTAGAAGGAAAAAAACAGAGAAGGCAACTTACTGGTGGGCCACGGGGACCGATGATGGATATGCCGGCTTCTCCTGGGGCTCCCTGCAAAGGATGGGAGGAGGAGGAGAGGGAGAACATGGACGTGAAAATCAAAACCAAAACAAGACTGGGAAATGGCTTAGAGTTGGCTGTTGAAGAAAAAGAAGGAAGGGAAGTATTTGAGAGTGGGGGGGAAATACACGAATGTAAGTGACAAAGCCAAAGCGAATATTTAAAGTTAAAGATTCAAATGAAAAACAACTGAGGGCTGAAAGGAAAGCGTGGCCAAGGAAATAACGAGGAGGAAAAAGGAAAGTTTACAAAAGAGATTAAAAGGAACAATACATCTGCACACTCTTGAGGAAAAAAATGATCAAAAGCAGGTTTCTTCCAGTTAAAACAGCAGGTCCCTTGGCCTTTTCCAAACAAGACGGGGAGCCATTTTGAACCTATTCTGAAATCAGATCAAAGCATCATTCGCGGCTCCTTGAGGATGGAAAGTGTAATCTCACTTTGTAGAGATTCTGACTCTACTCTCTTGTGCCAGAGTTGTCTCACTTCTAGTTATCATTATCTTTATCCCCATGATGGGGTGAGCTCCCGTTGCTCAGTCCCTGCTCCTGCCAACCTAGCAGTTTGAAAGCACGTCAAAGTGCAAGTAGATAAATAGGTACCGCTCCAGTGGGAAGATAAACGACATTTCCATGCGCTGCTCTGGTTCACCAGAAGCGGCTTAGTCATGCTGGCCACATGACCCAGAAGCTGTACACCGCTCCCTCGGCCAATAAAGCAAGATGAGCGCCGCAACCCCAGAATCGGTCACGACTGGACCTAATGGTCAGGGGTCCCTTTACCTTTTACACTTCTATGTACACCTAACTTGGCTAGAGAACTGCACCACAAAATTTGGAGAAGTGTTAATTTTGAAGGATGGATGCGTTTAGGTTCTCAAGTTTTTCAGGAAGTGTGAATTAAGTAGGCTTGCCTTCAAATGCAAACTGAAACAAATTTCCACCCTTCATCCCTAGTGGCCACTAACTGCTATTTTCCAACATTTTGAGTAGAGGAGGTGCTACTTATGTTTACCTTCCTTAACTATTTGAGGTTGCCATGGGTTTTTCAGGGGTTATTTCTTGCTTCAACTTCTTTTTTTTTAAAAAAAAAAACTTGCACTGCACACAATGGGACAAGGCTCTCTCCCCAGCTTCATACCATCCACATACTTCCTGGAACACCATGGGAGCATCATGCCACTGTGTGGAGCACCAACCTTATTTGTGAAGTTAGAGCTACCCCCACAAAAATCCCTTTAGCCACCTTGTAAGGTCAAGACAGGTAAGCAGTAGCCCCACCTCAAAATGTTGAGAGAATTTCTTTCTCATCCCATATTCTTTCAGAATGGCTTCAAATTGTCTTTATTCCCCTCAGTGAAGGTCAAAAAGAAGCTGGTTGGGTTTTTTGTTTTTGGCAAAGTTCTACGAAGCGCTGTTCTAAATATTTGGAATATGATTCACAACTGTCTATGTCACTGGGGATGGAAAATCAGTTTGGTTTTTGTGTAAGTGGGAGACCTAGATAGTAACTAAATTTCTGGAGACAAGGATGCTGTTGAAGATTCCACAGCACTGATGGTGCTATGAATCTGGGATTGATTGTACGCTTATTCCAGTGCCCCTGGAATGTCTGCTTGGTTTACAAATGTACAATTTGTAAATGAATAGATAACCATTACAAAAGCACTATAAATCTCCAGTTCTCTCCCCTCTAAACCTCACTGTCCTCAACACCTTAAAGGCTCAGGGGAATGTGAATTGCATTTTTGCTGCTTATTAATAACAGGGAATGAACAAATGATGGGGGTTTTGAAGTGACTGTAGTGCAAAGAACCTATGTACCCATGAGTAAAGGGTCTCTGCAATCACATAGGATGGACAGGATGTGCAGCCCATATAGAGTTCCCACATCTTAATTTGGCAAATTATGGACAGCCAGCCATTCACTGCACTAGTGGACAAGAGGAATAGGACATAAGAAGAGCTGAATACTTAGACAGATAAAAAGGGACAAGTGTCACACCAGAAGCTTGGAGTGGTGGGTTCCCTCTAATAATAAGCTCAGGGGATGGAGTGCCAAGAGGATTATAGCCAAAACAGGACTTCTGAGAAACAAGAGAGCGTGCTTGGATGAATCCTGAGGTATGCAAAAGTATAAAACATTTTTAAAAGCTCTATGGGGACAAAAACAACGGCCCAATGGGGACAGAGCATGCTCAGTGGCATCCAGGAGTCACAGAATGTTGAGTCCAGTTGGAAAAGGAAAATGGAAAATGGAGAGTGGGTGGGGAGGAGAGGACAAAGAACTGGCCTGCTTGAGTCCCTGACAACTTCCAATATGCTAGAGGAGGGCTGGAGTGCTGGAAAGAACCCTAAGCAGCATTACTTCTGTTAGCAGGTGAGGGTACACCACAGCATTATGCTTCAGGTTCCACTTGTTTTACCTAAACATGCCCAAATATTTAATGTCAAACCTGATGAAGGTTTTTATACTAATTGTCTTGGATGACCTAAAAGAAAGCAAGGCCTATGTCTGCAAGCTGCTTTGCTCTTCTGCTCCAGAATATATCATGCAGTATCTTTTCTTCTTCATGTCAGGCTGACAGGATTTCTAAACAGTCAACTTTTTTGTGGTACTTCCTTGGGAAGGACAGAGAATCTGCAGCAAACATCCTCCCCCCCTTTTTTTTTTCTTCTGAGGTGTTGCAACATCTGAAATGATAGTGCTGCTGACTGGCACACACACAACAGACATTTGGCGTTTGAAAAAGCCCTAGTTCTGTCTGGGGCAAAGCGAATAAAAATATGATATTTCCACTGCAATCTGTTCTGGGCTACCACTTACCTCTGCCCAAACATAAAAAGAACTGATGTAATGCTTTTCTGGATAGGAGCAAACGAAAACAGCACCACAGATTAAAGTAAACGTTTGAGGGTCCCCTCGCACCTGCTTTCCTCAATTATTTTTTATGAGGCTTTCCCTTTAGATAATAGAAGGCTGCAATCAGGAAATGGTGGACCTGGCCCAACACAATGCATCTGGCCGCTAGGACACAGCTGGTGCAGTTAACCACATTTCCACGTGTATCTTTCCTGAACGCACCAATCACAGCTGTCAGCAACGAAACAGAAAATGGTTCCAGAAAATACCAGAAAGATCCAGCTGCAAATGTTGAGCTTGCCTAGCCAGCCTTCACAATGTTAGTATAAATTATAGTAAACAATTTTTTTTCCTGCTGTCTTGGAACATGTGTGGGCTCTTTCCACAGAGTGCCAGGGGAAAAAACCCGCCCTGCTATTTCTTATTTGCATATATTAACTTCTGTAAAGTTTGTACTTCTAAACCGGGCCTTTTGGCTCACATAGAGGATGGGATTTCGTCCTTTCTTCTAGTCCAGGAAGTGCAGGGATGGGAGTTAGAGAGGGATAACTTGGACTAATTTCCAACCAACCACATGGCAAACTTGTTGTCAGGGCAAAATACCTTGGTTAAGGAGGTGTTTCCAGGGGACATAGGGTTTTTTTAGGACACGGTCATGAAGTGATGAGCTGGAAAGAGCTGACTCACCTTCTCTCCAGGTTGCCCCTTTAGTCCCTGGGCCACCATTTACACCAGTCGCAGCCACATGCAAGAGGGTGAAGGAAGAGAGAAAGAGAGACACAAACAGAGGAGTCAGTGTTAAGGCACACTAAGCCCCCAAACAACATAGATGCACACACAGAAGCACACACACAAAAATCCCCATGTGACAAACATTGAAACATGCTTTGTTTAATGCTCACTCACAAGCACAGTGGATGGCAACCTTTGCTTCAGGCTCCCTCCCATTTAAAGCAATTTTAAGAATCCCTGTCTCTGGATAGGGGAGTGCATCATATGGTGAAAAACTGTTCCTGAAACGTACCATAAGGGTTCGCATGAAAGAATGTATATATTTCTCTTTTTTAAAATCTACATACGTAGAAAACTAGTATGCCTGGGAGATGTGCTCCAGCTTGGTCTTATCAATAAGATGCTACTTTTTATGCTTAGGAATTTTATATGTGTGGGACAGAGGGCACATTCAGTCAGGCAATTGCTCATCTGCAGTCTGAAGTGGTACGGAACAGGGATTGTTTTGCATCATGATTAACTCTTTGTCCAAAGACCCTAAAGAAGCCTAGGAAGGTGGCAGGAGCTGCTGCAGCTGAAGCTAGGAACCCAGCTTAAGTTCAAGAATGGCAAAACAAATGGTATGCGTTAGCAGTAAGCTCATAGAGTTAGCTAGGCTGGGCTAGATTTAAGCTCAAAAGTCAGCAATGGGGAAGGAGCAAGAGATTTGGCAAGGTTCCTTACCCACCACAATCAAGAAAGATTTACTGTTTGGAAGATCAGTTCTGATGGCCTCACTTAATGCAAGTTCACCCCACCCCAGCCAATGCCACAATAACCAGAATAAAAGCATCCATTTGGCAAGGTAATTTGTTGTTACCACCCAACAGACCACTGAAGCATGAGCATTTCACCAATTATAAACAAAATGAATACTAGAGCTGAACTGCAGACTACTCTTCAGTTGATGGTATGTTAAAAAGAACCTGAATGCCAACACCATCCTCAACAGATTTTCCTTGATATTCCCAAGGATATATGTATTTGTTTTGCAGACTTAGAAGTCAACTCATAGCCAAAAGCTGCTGAAGTGGTGTACAATAAGATAAAATAAAATAAAATCCAGAAGACACAGACTTCATAAACTGAAAACAAGAAAACCACTTCTACAATGGTATACTTAACATTCCATAAAAGACACTGCAGCCTTCATGGATTTATCCTCTTGTCAATTTGCTCTTTTACTTAACACATTTCCCCTAACATTCTATTTAAATTCACTGTCCCCCAATTTAAACTTGTTGTTTCTTGCATTTCTTGTGAAGAATGTGGAAATTCTCACTTGGTTTGACATCTTCTTTCTAATAACGACTTTCAGATATTTGAAATTTGTCAATGCATCTCTCTAGTGGAGGCTAAACATGCACAGGTCTCTCAGTCTGTCTTCATATGACTTGATCTTCTAGACCTTTTGTAATTCATGAGCTATTCTGTAAATTTTCTCCCATTTCTCAAGACTTATAAAAACAACAACTGATACCCAGAACTAAACAATACTTCCAATATTGTGCAGCTTTAGCCACTATGAAATATAGCTGCATGCAAGATTATATGACCAACACCCACTAGAAATTTTCACCTATCAACACTCTTTCCAGAAGTGTTGTGCTGTGTTTCCTCAAAAATACAATCAAGTCTTGTATGACTACTTGGATGTCAGATGTCCCATCATTTGGGGCAACATCACAGGTGATAGAGTGAAGTTTTTGATCATTCTGTTTATGTTTGCTAATTAACTTGCTGATTTGAGAAGCTCCTGGTCTTGGTGGCCTTTGTAGAGTACATTTTCAAATGCTCTGGTCTTTATCATTTGGTTATTTACTTGAAATGTTCATGTTTTGACTTCTAATTGGCGTGCATTTGGTGTATTACAACATAGATCATTTGGAATCAACCTATGAGGCAGACCATAGGCAGAAGCTTGAGTGTATCTTGACTGAACCAGGAATGAGGGTGCCAATTGTTGCATTTATTTTATGCCTTTTTTTGTACATTGGAAAAAGTTTCATTGTTTTTCTCCTTAACTAGGGGGAAGCTCATTCTGTCAATATTTGAGATTCAAGTTTGAGGTATGTCAAACAAAAACATTTTCTCATAACTACAACACACCCATGGAATAATGCCTTTGGGATTATTAGTTTTTATGCATGTTACTGGAAATGCACACAGACTGACATGCACTTGTATGCATTATAGAGGACAACACTTCTTTGGTCAGTGAGTGTCGGAATATATTCTTGCAGTGTTGTTTCTTAACTACAGGAAAGCAGCAGAGTGTACTCCCCCAATCTTTAAATTACAGGTTTCAGACACTTCTTTGGGAGGTGATGTGACAAGAGAACATTTAGCAGTGGTTAGCATTAAATTGAAACATGTTCCACCTTTATGGTGTTGACATTGCTATGTGGTCCCAAGCGAACAATGCTCATCCTTAGGCCAAAAATGTATAAGTGTTTAATCTTTGCAGTTATTTACACCCTTTTCCAACTCTGGGAAAGCTGTAAGAAAGTAATCTGTTTTAGAAGCAATCCTTCCCTGCCACACACACCCATTACTCCTGTTTCAGCTGAAAACCTGGTGCTATAGGGCCTATAGTACAGGCAATCCTCCAAACAGATCAGTTTCTTTTTCACATCCCACCATTAATTTATGCTCAGTGAGTTTCCATGTAATTTCTCTTCCTCAATTAATTAAAGATCCCTGCAGTTTTATGCAACAGAAGCATCTAGTCATCGAGATTTCCTCTGCCTCTTGCTACGAAGCTCTCAGCAATCAAATCAGTTATTTATTTTTTTAATAGTAGCTGCTTCATGCTTTGCCTTTTGCACAGCCAAACTAGAAATGGAACCAGAGTCATTATTACCCTGAGATAATGAATATATCACGCCTCCCCCACAAAGGGGCCATGGATAGCAAAGGGTTTAGAAGCAGGTGTGTCAGGTAATTGCAAGAGGTTTAAGACTCACCGGTAGTCCACGGATCCCCATGGCGCCTTTGTCTCCCTAACAATTAATGCAAAATCAGAGGGCAGTTGGAAACTGGCCATATGTGGTGCTATAAAGTGACACAAATGAGCTTTTACTTGGCGTTTCAAGCAGCTGCATTGGTTAATTTAAAATTTATGTAATTGGTTTAGATGTTTGTGTGTTAGGTTGAAAATACAGAAGTTTGCATAATTTATGGAATCTGAAGTTGAAACTATGTGGTTGGAACATCTTCAATGCAACAGTATAAATCTGCTTGCATGGTCTTGTGTGCGTATAGGTGTATGTGTAAATATTTTTAAAATATGTCTATAAGTACGTAAGTATAGCTGTGCAGAAAACTGATAAAGAAACATACATGGTGTCATTATATAGAAACATTTTATAGTTTCACAAATTTGCAATATTGCATAACACATCGAAGTTGTTGAGAACATAAGAACAAAACATAAGAAGAGCCTGCTGGATCAGGCCAAAGCCCCAACTAGTCCAGCATCCTGTTATCACAGTGGCTAACTAGATGCCTATGGGAAACCAAGGAAAGAGGAAAACGAGCCCTCTTGTAGTCTAATGACATATTCTGTTTATCAGTATATTTCCTAGTCCATTAGTATAATAAGTGGTAGCCCACTGGTTCTTAAATTGTGTTTTATTTTGGATCCCTTGCTTGTTTGTTGTGAATCATTATTAAGTCACCATGTAGGGAAGGTATTTGAAAGGCTTATGATTATTAATCACTTGCTGTTCTTTTCTTCCATTGCTATTTGTGTGATGGAGAATCACACATTAGCATTAAAAAAAACAAAAACTTGCACTGTCAAAGAAACAAGCAGCTTCTCTGTGGCTTGCCTCTTCAGCCTGAGGTAGAACTACTAACAGGAATCTATAGCTCTTTAGCATTTTCCTTTTTTATTAGCAGTGTGGCATCAACATGCCCCTGAAAAATGCACCAGAAGCCCTTGAATCACAGCTAAAGAACCCTTGTATCAGTTAATTTGAGAAAATCAGTTCTACACTTTTTCAAAATGTTGTTCAAGATATTATTAAGGCAAAGGATGATTTAGGGGAGTATGACCAGTTTGGTCACACTGGGTGTGGAGCCTCAGGGATGCCACAACTATGATTTACAATGGAGCGCAAGAAGGGAAGGGGTGCCAAATTTTGGTGTCACACAGGGTGCTGCTGAAATTTGAGACCCCAAGGTCTGCCACTGACTAAGGGGCATAGAAATTACTTGCTTTAAAGGTGCATGTTGTAAGCTGGAAAAATGTTGAACTTTCAGATCTTCCTGGCTGCAGTCCTAACTATGGCTACTAAGAAATCACTGGGGCTTACTCCCAACTAAGAAGGGGCAGGATTGCAAGCTCATAGTGGATGCATGTCTACTTAGAATTAAGTCCCACTAAGTTCATTTGAAATTACTCCTAGGTAAGGATGTATACGAGAGTCACGACGTATATTCTAGCATTTCTGAGTCTTATGTCTGGTAATGGACTCTCTATTTTGAACAATGTGCATTGCATCATGCCCTGCCCTCTCTGTGCAAAAACATTCATATATATCTTTGCAACCCTAAAGGCTAGCAACATGCTTTTAGACAATGAAATAAAGCTGATCTTATCAAGAAGTTGAATTCTGAACCTAATACTGTCTTCCAGATTCCTGTTGAATCACACCACACACACATCCCTGCCTATGATGTTCAGAATAAATTACTGATGCTTAAGAGAGCAGGATGCCTATCATGTAATGCCAAGAAACACACTCACTCATGAGTAATGTTTATACCCCTCACAGTGCATTGGCACAACCTTCATAGCTTAATAAGTCAGCATGGTTTGCCTGGCTGTCTGCCTACCATGTGTTTCTAAGGTTTTCATCACCAAAGCAGCCAACACACTATACAACCGCATGAAAAACAAGGGCCTATCTTGATGTTCTCCCCTAAGATTCCACAAAGTTTGTTCCACAAAGGTCCCTTATTTTTATTTCTTTGCATTTGAAAGTCACACTTGAGGGATATTTTATCCAAAGGTGTCCTGTCTAAGATCTGAACTACCTTCAAGTCTGACCCTTGTATGGTCTTTCTAGAGAAGAACTTTCCAAACTGATTTCTGAAACTGAACACATTTTACTCCCGAATTTCAGAAAATTAATCCTAAAGCTCCCTAATTATCAAAGCTGAACCTTTTGGACAGGTAGATCCCATAGCACATGGGTTAATTCAAATTGAAATCAAGAAATAAAAAGTAGGAGAGCTTCTTACTTGACATTTTGAATTGAGGTATAGATACCTGAGTACAAGGCATGCACACACTACTAATTTGTACGTGCCTTGATAAACAGCTCAGTTTTCCCAGATGTTTTTCCATTATCATGTCCATGTATATAACAAGGTTTTATTTTTTTAATGTACGAAGGCATGCTTTGCAATTGATGGATGCTCAGGTATTTATACACACTGACAAAACAGCAAGCAAGAACAGAACTAAATGTTATGCTTTTCAGACTGAGCTGCCAACAAAAATGATACACCGGCTTCAAGTTCTCCCACTCGTCCCTGTTATGTTTAGGCATATTGAACAGAATCAAGACATCATCATGCTATACATTTCCCCAGCCCTTGACTGTGGTGTAGGCTGTGTTGTTGGCAGGCCAGGGTAGATGACTATCATGGGTGTCTTTGTACATTAATAATAATAATAATAATTTTATTATATATACCCCACCCATCTGGCTGGGTTTCCTCAGTCACTCTGGGAAGCTTACAGCACATAGAAAAACATAATAAAACGTCAAACATTAAAAACTTCCTGATACAGGGCTACTTTCAGATGTCCTCTAAAATTTGTATAGTTCTTTTACTCCTTGACATCTGATGGGATGGCGTTTCTAAAACTTTTGGGGAGAAAACTCAACAAGAGACTATGGTTTTTGGCACCAACCCCATGTTGGAGCTAAAACTGACTTCTGCCCTGAGAAACGTCCCTTTAATAAAAAAGAGAACTGATTTCCAATATCATATTCCCATACTTACAGTGAAAAACAGTGGTACATTTATTGTGGTTATAATTGTTCATATAGATAGGCTCTTTCGCTTTCCCCTGAGTGAACTAGCTTCTGAAGTCAGTAACTTATCATTAGATTAGATTAGAGGGGGAAATGTCAGTCCTCCAATATGAAGTCCCTCTGGCATATTTTTTGTGACCCATCATGTCCACAGACTATCACTAATACCTGATTTCCATGTGGATTAGCATTGGGTATGTGTTTACAAATCCCATAAAAAGTGACCGGCACCATGCTGGTTTTGTTTTTAATCTCTGCTAATAAGACTATTCATATAAACAAGCTTAGAGGGGAAAGAAGAATGCAAGCTGTCAACAAGGTGGGAAAAGAATATTTACATCTTTTGCTGTTTGAGAGGAACTACAAATAGGAATGGGGGATGTGTCCATTAAGAAGAGATTTAATAAACTAACCATGTTCCTACCTAGCAAACGTAGAAGGATAATGGAATGGATTCTGATAATAGATCCTATCCCAGCCGGGCAAATGCAAAAACACCCAAGGTAAGCTAGGTACACCTTCCATTCCAGCAGTGACAGCTAGTTACAGAGGGGCAGAAAGTGGTCAAGTGACCGCCACTGCTGGTTGTGAGAGAGGGGTGCCTGTGATCCATGACCTGGTGAAAGCAGCCAAAACAATAGTGCCTCACATGTAGCACTGTGCAGCTGTTTTGGTGACTGGCTAGTTCACCATACCCATGTGGATATTACAGACTAATTACACAATTGGCACAGAACTACCAGCACATGCCTTCATGAGTATCTCTTGCCCAGGCTACTCCTAATAGATATTGGTTGGTAAGCCCCAGATGTTCCCCTCCCATTTGATAGTTGCTTAGTGGTATTGTTTTCCATACCCCCTTATCAGCCACTACTATTTCCAGGAAGTGAAATCAATGGTGGCAATGAAGCTTATATCAACCAGATCAAGAGATCTTAGGTACCAGAAGTGGGGAAGCTCCTCCAAGTTTCTAAAATCAGGGTCACAATCAACATGCTTCCAATCACAGCACTAGACTACATTGACCAGGGGTAGCCAGCCAGCTGTCCTTGGATTACAATCCCCATCAGCCCCAGCCAACAGGGCCAATGGTCAGAGGTGGTGGAAACTGCAGTTCAGCAACATATGAAGGGCACTGTGTTGGTTACCCCTGACATAGACAATGGGATGTCCAATATGAGGCAACTTTTATATTCTTAACTGTGCTATAAATGTGACTAGCAGCTTCCCAAAATGCCAGTGTCTGAATGTGGGCTGGAAGGATGTGTCTTCTCTGTCATTACATTTTCCTGATGCTTGGTTTGTGCTAAACCCAAGCCATAAAATGCATGGTTTTTTGCTCAAGGAATGTTGTGCCACAAATTCCTGAAGGAAATCAACCCACAACACTAAAAAAATCTAATGAACTGGTGCTTCCATTGCACGTGGGCCAAATAGGTCAGCTCTCTATTTCTGCATCATTAAGAACACATTCCTCACACAATGGTATTTGTTCAACTGAACCTGCAAATCCTTTCCACGGTTAAATAATATAGGACAGATTTACATCTCTGCCTACTCACAAGTCAATGCTGGGTATGCCAAGAATCTGAAAACTCCTGAGAGCTTTATTATATGACTTGTAAGTAGACCAAGATATAGATCCTTTGTATGTTTCTGCAGGAGTGGCTTGCAGAAGCAACTCCAAGAATGAAAACTGCAATGTGGGAAGGAAATAGCCTAAAGTGCTATGAACTCATCTGAAATCAAAATAACTTCTTAAAGGAAATGTGTGCTCTCCATTACAAGAAAGACTTGGGAAATTCTATACCTAGAACCTTTGTCCTGACATTGAGTCAGTCTGCACATCCCACTGAAATCCAGTTCTCTTTACAGCAGTAGAGGTGAACATGGCACCCTTCAGATGTTACTGGACTGACCAGTAGCCATGCTGGCTGAGGATGAATCTGATGTGAGTTCAAAACCATCTAAAGTGTACTATATCGTCTACACCTATTATCTGACAATATGTTCTTTTGCAATGGGTAGCCAGCTATCTCCTCCCCAGCATTCACAGACTTTAGGCACCTAGCAAGAAAGGAAGAAGAGAGGAGGAGAAACACAAAAAGGGGAAAAAATATTTACCGGAAGCCCAGGTCTTCCTGAAGGACCCTGAAAAGAAACATAGCAAAGGACAAGTTGGCACAAGGAGCATGGGCAATTGGATTGGTACAGAGAAACAATAAAGACATAAGCTAACTGAATCTTGGATGTGAAGAATACCACTCCAGTGGCGGTAGAGCACATTATTTGTACAGATAAGGTGCCCTATGTTTAATTTGTGGCATCTCCAGTTAAGTGATCATAGACAGGGAAGCCTGGCAAGCTATTGGAAGTCAGAGTAGACAAGACTGGGCCAGATACAACTGACTTGGTGCAGTTAGCCTTGTGTATCCTAGACAAAGATGTGGGGCTCACTAAAAAAGGATATGTAGCTTGTTGAGTACAATTGTGAACCATACCCGCTGCTACTATTCACTCCCGCTGCTGTGCAGTCAGCAGGTACATTTCTGCACTGGGATTAACTAGCATTACTAGTCCATGTAGATTCATTCTAGCATAGGAGAGTATGTGCAGCAAACAAGCACAGAACAAGCACACCCTACGTGAGTGAGAAGGAGAGTCCTTGGATAAACGACAGCTATTTGCTCAAATATGTTGCAGTCTTTCAAAAGAGCCAGTTGTTCAAATATGTTGTCGGCGTGACTCCTCTTCAGGCGTGACCGATTCAAAGGAAAGTTACAATAAAAGAAGGAGCTAAAGAGACCCTTTCTCTCTTCCCCCCACCCTGCGTCTAAGCACGCACACACATGATGGATGATGGCAGGAGGACTATATTGTATCAATACTATAGGTCGCTGCTGGAAACAATTTGCGTAAAAAACTGGAATGCAAAACTCTTAAGCACATCAACTGTCCAATTCTATTTACTAGCGCTGAGCCAAAATGCCCCACAACTTGACCACCCTGGCTGCAAGCTGCAAAGCTGGGGGGAGGGGATGTTTGGTGATTTATAAGGGACACAAACATATGAAAAATGCTTGCTCCATTTGCTACAATAGCTTCTAGACTCCCTGCTTCTGCCTGGCAGTTTCCTGTGTGCTTCCTACTCAGAAGATGCCAGCGTGAGAGCAGGGGAAAATATTCCTTGTTTATGCCCTCACTCTGAATTGGCTTTAGAATGATACCACATATAATCATAAACAAGTGGCAACAGCTGTGAAAATAGGTGAAGTGTGTGTGTGGTTTCATGAAAACCTCTGCCTGTCCCTCTCCAAAACCCCATGTCTGAGCCAGAAAAGGAATCAATAAAACATTTGGCTCAGCTCTAAATTTCTTCAGGCACATGTACTCCCTTCTGTTAAAGCAGATATTGTGTTTGGACCTGAATGTGGAAGACCAGGGTTCAAAATCCCTAGCAAGCCGTGAAACTACCTTTGGTTAAGTCACTCTCTGTCCCAGCAGAATAACCTACCTGAAAGGGTTGCCTACAAGATAAAAGGAGATAACCCTTTGTATACTGTATCCAGGGGCGGACCTTGGTAATATGAAGCCCTGTGCGAGGCCAAAATTTGACACCCCTCCATCCCAAAACTGCCTTCCCAAAGCTGGGTAAGTGAGGTGCAGGGCTTTGGGAAGGAGGTGTGAGGCTCTGGCAGGGTCTTCCTGCCTCCTTCCCAAAGCTGGGCAAGCACTAACTAGGCTTTGGGAAGGAGACAGGAGGTCTCTAGGACCCTGCTAGAGCCCTCACACCTCCTTCCCAAAGCCCAGCACTTACTAGACTTTGAGAAGAAGGCAGGAAGGTGCCCCCTAGGCCCCTTTGCCGGGGTACCAATCATGCTGCCCTAAACCCACCTCTGCTGTATCTTGAACAACTTAGAGGAAAGGCATGATACAATTGTGAAACACAAATAAATAATAAATACATGGTTACAGAATTACAGCCCAAAGCATCTCTCTAGCAAGCCAGGTCTGATAGCTTGATTCTTGGCTGGACGACACAACCATATGCCCATGGCGGAGACAGTCAAATAGCCTGTGCAACAAATGGGTGTCAGCTATGGTTTGAGCCTACACAACGCTGTTGTACAAGGCTACATGAATGAGGAAACCCTTCTGGGTTTTGTTCAACAAATCAGCATTGTTAAGAAAGTCCTCAGCCTCTCGGCTTTGGAATGCAGGTTCCAAACAGCTCTTGAAGATGTGAAGCAAACAGGCCATATTTTGTCGAGTATGTTGTGTTTCTTCTGACTACGTGCCTGGGCATTAAAGTTAATGAGATGAGAGACTTCCAGCAAGTCTGAGATCCCGAAATGTCTCAAAAGTCTAGACACGGGAGGCCCATGGTCACAAATTCTGTATGGAGGTATGAGGAGGCATTGTAAATCAACACAAAGCAGAAAAACATCGAATGCAAGTAGTATATTATAAGTTATTTAAATTATTATTTTAAGTTATTTATATAAGACAGATACCACACACAATCACCAATCTGTTCACAAGGCAAGAAAATAAGCACCACGCGCCCACCAAATTGGTTTAAAGGCAGGAAAATCAATGGCCAGAAAATAATGCAGTCATGGCCAACTGTAGCAAATCAAATGCCATAATTCATAACATAAACATTACACTCTTTGCTTAGCAATGAACAGTGAGTTTGGGCTCATTGTTTTAAGCCCCTACCACATACAGCTAATAGGAATCACACAGCAGTCTAAATGACAAATATTCTAGAGTCTGTATACAGACCCCAGGTAAATGTAATGCATATTTTCCTTTTTTCCAAATTTCCTTTTGGTTGGTTTCACAAGGGGCCATAGCTCAGTGGATAGAGTGCACATGTTGCATACAGAATATCTTTATTCCAATCTGTAGCATCTTCAGTTAAAAAAAAGCTTAGGTAGCAGGACTGGGGACAACTGGTTGGTTAGAGTAGATAGCAACCAATGGCCTGACTCAGAAAGGAGTTCCCATGATCCTCCCTGCTTACATGTTCACAGACACGTAAGGAAGAGCAGGATCACATCCAGCAACATGCACCCTGGCCATGCTCCATGCCAGCTGGACATCTGGCAGCAGTGTGAATGAAACAGATACATGGACAGATGTACACACGTTGGGCTAATGCATTTGTCATTGACTGCATTTTATGGCAGACTACTTCATGCTGGCACTACTGGGACCAAGCAGTTTTGCAGCACTTGGGGTCTGTAAAACTATAGTGTTTTCAGAAATTAGTTAGTTGCTGCATTTTCTTAAGGACACAGAGTGAGAGAGATGCAAGGAGATCAGCGGAGAGGACATAAGAGTTTTCTTATTTTCCCTGCACCCGTCTTAACTTTTTGCCCCGGATCTCCCAGATATTTTTTTATGTCATAAAATAAATGCTCTCTAAGTAAGCTTGCGAGAGCCTCAGAATGTTTCTAGTCTTCCCACAACAAAATATACAGGTACCAAAAATATGGAAGAGCAGGTGGCACAGGCAGTTGAATCTTTTGTGAATCAGAGCAGCAGCAGTTTATCAGTTAAGCCCTTTCTGTCCATTAAAAATTCCTGATGTTTCAGGAATGTTCCTCCCTCTCCCCCAGTGCCCAGTCACCTTACCACCAGATGCATTCTTCACAACACACACAGATGTAAGTTTTGGTACTTACAGGGGGGCCTGAAAGAAAAGAGAAAGAAAAAATAGTTATCATGGTGGAATGTGTTAATGCTATTGAACTCTGTTGATAGCATCTTTAATAACATCTTCCTCAACAGATCCATCATTTTTCAGTAGGATTATGAACTGGCAAGTGGATGGTTCATATCTCACCTTAGCCATAAACTTATCAGGATTCTGCAATACGTGAATAACAACACTGACCCTTATTACAAAGCTGTAAGGATTACTGAATAATTTGTACAAGGAGCTTTAAACACTCAAAAGTAGCATGGAAATGTTAAGCTGTGAAGGTGGTGTGTTTTAGGTTTTGCACTACAAGAGCTCCTGTTACCTTGATGCTACAAAAACCATATACATCAACTAATACAGGACAGTAACTGAAATGTCTGATTTAGAGCAGTGGAGTTCAAGATTATCAACCCTCAAGGAACTTTCACCTGCATCAATTCATATTTTGTGTGGGAGAATGCTCCTGATCCTAGTCATCAACCAAAGTTGCAAATGCATTTTAGAATGCAGCTAGCACTCCCTTCTGCATATGCACCTTGCAGGAGACAATTAGCCATGGCACTTTGGAGCAGCTTTTTGCCATTCTTCTCATCATGGAACTCTGACTAACAAGCTTTCATGGAGCACCAAGCTTCTTTGGAAAATGGTTTAAAAATCACTGGTTTAGAGTGCTTAGACAATACTGACCAAGGCTGTCAGGATATGGAGATATACGGTACAACACATGACACATGGGGGACATGATTAGTCTGTCATTTTTGGCGGCAGCCACATGCTTCTTATTTGATGTAGCTATGCTCTAAGGCTGTTCCCAAAGGCATGTTTATGGTGTATTCTCCAGTCCAGTCTCTCCTTTGCATCTAAAATGTAAGGTTTTCTTTAACACTTCCATTTTCAGCATCAAATCCAGGCACAACCCAGGGTGGAACTTTTCTGATTCCAAGCAGATGGCAGCCCTTTTGAAAACATTTTGCATCCCCAATGGCAAGATTTTCTTTCTTTGTTTTTAAAATAAAGTAATACCATATATGATGATGTCATAATCCATTACAGTAGCCACTAAGTGACATCATATGGGAATTTTGGACTGCCACTCAGAAACCTTATTTGCTCTTCAGTGGCTTGGAAGAGCCCAACACACTCAAAGATATGATCATATTGCAGGCAGACCTCTGTCAGCAGCACAATCTACGTATTTGCCGGCAAGCAGCGTTTCACACACAGCTTGCAAAATGCAACTCAGCTTTGTCTCACCTTGTAGGGATACATGGATCTCGCAGTCAAAAACCCATCCTCTCTCTCTCTCTCTCTCTCTCTCTCTCTCTCTCTCTCTCTCTCTCTCTCTGGCTATCTGTATACACCACTTTGGAACTCCCGAGCTGGGTACTGTCTCAGTATATACAATTTAATTTACAAAAGCTACTTAAGTGGATAGTCAGGGTAATGCAGTAGTTAAAACAGTTAATTGGACAGTTAGCTAGTTGATTCAGATAGACTTAGTTTCTATTAAATAATGGGACAACCCCAATATGGAATCTTTACCTCCTTGTGGGAAGAATTGAGTGCACATGCAATTAAAAAATAAAACCTACCCAGCTTTCACCTTACTGCACACATATTACATTAATTTATCCATCAGCTATCACATTCACCAACTTACCTTTCCATCTGCCACTTTATGCAGTTCTTAAACACTTCATTTCCCCACTACAACCAGCCAGCTAGACAGGCACAGCTGTGTAGTCTCAATGGTGGTGTTGGGAACCTCACACCTTACCCAAGACAGTGGGTGAGGGCATGGAAGAAGGGGAAATTTCACATTTGGTGGGAATGCCCTCCAGCTTCATCACTTTGGACTGTGGTTTATCAGAAAATATCTAATATAATGAAACATCCTATCCAGTCTTCTCCATTAATCTCTTGGTTGAATTATTGGGATGATGACCCGATGAAAACTTTTCATTCTATTGAACTTTTAACCTGGCTCCTGGCTCCTGCCAGGATCTCTGTAGCACAGAAATGGAAAATGCTACAAGATCTCCAGTTTTCCCTGTGGTATAAAAATATGTGGACCTTGGCCATCACTGAAAAAATAATACATAACCTATGTGTTGCTAGGAGTATTGAGAACCCAGAACAATTTCACACCATCTGTGGGACTTTATTTCATACACCTTGAACTTGCATATACAAAAGTCTCTATCTTACTCACAGAATTTGGTTATTTTGACAATCTTCTATGTACCAACTGTTTCTTATTAAGATAATATCCAGCTTCTTGCACTGCCCCTATGCCTTTCCCCCCTCTGTTGTTTTCTTTGCATTGCCTGCTATATTTCAACAAAACCTATAAAAATGGTGGTGTTGGGAGAAGCGGTTTGGATTTGTTAGGCCCTGAAGAATGTTTTGGAGCAGGCCAGGCCTGTACAAATGGTACAGGCTCTGCTTGAACCAGGATGGAACCAGACTGTTGGCACTTAAAATAAAAAAGGTTACAGAGCAGTGTTTACATTGCATCTAAATTGCTGTAGGGTGGAAAAACTTTGTCCTCAAACTGAAGGCATTGTTCTGTGAACATGCTAACATGATTTATAGCTAGCTTTGTACAAGACATCAGGGTTAATAGCAGACACTAACAGTTACCTCAATTCAGAAAAGGAAGCTCACATGAAGGAGCAGGCTTCCATACACATTGCTGAACACTTTGTTCAGGAAGTGTTAATCAGATTGGTTCCTTCAAAAATGTGACCACACAAAATCCTTGAGCATCCCTAACAAGAAAAAGTAGTTTTTAATACAGGTAAATAATACAACAACAGGAAGACTGGAAGATTGTAAACCAATTTGCACATTAGGAGGAGGAGGAGGAGTAGTAGGTCCTGAAGTGAATTTTCTAACAGATAGCTGAAGTCAGGAGGATGGAGCTATATTTTACAGCTAAGACGGTCTATTGATTTTAGCCACCAGCTTCACTAATCAGAGACAGATGCTAAGTATCTAAGTGCATGAGAAAGGCCAACTGTGAGGGTTGAAAATGGGGAATGTACTGTTAGAACTATGGACTGAGGTGGGTGACCTGTGCATAACCATAACTTTGGCTTTACATGGAGACAATAAAAACCCTGTTCTGCTACCCTCATAGTCAAATTGTAAATGGTCAAGCCAAAATAACTTTCAAGTTGCCCTTTAACCTGGTTTCTCACAGAACAGTGGTTTAGGCTCTCATGCAGAAACAAGTGGCAATTATAACTGACTTATTTTATGTTTAATAAAATAATGTTTAATCTTTTCAGCAAGGAAAACACTAGATTCGAACAGCTAATGTTGTCTCCACTGTGTTTCCAAACGACACTGGGTGATATCCAACAGTCATACTCAGAGTACGACAAATTTGGAGATCACCTACTGTTTGCACTTACATCCTCCAGTAAGAATAGGCGAATATGTCAATTTTGGTTCTCCACAGTTTCTCATATTTTCCCATCTTAAATTCAGTTCTCCACATTTCCATATCAGCTTGAGATTTGTTTTAAGTCCTCATGAAAATTCATGAGCATTTTTGTGCAAATTTGTCCTAATATACACACTCTTGCATGCAATTTCCCCTAATATGCACATTTTTGCAAAGTAATCTTCCCGAACGTAATGCATTTGGCATGTTACTTTCACTAATACATGCATTCATAAAAGGGAGTGGGTGGCGCTATGGTGAGCCTCTTGGGCTTGCTGATTGGAAGGTCAGCAGTTCGAATCCGCGTGATGGGGTGAGCTTCTGTTGCTCTGTTCCAGCTTCTGCCAACCTAGCAGTTCGGAACCATACCAACAGGAGTAGATAAATAGGTATCACTGCGGCGGGAAGGTAAATGGTATTTCCATGCTCTCTGCCACCCATCACAGTGTTCCATTGCACGAGTAGCAGTTTCATCATGCTGGCCACATGACCCGGAAAGCTGTCTGCAGACAAACACCAGCTCCCTCGGCCTGAAGCAAGATGAGCACTGCACCCCATGGTTGCGTTTGACTGGACTTAACTGTCCAGGGGTCCTTTACCTTTTACCTATATGCATTCATATGCAGATTAAAGCACACGAAGATGAAAATATAACGTAGAAGCCTATTTTGGCATTAAGTAGTATATCAATTAAATAACAACAATAAGAGCAGTTATAATGCAGGGAGCAATAAGGGCATCATGCCCAAGCCAAAAAAATCTGGACTCAACACAGGTCAAATAAAAAATCCCAAAGCAACTTTAACTGGGTTGCCACGACCCTACCAAATTTTAATCATGACGTGGGAAGAAATTTCGCTGCATCATACATAGAATTGTAGGAAAGAATGCAAAGGGTCATCCATCTAGCCCAACCCCTTGCAATGCAGGAATCCCAACACTTCCAATTTGAAACCAAACCGGACCCTGCTTGGCTTTGCTATATTCTGAACTATTCAGAAGAGAAGCGATGAGTCTTCATGTGTATTTCATATAAAAGTGCTAGGGAATGGCAACATTAATATGAAGCTTGACAAATCTATGAGTGAATTGTTCTCGCCCCCAGCTATCTTGTAAATGGGATGAGCACAGAAAAAGTGTCAATATTGACGCTGACTAATTGACTAAAACATTAAAAATGACCAAATATATGACAATGTTTAGGCCTTGGGACTTGACTACCTCAGATGTGCTTTGCAATAGAGTTTGGGCCTCAGGAATCTCTGGATAGGCAAAGCTTGTCTTCTTTGGCCTGCAGTGTTGGCAAGGAAGAAAGCAGGAAGTATATTTTTCCTTGGAGGGTGTAGGGAGGAGGACTGATTATGTGATAGCTAGAGAGGGGGATTGTCTTCCTAAAGCCAGGGTTCAAATACTCCTGAAAGATAAATGTGTTGGCTAGGTCTAGTGGAAATACACCCCTTGCACTATCAAATCCACAGGACAGCTTTTAATTTTACTATGACAAATTCTAGAGAGTAGGCTGGTTTTGTCTGCAGCA